CCATGCTACAACAGCAGCAACAGCAGCAAAGGCAACAGCAAAGGCCAAACGGGTCTACCTCACTAACGGATGACCTCAACTCCCTCAGCGCCCAAGAATTTGACCATGTGTGCCGGATCGCCGACCAAATAATCACGAAGACATCTCCAGAGGATATAGAAAAAATTAAGATGAATTTGCAGAACATGACCCCCGAGCAGAAAACATACCTGTTGAGGAAAGACATTGACCCGGTCACCTATTTCTTCCGCTCGCAGGCGTTGACACAGTTGAGGAGACACAAGCGCCATCGGATGGAGCTAAATCGCGCGCAGAATGCCGGCGTCGACCCGGCTGCGATGATGAATGATCCGATGGTGAACAACCAGCAGCGCCAAGCACTGCAAAACATGATGAATCTTCAGCGCAATTCGGCGTTCCCTATGGCGAACAACCAACAACATCTAGACACCTCCTCGTTCATCGGCAATGTTGAGAATATCCAAGGACAGCAGGCGGATGGGTTACGCTCGCAGGAAGCCGGCCAGTTGGTGGTTCCGGCCAGCTCTTCTCAGATGAATCAGCAGCCCTTTAATCCCCAGAACATGTTCCAGGTGGGGCAGCAATTGGGTCAAGGTGGGCAGAACAACATGAATGGGGGGGGTATGAATCCACAACAATTCTTCTCGCAGCAACAACTGCAAAATTCCCAGGCTGTTCAGCCGGACCGAAACCAACAAGCTCCTCAATTTCCCCCTCAGACACAGGCCCAGACGCAGGCCCAAGCGCGCGCGCAAGCCGCCCAGAAGGCGCAGATAGCCATATCGCAGGCTGGACAAGCCAACCCACACGTGCAGCAGCAGATGTCACAACAAAATTCTGCCATGCCAATGTTAAACCGCCCAATGGCCCCGGGTCAGATGTCGCCTGCCCAAGTGGCTGCTCAGGTCCGGCCGCCGTCGCGCACTCCCGGAATGGGACAGCAACCGAATGGTGTCCAGCCTTTGGGAGGCCAACCAACGATGCAGGGCCGGCCGCAGCTTCCCGCTAATCTTCCGCAAGGGCTTCAAGAGCACTTGTCTCAAATGACTCCAGAACAAATCAATAATTTTCTCAACCAACAACGTCGTGCTCAAGCAATGGCTCGGGCGGGCGCTACGCAACAAGGGATGCCCATGCAGCCAAACATGTCGCAGCCCGGTCAGGGCCAGCAAATGGCAAACGGTCAGATGGGTAGCAATCAGAATATGAGGGCGTCTTTAAATTTGCAGCAGCAACTTGCCGGAATGGGTGGCGCTCAGCCGCAGCCGAACCAAATGATGCCGGGGCAACAGATGTCTGTCCAGCAGCGCCAGCAGCAACAACGTCAGCAGGAGCTCTATAAACTACAACTTCTCCGTCAGCAAAGTGGAAGCTTAGAAATGTCTCCCGACCAAGTCAAGGAGATGGACCGCGCACCCTTCCCCCCAGCGATTTTGAGCAACAACCCGAACATGGTTTCGCCGGTTCCCAAGCACATAAAGACCTGGGGCCAACTTAAGCAATGGGCAGCCGCCAATCAGCAAGTTCTCGGTGGAATGGACCTTCAGAAATTGATGACCATGCAAAAGTTTCACCTAGCTCAGATCATGGCCCAAAGTCAAAACAAAGATGGTGGACGGAATCAAAGTCAAGGTGGTCAGGGCGCGTGGATGCCGCCGGTGCCTTTCCAGGGACAGCCGCAGCCGTTCGGGAACCCGCAGCCATTCCCAGCTGGCCAACAGCAGGCTGCAGCCAACGTGCCTCCTCCTATTCGACCAGTAACTGCTCAGGATATCCAGATGGCTCGCCAGCGATTAGGCGCTCAAGTCGCGGCCTTTAACGACGACCAACTTCGAGAGCTGCTCCATAGGAATAGGCAGAAACAAGTGATTCAGATAGCCCAGGCCCGTGCTCTCGCAACGCAACAGGGCCAGCAGGGCCAGCAACAAGGCCAGCAGGTCCAACAAGGTCAACAGAACCAGCCAGCCCAGCAACCACCTGTCACCGCACCCATGTCCACCCCCCAGATAAAGCAGGAACCGCAAGCACCGCAACCGACTTCTCAGCCAGCCCAGCCAGCCCAGCCGATCAAAGCTCCGACGGCAGCCCCTGGCAAGGGCGCAAAAGGCCCTGTCGCTAAGCCGCCGCCTAAGAGGAAAATGCAGCAAGAGGAACCTACGGAACCGCAAAACCCCGCGGCGCAAACATCGGCACAGCCGCCAGCTTCCCAAGGAGTCGCGGCCCCCGCATCAGCTAGGCCTAACGTGCCACTTACACGGGAGCAGCTGGCTGCCATGACGCCACAGCAGCGCGCCCAATTAGAGGCACACGTGCGCCGACAGCAAGGACAAGGCCGTGTCCCCATCACCCGAGTGGCCGCCGAAGAAGCATGGAACAACCTACCAGAGAAGATTCGACAATTGTATAATGAAGCGGCGAGGCAAGCACCCCTGGCGGAACCTGTGGCCATTACACCGGAACAGAAGGCCGCCATGACCCAGCAACTTCGTGAATGTACCGATATGCTGGGAAGAATGGATGCCTTAGTTCAATGGTTCATGAAGGTTCCTGGCCAGGAAAAGTGTGTGCGAAGCTTGTTGGTCATGGTACGTCCCTAATAAAGCCAACACTCCAGCTTATAATCTAATTAATCAAACCTACAGCGTATACAATTGATGAGACAATTTAAGAGTGGACCTCATTGGGCTGTGGCCGACCACTTTACTCTTACCCCCGACAACCTTACCAAGAGCATCAACTATGTGAAGAGGCTGTTCCAAGGTATGATCACCCACGTTAGCCAGCAGCAACGATCCGGCGCATCGCAGAGTCCTCTGAATGGGCAACCGGCCGCTCCGAACATGCCTGCCTTGAATGCAAACAATCTCCAGCAGCTTCAGCAGGAACAAGAGGCTCTCCAGCGAGCGCGAAGGGCCTCGAGCCAAACCGCCGTTTCGGCTACCTCTGCGGTTCCGCCGGCGCCATTTGGAGCGCCATCCCCACAGGGTGTTCCACATGCGTATGGACCCGGGAGTATACCACCGCAAGAACTTAAGCTACCTCCACCGAAGAAGAGAAAGCAGTCGCATGCCGGCGCCACTCCCACCACTGGTACGCCGGGTACCAAGGCTGCGACGGGCAAACAAGCCGGCACCGAGGCGGCCAAACCCACGCCAGCTGCTCTATCTGGTCCCTTCAAGTGCAGCGTTGCCGAATGCCAATATCATTATCATGGATTCCTTAATCAGATTGCGCTGGACAAGCACGTGGAAGAGAGTCACAAAGTTGAGGAGTCGATTGAGGACCCTCTTGGGTTTGCTCTGGAAAGCTTCCGTACCAGCCTCGTCACAACCGAGGACAAGTCAGAGGCCCAGGGCGCTCGAAAGGGGGCTACAATGGAGGCCCCGCAGATACCGAAGTTAGAGGGAACCACGCCCGTCACGGCGGGCACCACCCCGATGGGACGAGTACCAAGCCAGTTTGGTCCCAAGACTGCTTCGCCCGCCTCGAACCAGCACCTCACGCCCCGCGGGGGTTCAACCAAGACATCCGCCTCGACGGCTAAGCCTGCCAAAGGCAAGGACGATAAGAAGGATCCCGGTAAATCCGCGGAGCAAGAACCGCCCGTGCAAATGCAAGACCCTTGGGCAACCAGCGCCATTTCCCTTGAAACTATTCATGACACGTTCATGGATTTGAGCGATGACGGCGGGCTTGGTTTCGGCGCAATGGACGAATTCCTCAATCCCGACATGTTTACCAACACCCAGTCCAAGGACACCCCGGATTCGGTCGAGACTGCGGTTGTCACGCAAACCCCCAAGGATGGCGACATGCCTACCACCGACGACATGAATGCCAAAAACGGTGAGGGTATTGATGACAATTGGATTCCTGTAGATTGGTTCAATCTGCCCGGCCGATTCGAAGACGGGCTTCTGATGAATGACTCGTGGGAGGAAATCGATTGGGACACATTTGATCGCAAGGACACATCCATGAATGTGGACGACAGCGGAATTGCTATCTGTGCTATGTAACAAAAAGGAAGGGCAATTTTTTGCGAGGCGATTTACCTGGCGACTGTTTGAATGATCTATCTCTCTCAGCGGGCGCAACGGCGTGTTGTGATACATATATATGCAATAATGAATTCATGTATATTAAGAACCTGGCCCAGTCAGAAGAAGGTGCGGATGGCCTGCTCCTCCGTTACTATGATTGGAGTTCAGTACTTTTTCCCTCTAATTTTTACCCATTACTATTGCTATGGTTGTGGCACTTTTTGCTGGCTTGATTTCCCTGATTTTTCAGTCGATCTCGTTGGATTAGCCGCGGCGTTTTATGGGGCAAGGCGAAAAGAAGACGGAGCGTTAAGGGAATGGTAGCCACGAATTCAACAGTGGTTATGGCGTCATTGACGTGACTTGTCTGTAGTGAGTACCTTGGATGTACCGAGTACTATGTAGGGCTCCGGCATGGAATGCTTTTCTGAGTTTCTGAGTTCTGTGATCCAGGGGATATACAAAGTATGCTCTGTACTAGGTTTCAAAATTTGCGTCTCATCTTGCTTGGAACAACTCAAAAGGCCGTCTTCGCTTTTCGCTCTACACCGTAGATCCTCGGTAGCATCACTCTATAGAAAGGAACCGCCCAAACGGGGACGTTCGCCCCGTAATTCCCTCCCGAGGCACGCTAGTCATACCGCCCAAACACGCCAAGCCGCGGGTGATCCGATCAGCTGCTGATAAGCTCGCCCCAGTCCCGTTCAAGAGAATCCCCGTCTCCTTCCTGACTTTCCCCTCTCCCGTCTCTTTGTCCGCGATGGGCTCTCAATAGAACCCCCCACGACCTTATACTGAGTAGATTTGTCCTTGTCTATCTGTTCATTCTTTCTTCTTCGTTGCTCTATATCTGACCTGGACTCCGTGAAGGATCAGGTAGACCGCTGTCTGTCTTATCTCACTATCTTATTCTTATCCATTCCGAACGACTCGACCATGACGAACAAGGCGTTGATTCCCTTCCTGGTCACGATGATGCTCGTGACCGGCGTGTGCAATACAATTCTCAATAAATATCAGGTTCTATTCAAACTGTTATACCTGGCGTTCATGGAAGTTGTTAACCCCTGGAAAGGACATGCAATGCGTCCGAAACTGCGATTCCCCAGATCCCAAGGAGCGCCACACGTTCGAGCAGCCTGTGATTCAGACGTAGGTCCTGCCATACTCTAACTGATCCTTTGATGATGCACTCTAGCTGACAGTTCCTGCCATTCGCCTGTATTAGAGCACAGATGTTTGTCGGTGAAATGGGTAGCTGGATAGTTGTGTTTCTCACCTTCCTCTACCAACGCTACATCTCTCCACGGTTACCTAGCAATGGCTCGTCGCCTCTTTTGGCAGGAGGATACCACCCTGTCGGTGCGAACGATGGCATTGATGAGGACGACGAGGACGGTACGGTCAATGGACCCCGTTACTCCGGGGATCCTTCCAAGCCGGATCACTTGGATCAACAGCGTATTCCCCTGAATGGTCGCAGAATTCTTCTGCTTGCTGCTCCTGCCTGCTGCGATATTACCGCTACGACACTGATGAACGTTGGCCTACTCTTTGTTGCCGCGAGTATTTATCAGATGACCCGGGGAGCACTGGTGCTCTTCGTTGGCCTTTTCAGCGTTCTTTTCCTTCGTCGGAAATTGTATCTTTACCAGTGGCTTGCGCTTGTCGTGGTTGTTCTTGGTGTCGCGCTGGTCGGTCTTGCGGGCGCGCTTTTTGATCATCAGGAGCACGACGTTACACAGGAGAATGTTGTCATGAATGCTGCCATTCAAGCCCGGGCCGTTGCCCGAACTCCTGAGGCGGTCCAGGCCATCATCGGTGTACTTATGATCGCGGCAGCCCAGATCTTCACCGCATCCCAATTCGTTCTGGAGGAATGGATTTTGGAAAACTATGAGATGGATCCTCTACGGGTTGTTGGATGGGAAGGTATTTTCGGGTTCCTTGTGACCTTGGCTGGAATGATTGTCCTATACTTCTCCGTCGGACGAACCCCGGCCGGTCGCTATGGCTACTTTGATACGAAGGAGGGATGGCACCAGATGATTAACAACCGCGCCGTTGCTGTCTCCAGTATTCTGATCATGATCAGCATTGGGTATGCTCCCTCCCCTTCTTGCTTCTAAGTCAACCACTAGAAACTAACTCGGGATTGACTCTCAGTGGATTCAACTTCTTCGGGTTATCCGTCACCCGAACTGTCTCGGCCACGTCCCGCAGCACCATCGATACCTGCCGGACGCTCTTCATCTGGCTCGTCTCGCTGGCTCTGGGATGGGAATCTTTCAAATGGCTCCAAGTGGCCGGTTTCGCGCTCCTCGTGTACGGAACCTTCCTGTTCAACGACATCATTCGCCCTCCTCTGAAGGCCTGTCTGCCTCAACAGAGAAGAGAACGAGAGGTCCTCTTGCCCGAGGAGCCCATTGAACACATCTAGGGTGAAGGCAATCCGGATCGATGGTAAGAGACCTGTATAGAAACAGGGATATACTCGTACAACAACTCTTAGCTTTTAGATTATCCCTCTCTTGGTTCACCTTCTTGGACCCTGTGTCCTGGTCTAGTTGGGTTAGGACCAGTTGACTCATTTGATTTTCTTTTCTCTTTTCTTTTTGTCTTGTCATGTTGTGGTACGGCGCAAAGGGATCCTTCGTACTATGCATATGAATGGCTGTTGGGTTTCAAGGGTTTTTCCCTGCTGTACTTTGTTTTCCATTGGATATCGCCTGGCTCGGAGTTATTTATAAATTGAACTGAATAGAACATGTTTCCTCTTTCATTTTTCATCTCTTCCCTCGTTCTTTATATGTACAGTGCATCGCAGTTTTCTAGAAGTAAAAGCTTCCCCATGTAGAACCGTACGTAACTATATATATTGTTGTCTGTATCTCAAATAAAAACAGCAATGCGTAAACTGGGGTCCGTGGGGTCCGTGCGTATCATCCGAAATATATATAGGCAAGTCAAGGGAAACAAAAGACACGAACCAAACGTACCATCCAAGAGATAGATTACAAAGAAATAATCAACCTAGATTACAAGATAAGCAAGAGAAGGGAGAATAATTCAAAATAGATAATTCCAGAGAATCCAAAACAACGCCAACAACCAGCCAAACAAACCACATATTATCTAAACCAACCAGAGCGAGTTCTTTCAATCAAGAGAGAGGTGGCCCGTATTCAGCAACCAATACAATGTGATTTACACAGTAGGGTAGGGGTATAAGTATATATATGTTAGGTGGGTGAGTGAGTGGGTGCGAGGTAAAACAGACAAGTATAATATAATACAAAGAGCCAGTATTAGAATCAAGTAAGGATGTGGGGGGGAGAGGAAAGAAAGTCTAGTCGGATGTCGCGATATAGAGCGTCTTGTCGATTTTTCTAAACGAGAACGTATAAAGCACACATCTGGGTAGGTAGAGTTAGGGAATATACTATAGACGAAGATTGGTGGAATGAAGGAGGGCACTTACGCAAGAAAGACCGAAAATCATGGATAGCCAGAAGAAGACGTTCTGTAGCGTAGATAGAGGACTGGTTAGTGACGATGATTCAAATGGGAAGTAAAAGAAGGGAGGGCGAGAGTGGGTTCATACGTTAAGAGTGGTCTTTCCTCGGAAGAATTTGGACTTCTGCACGGCTACGATGGGAAGCTGGAGCATCATGGCGATAAACCCGTAGCCACGGAGCTTCTTGGTGATGCAGCTCATGACCAGTTCGTGGGCGATGGAGCTCACGAGGAAGGTGATGAACATGGCGACGGGCTTGGAGAATCGTGAAAGAGAACTGAAGTAGACATGTCGACGGAGGAAGTGGTGAACGGGGATATTCCACTCGCGAGAGAATTCGAGCCTGATGAGAGTATGTGAGTCTGGGACGCTTCAAAACCATGCGGATCAACCATCGTAGGACTTACCAGTCACAGGAGTTCCACCAATCGGAGTAGAAGTGACGATCGGCGAAACAGGTGATCTCCGCAAATGCGCCCAGCACGTACTCGAAGATGACCAAGAAGACCAGCAGGAAGGTGATCATGAAGGGGAACAGCAGCATGCTGATGGATTCGGCGAGGATCAATGCCTTCTCGGTGACATTGCTCACGGCGTGCAGCTGGACGTTGGCCTCGCTCAGCACCGGAAGAATGAATTCCTCGCTGACGAGCGTCAGCAAGAAGATGCATCCAAAAACAGCGAGCGTCTTGAATCCGATCTCGGTCCATCGCCGTTGCTTGCTCCGTGGGTACTCCAGCTCGTAGCAAAGGGTGGGACAGAACATATAGTCTATATAGTTATGGAGAGTGAGGTTCTGAGGGTATGTGACGCGGCCTAGGGGCGAGGTCAACTCGGTAGCGAGGTCCTCGCGCAGCTCTACGATGGACTGAGATCGCGAGTGATTGCTTGGTCGACGGGTGATAGGTCGACGGGTAGTCGGTTCAGGATAGCGAACGGCCGCATCCATCGACACCGATCCTGGCTGGTCGAGCGACGAAAGACGGCGCTCAGTTTCGCTGAGATGTCCGTTGTAGAAAGCGTACGAGTGGATCTTCATGAGGAACGTCAAGGTGTGAAGGGTGAAGAAGACCTGCGCCGTCCAGGTCCATTGCATCATGAACGGCCAGCTAGCAGACGAGTCAATTAGTGCTCTGTAGACCGGACGGAAACAGTAACGACCGAACTCACTTAATCCAGAGGGAAAGCCAGGCCGCCTCGAAGATACTCTGCACCACGATGCCGCCCTTCGACCAGCGCAGCCAGCCGCTACTGGTCCGGAACAGGCGATGAAGAGGCAACACCAACATACTTGTGACCACCATGGCCAGATCACTAAACCCCATAGACCAGATATTCGCCGATAATATATTCCACACCCTCACTCTCAGCGGATATCCTGTGTCCTTGATATTCCGAAGTCCCGTGGTAACCACCATGATAAACAAGGCGATCCAAAAGAGAGTGAAGAACCCGCGGAAGTTGTGGTAATCGCTTTGCGGATCAAAGTGGGATACCCGGGGGACATATTCGATGGAGTAGAAAATGCGATTGCGAGCGCGAGCTTGTTTCCGTGCAGTCGACAACGAATGTTGAGAAGGGGGGGCATCTTCGGAGATAGGAGTCGAGCGACCACTGTCACGCACATCATGTTGGTTAGCCACCGACTGCCTCGCCGTCTCTGCGAGAGGACCTTTTATTCTCCTTACCTCGAGTCCAGGCCGACCTTTTCCAGAGTTTGTAGATTGGTGGCATCTTCGGGGGTCTTGCTCGCTATGAGAGTACGGGGTCGTAATGCCGGGGAGCCATTTGGCTGCGAGACGGCAGAAGAAGACATGCTGCCGACGAAGAGTCAAGAGCACCAGAACGGAGGATATTTAGTTTCACATTGATCCCTTAGGAGAGAAAATCAAATGTCCTTTCGGAGGATTCCCACCAAGAGGAGGGGAAAGCAGAGAGACTATATATGGCAAAGCTTGTCTCGGCATGCACAGCATTCAAGGGGAGTCCGAAACAGACGGAAAGTGGATGGAAATAGTGCCGCCTATGTGGACCCTTACAAGGCTGATGAGGGATGACCAAGCTGAGAGCCGGGACCAATGCGATTGGAAGGTAGTCGGAGGCGCAGGAGAAGCGGACATATCGGTTGACGTTTCGCAGCAGGCGATCTGCCGTATGTACAGCCCGTCTAACCCAAGTAACCCAAGGCCAAGGGGGGGCTCTCGGCCAGCGTCAGTCAAGACTCCGAGGGAGGTTTCTCGAAAGGAGAACAAGCAGCCGCTCCCACGTCATGGGGCGCACATGATGCCGGCCACGGAACCGCCGACTCGCCGAGGTGCCGTCCGGACCGGGATGATTTACGGAGTCGATGTGAGGGGTGGAGAATTTGTGCACGGATTGAGGACGAGGATCGAGTATTTATTTATTCTCGTCTTGAGAGATTCAGCACATTGACTGATAAAAAAGAAGCTGTCTTATATAACCAGAATTAAACGCGATATCAACAAGTAGCTCGCATGGCTTAGTTGGTAAAGCGCATGACTAGTAATCATGAGATCCTCGGTTCGAATCCGAGTGTGAGCATTTCTTTTTGCATTTTACCTTTTGCTCTCTAGGCTTAGAACTATCTACCTGTGACTACTATTTTTATTTCCCATACATTAGTGGAGTCAATTGTACTCCATAAAAGGGGAGCGAGACGGTTATACGAGTACGACAGATTTGCGGCCTGACGCGTCAGGCCGCTAAGTACAATCACGTGCTAGACCCTCCGCTGGGCACGAGGGGCCGCTAGTCCGCAATGAGCCCGACGCCAAGACGGCCAGGTCGCAACGGACGAGGCTCAAGGAGAAGCAAGTAAACGACGTATCTGCCATCTGCCATCTCCGCCTGCCTGCCAATCTCGCCGACGCCCTCTTCTGCTTCGCCTCCGACCCTGCGTCGCTCATTACCTCCTCCCTTTCCCTTGCCCCATTCTCTTTCCCCCCCAGTCTCCCCGTTGGGGGTCCTTGTGACCGCCATGGCATCCCGTACGTGTTGACATTCTCTCTGTCCTTCCCCCCACACTGCCCATCCCCTATCGCCTTGCTCTCCAACTAATCGTCGGCCTTGTCCTCTCTGCCATCGCAATGGAACAGTCAAACAATTCATTCGAAATGTTCGCTCGGCCAAGACCATCGCCGACGAGCGCGCCGTCATTCAGAAAGAGAGTGCCGCAATCCGTGCCTCGTTCCGGGAAGAAAGTCATGATTCGGGTATCCGGTCAGCATTCCACCCAAATCCATCGTCTCAATGGTCCTCCGGAATCAATATCTCATGATTGTGGACAGGAGAAACAACGTGGCCAAGCTGCTGTACCTATTTACGCTCGGAGAACGGACGCACTTTGGTCAAATCGAATGTCTGAAACTGCTGGCGTCCCACCGCTTCGCCGACAAGCGGTTGGGTTACTTGGGTACAATGCTGTTGTTGGATGAAAATCAAGAAGTGTTAACGCTGGTCACCAACTCGTTAAAAAAGTGAGTTGCCGCCGCCCCACGAGCCCTCTGTGTCGTCATACAGCAGACTGACCGCATGTGAAGTGATCTCAACCATTCGAACCAATATATCGTCGGGCTCGCTTTGTGTGCACTGGGTAATATCGCCTCCGTCGAGATGTCCCGAGACCTGTTCCCCGAAGTCGAAAACCTCTTGTCTACCGCCAACCCCTACATTCGACGAAAGGCCGCGATTTGTGCCATGCGTATCTGTCGCAAGGTCCCCGACCTGCAGGAGCATTTCTTTGAGAAGGCGAAGACGCTCTTGTCGGACCGGAACCATGGTGTTTTACTGTGCGGGTTGACACTGGTAATCGACATGTGCGAGGCGGAGGAAGCGGAGGAAGGCCAGGAGGGCGTCATCGAAATGTTCCGGCCCCTCGCCGGTGGTCTCGTCCGTGCCTTGAAGGGGTTGACGACGTCCGGATACGCCCCGGAGCATGACGTTTCCGGGATCACGGATCCTTTCGTTCAAGTCAAGATCTTGCGTCTGCTTCGGGTGCTGGGAAGAGGTGATGCGGCGACTAGTGAGTTGATCAATGATATTCTGGCCCAGGTGGCCACCAACACCGATTCAACCAAGAATGTCGGCAATGCTATTCTCTACGAAGCCGTCCTCACGATTCTCGACATTGAGGCCGATTCCGGCTTGCGGGTCCTGGGTGTCAACATCCTCGGAAAATTCCTCACGAATAAGGACAACAACATCCGCTACGTTGCTCTTAACACGCTGAACAAGGTTGTCGCGATCGAGCCCAACGCCGTCCAGCGACACCGTAACACCATCCTGGAGTGTCTGCGCGACCCCGACATTAGTATCAGGCGGCGCGCTCTTGACCTCAGCTTCATGTTGGTCAATGAGAGCAACGTGCGCATTCTCGTTAGAGAGCTGCTCGCCTTCTTGGAAGTGGCCGATAATGAATTCAAGCCCGCGATGACTACCCAGATCGGAATAGCGGCCGACCGCTTCGCACCAAACAAGCGCTGGCACGTCGACACGATCCTCCGCGTTCTCAAACTGGCCGGTGCCTATGTCAAGGAGCAGATCCTGTCATCGTTTGTTCGTCTCATTGCGACCACCCCGGAATTGCAGACCTACTCTGTGCAGAAGCTGTACCTGTCGCTGAAGGAGGACATCTCGCAGGAGGGGCTGACGCTTGCCGCTACTTGGGTCATTGGCGAGTATGCCGACAACCTCCTCGAGGGTGGTCAGTACGAGGAAGAGGAACTGGTCAAGGAGATCAAGGACAGCGATATCGTCGATCTATTTAACAACATTCTCAACAGCACATATGCCACCCCCACCGTGATTGAGTACATCACCACCGCCTCGATGAAGTTGACCGTGCGCATGACCGACCCTTCACAAGTCGAGCGTCTCCGTCGCTTCCTGAACAGCCGCACGGCCGACCTGAGCGTCGAAATCCAACAGCGTGCTGTTGAGTACAACAACCTATTCGGCTACGATCAGATCCGGCGAGGTGTTCTTGAACGGATGCCGCCGCCCGAGATCCGCGAGGAACAGAGAGTGCTGGGAGCTCCGACCAAGAAACGACAGAGCAAAATCCTCAAGGCGAAGACGCAGAAGCCTGCCAAACAGGCCGAACAGGATATGCTGCTTGACCTCATGGGTGGCTCCGATGCTCCGGCGACCAGCCCTACTGGCAACGGATCGTCGCAGAATACAGCCGACCTGCTTGCAGACATTCTGGGCGGCGACTCGGGACTCTCCTCTCCATCCCCTGCTCCCCAGCAACCGGCGCAGACCAACACCAGTGCTATCATGGACCTCTTCGGGTCCAACGGCAACAACACCCCTTCTCCCCGTCCCGCTGAGCCCGCCAGTTCTTCTCTCGATCTCCTCGGAGGGGGCCTAGGATCCAGCGCATCGCCAGCTCCCACTCCTTCGTCCCCAGCACCCACTGCACACGCCGCGTTCAATAAGAACGACCTCAGTCTCACTCTGGCAGTGCAACGAAGCAACCCATCCACCGCACAGATCCAGGCTCGCTTCCGAAACCTGTCGAGCTTCAACCGCTTCGCCAACGTCGGACTCCAAGCCGCGGTGCCCAAGAGCCAGCGGCTTCAACTCAGTGCGATCAACAAGGCCGAACTGGATGCCGGCGAGGAAGGCATTCAAATGCTGAAAGTCGCCGGTCTCAACGGGGTAAGTTTCCGTTTCCTTTCCTATTCTCACCTTGAGCAAGTATTGACAGTTTATATCAGGCTCTCCCTCCCAAACTCCGCCTCCGTCTCCGTATCTCATACGCAAAGGACGGGTCTGACCCTGTAACAGACCAAGTCGACTGGTCAGAGCCGTAAACAAGGAGAGAAGAAGACAAGTGAAGGCTCGGGATCAGAAGAAGAAGAAGAAGAAGAAGAAGAAGAAGAAGAAGAAGAAGAAGAAGAAGAAGAAGAAGAAGCGAGAACCGGAAGAGAGAGATAGGCGGGAAGGGACGAGGCGAAGAAATATTGCACCCATTCAATTATACCTTTTTTCACTTTTTCCTTTTTCTTTTGAACATAACAAAACTTCCATGTACCCCCCCCTCCCCCAACTTCCTCCCTCTAATATCCCTTCAAACATAGGTCCAAACTCACCCACTTACCCAGGCTACTTACTACACACCTACCTATACTTTGCCACCCCATCAACTTGTCAGATATTGCATGCCTCATTCCACAATTCTTTTTTTTTTTTTTTTTTTTCAATCTTCCTTTTTTACTTTTCCCACCACATTCTTGGTCTCGTTCCGTTCTTGTCCCTGTCTTCTTACCTTACTTATACTTATATTTACTTCCCTTGGATGGAATCCTTTAGCGTATCTTATGGTAGACTCTGGTTCTAGGTAGGTGGGAAGGAAGTTAGTTCAGCTCAGTTCGCCCAGAAAAAAAAAACAGAAAAAAAAAGGCAAAGTGTGACAAACATAACCAATAAAATAAGCCTTTCTTCCTCTCTTGTTCTCTCCATCTCCGTTGGACGTATTCACATATATTGATTTTGACTTGAGGAAGAAACGGTCTTTCTTCTTCTTCATCTTCTTCATCATCATCATCTTCTTCTTCTTCTTCTTCTTCTTCTTCTTCTTGGGTGTGTGTCTATCTATAGAGGTAGGTAGAGATTCATAGAGATAACAAATGATTGATCTACCAAGCGATCAACCATACATTTTATTGAATACTATATAAAAGACCAAAAGACCAGATGATTCAATTCCAAACCATCTACTTCAAGTTCACGTAAGAATGTCCATCAAATTGTTCCAGCCAGGCGCCAGTCGGGAGTAATAATCACAAGAAAGGGGGGTCATGAGAGGGTTATAAAAGACAAATTTGGAAGTTGAGCTGCACACCCTGCGAGGGCGAATTTGGATATGAATAAAGGAGGATACGGATAGAGAAAGAAGATACGGATCAGGATCCGAGAAATCAGAGAAGGAATAAATTTCCCGGAAAGAGCGAATGTTGACATAAGACAGAAATCACAACATAAATGCCAGTCTTGAATGAATTCCGACGCCGGTAGATGCGATTACTCAGATAGAGGTTGCATTGCAGCGCCATCGAGCATCATCTAGATGAATCAATTGATGAAGAATCAGGGGTCGAGCCACCAGGTAATCATGCGTAACAAAAGGACAAGGATATATAAAAAAAAATAAATGGGATATTCAAAAGGTACTAAAATCACAATATAGTAAAAAGGTGTAGTTTCATGTCTGTGGCCATGGGAGATCAAATAAACTGTCGTTATCATGTAGTCATTACGCGTAAGTTGATTGTCGTCGTCCCATAGGTGGATTGCGGTAATCGTCGTAGTGATGCCGGGGATAGGCATCGCGAGGATCCCGGGCGTCACGAGTAGAGTATTTGTGTTCAGGCCCGATTTCGCGAGCATACTTCGAATCTCTATCTTTCGCGCGCGCACCTTGCTCTACCTCGCCGTAGAGGGGTCGAGATGAGGATTGTCGGGAGGGGGAAGGCCGGACGCTTTCAAAGCGATTGGATGCATCCGGCTTGTAGCTGTAGCTCGTGCTACTTCGAACCGGCTTGGCACTCGGCCGCACCGGGCGTTCTTGACGCGGAGGAGAATATGTTCTCGTACGTCTCGGAGAAGGATGGGGAGGGGACTGTATGCTCGGTTCAACCACGACAGTCTCGGGGTCGGTGACAATCTTGTAGCGAGTGGACGAAGCCTTGGATGGGCTGTCCCCGGCCGGCATTTCCGGAGTACCCGGGCTGGAGTAACCCGAATCATATCGGTCACCGCCTCTTAGCTTGGAAGCTCGAGGTGGACCGTCTGGATAAACCATGCCGAGGAGAACCTGCTCCGATCGACTCGTGCCCTCGCGCTTCAATCGAGGGTGAGAATGAGTGGTGGCGGATCGAGAAGGGTAAAGAGAAGGCCGCGAGGAGGAAGAAGTCTTGATTCCAGGCGAGGTGGCGGCCGTTGGCATACTTGGGACCTTCTGCTCGTAAGACCGGGACTGAGGCTCAAGATGCTCGTAAGAGCCCTGGTTGGAGGCCCCGCGCACGGTTTCCTTGCTTGATCGCGCCGATCGGCCAGAGCGACGGGAAGAGGACGACTCCGGTTCAGCGGACTCGTAGTCGCGGTGGCGAAGGGGCGAGCGGGAAGAGCGGTGGCGTGCGTCAGTTTCAACGGGGGCTCTGCCTTTGGAGCGGAGAATGTACTCGTGAGCAGTTTGGTGCTTGGATTCCCACTCGGCATAGTCCTCATCTTTGTAGCGAGGACTACTTCGACGAGCAGATTCTGCGGGTTTGGCCTCCTCTTGATAGCGAGGACTACTCCGACGAGCAGGCTCCGCGGGCTTGGGATTCCGAGAAGACGATTCCCGACTCCGGGCCGAAGGACGCTTGACACGCACGTAGACAGACGAGGCCGAGGAGTCGGAAGCGCCGTCATCTTCAGAATCCCCATAGGCCCGCTCATAGTTCTTCTCGTAGACTTCCCGTCGCCGTTCCTTGGTACGGTACTTGGCCCGATTGGAGTGGGTCGCTTTCGCGCTGTCGCGAGCGGCAGTGTCCTTTGCGGCACGAACGTTATTTACAGGAACGCTCTTGGTCGTCTTCTTCTTCTCTTCGGCCGGTTTCGCACTCCGGCGCTTTCCATACTCCTCGTACTTGCGGGACGTAGTGCGCGGCGCCTCGGTAAAGTGTATCTCTTCTTCGAAGGGTTCGGCGGGGGTTCTTTCCTCGTAGATGCGCCCGTCGCGATACTCCCGAGCGCTGCTTGACGCCCGCGGGGACGAGTACGGCATTCCTCCTCGGGCCATCATCTCGCGCTTGAGCTCGGCCAGGCGAACCTTTTGGTCGTACTTGGTTCTTCGGGTATCGTCGGACAACAGCTCGTAGGCCTGCTGCACCTTCTGGAATTCATCTTGGGCCTTACTTCGCAGGGACTCGTCCTTGATCTTATCGGGATGGCATTTCAGCACGAGCTTTCGATGGGCGGTCTTGATTTCGGGTAATGTCGCATCTTTCTGGACTCCTAACACGGCATACGGATCGATATCGGGTGCGGATGACATGATGGGAGATATAGTTCAAACGGCTGGACAACATATATTCACCATCCAAAAGATTGTGGGGGTGAATAGTCGGACGGAATTGTTGGTGTAGTGATTTAAGAGAGAGCGAGAGGGAGGAAAATAATATATAGAGATAGAGAAGAGAGAAGGAGAGAGAAGGGAGGCGAAAGAGTGAATCAGGATGGTTCAGATTGACTGGCCAGACGGGGAGGGGGGACTAATGGGGTGACGGTGACGTGGGATCCCGTGACCCTCGATCAGTTCATGGCAGAGATTCCGAGCCAGAGAAGCGCCTTATTCATGAAGAAAGTCGGCGAAAATAGGAGAGAAAAACGAGGTCCAACCCCAGATGTCCAGGGGGATGATTAGGAGATCATGCAGTAAGTCGCGAGGAAATCGCCGGGAGGGAAACGGAGGATGATGATAAATGGGCAGCACAGCCAGGGGAAGGCCGTGGAAGGCAAACAGAAGGAGTGCACGGAAGAGGCAAAGCGAACGGGCAGGCCGGCCCAGCAACGAGAAAATGGAGCACGGGGGTGATGATTGGGTCGTGGCTGCAGGGAGGGGAGGGACCGAGAGGTTTTTCTGATTTTCACTCTTTGGGGTTAGTTAGAGTCTATTGAGGAGCAGGACTTGGGAAAGTCAGTACCTGAAGGGGGGTCGGTCGGCGATTGTGATTTGGTGAACGGAGGTGGTCTCGCTGCGGTATGGATGCCTGGGCGGTAAATAATATTTATTGGATTTATTTGATAATAAATAATAAATATTATTATTTATTCCAGACGGGACAGGCGGACAAACCGAGGGGCAAAAGCACACTGCCACGCTGGGAACAGGCACTAAGATAAAAGTAGAGCAACAGATGAGATGAAGTGGCACCACGTTGATGGTTTCTGGATGATCAAGAAAATGAAATTCCACAAAGGACTCCGCCCAGTCGGTCGTGAGTAATATATCAGGCAGTCCCCCAACGAACGAGTTGGAAGACGCTCGATGATGCCACGGCAGACCGGAGGAGGGATAGGTGTACTTGGTGTAGGTAAGGTTTGGGCTGTCAGGCAAAAATGAGATAATAATGATCGCAGTGAATCAATGAGATGAAGGTAATAATAGCAACGACTAATCGAAATCGGACTCGAAATCGAAATTGAAGAGAATAGAATAGATTAGAATTATTCTGTCGATTGTCGGTCCACCTTTTCGGGCCCGTTCTTGCCTGAGCCCTCCAAAGCAGCGGTGAATGATTGACGAGCGGAGCAACTGGAGCCTGGATGAAACCCGCGATGGAGTCCTGTTTGGTTTTCCAGCAAGGATGCCGTTCAATCTTCGGTAACAAAGGAATGGCAAGCAAATTAGAAGAAGGAGAATGGGCAAAGAGCAAAGGAAGGTAAAGAGCGGTCAATCATTGATTTGTTGGCCACAATGGATCGGTTTCAGTTCTGGGGAGATCAATCCATGAATGGCTTGTCCAATGTTGAATGTCGGAGGAGGTAGAAACGAGATTCATGCATCTATCTAGATAGAAACTCCCAACGGAGTATGCAGCAGCACGGATTGAATCAGGAACGGACGAGATACAAATACCCGGGGAGCTGTTAGCTGGGGACGACGAGGATGCTGAGAGTATGGCACACTCCGGTGTAGGCTCATTCTCGGTCGGGATTAGCTAGTATCATGGCCATCAGCTTAGAAGGGGGCGCTTGGCCAGCAAGCCTCCCCTCGGCTCGCCTCAAACCCTGACCTGGAAAGGGAAAGGATATCTGCAGGAGTGACCCTCCTGCTGGTCATCATCCTTACCTCCCAAACGGTCCATGTTGCGAGCAGATGAGCACCGCGACGACCGTCACCAGCCCACCATCAGCTTTTCTGGCCCCGCGGGAATGCGTTCTGATTGCTCCCTGGCCGAATTGGAAAATCCTCTAGGATCAGCTAATCAGATTTGTCTGCCTGGCATGTCTGGCCCGTGAGCAGTAGAAGAAAAAGAAAAAGAAAAAAGAAAAAGACCGTCCTCCAACCCCGCACTGTGACTGCAACGCTCCTTTGGGACTAGGGAGGGGACAGAGGGGCCTTTTCGCCCCTTCTCATAGGCTGACAGGGGCCTCGTCATGTTCTGTCTTTCCCTAATTTGGGAAGGGACCTCCAATCATCACCCCATTCTTTTTTTAATATTATTTAATTCATCCTCCATTCTCCCTTCTCCAATATCCAAAAGATCCACTCCTCCCTCCGGTTGCCTGTGCGTCTCCATATGGTCGCCTCACCCAGGGATGATGCTGCAGGTTCTGCAGCCTGGAATTGGCTGTTGAGTGTTGACTCTTTACTGAGTGCTTTAGCCCTTTGCCCCTCTCCACTCCCCCCTACCAACTTGAATCGCCCATCACGCAGGACCACCGCCACACTTCTCCAGAAACGCCGATGCATGTTTGATGTACCTGGTCCTCCTGAGGGGGAGAGGGAAGATCAAAGAAGTCATCGACCTCCCGTTCGGCGTAGTCACCTAGTCTGTGGTAGTAAATAGCCATATTGCGATCCGGCCCCGACTCGCGTGCAACAGTCCCATGGATCACTCCCGGCCGGTTCCGTTTGCCGGGTTGATATAGATAGTGTGCCTGGTTGTCCCCAGTTTGGAACATGCCGTCCAAATTCTCCGGGCGGCTATCGCTGTCACAAGATTGCCTTTCGTCACATTTTCTCGCGACTCGCGGTCGGAGGGAGAGGAGGGCTTCGAATCACGTCGATCTATCACCTCGGTCGGCTACCGTCCAGACCGGATGGTCTTTCTGGATTCTACGGAGTACGAGAGCGATTTTTCTTTTTTCGTTTCCTGGTGCTTTGGCGCCCTTGAGCAACTGTCAACCGAGACCAACGCTGACCAATGGTGCCGGTCAACCGGGGTCTGTCAGAAATCAAGACTCATCCTGTTCTCCTCGTAGGTAAGGTAGGCTTCCTAGAAGGTGGGTAGTGACAGCTATGTATCACAACAAAGGTAAGAGAACCAAGGCATGAACGAGTCACCTCCCTCCCTCTCTCTCTGATCTCCGACCGACGATCGACCATCAAAAACCTCCCCTCTGGCCTGTCCCACCGCGGTGAACCTCTGCCCACTGTCCATCGTCATCCGTGACCCATCTCCGTCCAACCGATCTTTCTCGAAGCCGTAATTGGACCCTGGTCGAAGTCATCTGCACATGGGGGCCCGTTCCACGAACAGGGCCAACCATCCGCGCCATGCAATGATTGTCCCGGCATTAGACTGCATCATTTAGTTAGTGCTTCACCTTCCGGGTCTCCTGTCGCCAATAATAGGCTCTGACGGTCGGGAACTGAGCGAAGATGAGGCACGATTCTGTGACTTGTCTCGAACAACGGAAAAGCGTTGGGAAGTGATGCGAGAAACTCTATTGAGAAGTCTAAATCGTCTGTACATATGTTCAATGCGAGGGAAGAGGAAGTAGAAGCAGGGGAGAGAGAGCAAGAGGAGAGGCCTTAGCCTATCTTCGCTTCATCCTCTCGACTCCCGTGTTCATCGTATCATCATCATATGAAGCATCCCTTCTCCGACGGATCGAGGCATGCTAGCTACCTACCGAGTCAACACGGCCAGCCAACCGAATATGCCATACCCAGGGATGTGCGCTGTGCATCCCAAATCCTCTTAGCCTGGTTTCATAGAGCCTCGAGGTTCACCGAAATGGGGGTGTCGTGGACCGTGGTGTCCTGTACATCTGACCGGCTGGTCCAGGATGTGACCCGGGACGCTCATTTGCCTGTCTCGGAAATAGGGATTTGATGGATCCATCCTTCGTCATTGGCGCGTTGCGTTTGGTTGATTGGCCTCGTACCTTGCTGGCTCACATCAGCCCTTGATGTGGGGGTGGGATTCATTGGATTATGGAGTAGATGGTTGGTGTGAGTATCACAAAGTTCTACACGACTGTGTTCTCACTTGTTTCCTCGTGGTGCGGGTAGGCTTACTTCATACGCTCAGGTTCTAGTTATCTGCGGTAGGTAACTAGTTAACTCGTTTTCGCCCTGCTAGGTAAGCTTGAAGTACTCCGTACGTACCTATCTCAGCCACAACGTCAAACTAGACTTAAAACAGTAGTATCGATTCGCTCGTATATTTTTTCCGTCTAACAAGTCTGTGCTTAGTACTTGCTTCGGCTAGTAAATATCTATTCCCAGCCAGTTATTATTGACCGTGTCCGAGGTATGTGAGATCTATGATTCTTTAAAGAAGTATACGGAGTAAATAAGACAGAGAATATGAAACAACAGGTAGGAGCCCATGTTACACAACACCTGATTTCCGAACAAAAACACCCCGCCATCTGTGGATCTACCTAGGATCCAGTATAGAAGAACGAGGACTCGACTCCCTACACAAGACTCCGTGTAGTCAGGTTGAATTAGACCATCCGACTGGTGACTTCCTTAGTCCACTAGTCTAACACGTTCTAACTAACATAATTAACATCCCCACCCCAAGATAACTAGTTACTGTGTACTGAATATAGTGAAAGTTAGCAGTAACTATGCATCCTCACCAACCAATGATAACCAGTGAAACACAATTAACCCAACTAGCTTACTTAATATTTCAGGTTAACGCGCCTGTCTGCCCAGCCCGGCAGCCCCCCCCAAAAAGAAACGCCCCAGTCAGCCCACGCAGATAGATGCTGATGGCTGATGGCTGATGCCCCTCTTGGGTCTTTGGGTCTTACCTTAGCCTTAGGTACCTTACTCGGTATAGGTAGTGGAGGTAGGTAAGTAGGTTACCGGTCATGTAAAGGTATGTAACACAACTTCTTTTCCGGCTTGGAGACTTGGAGTCCAGGAAGTGAGAGAGAGAGAGTGCGAGCAGCCCCTCTCGTCTCGACTCAGCCGAGTGTTTCTGTGCAACCCATGCTTTTCGTTTCTTTTCTTTTCTTTATGACTTTTTGTTTCTCGTCGTCTACCTATCCTTGTCCTTGTTTCGGCGTGTGCTGTGCCTTTTCTTTTTTTTTTATCGATATTTGTCTGTTCTTTTTCAGGTACGATATACCTGCCTGTAGGTAAGGAGGAAGACGGGGCTTTCAGCTGCGGGTGGGAAAGTAAATCGAGGAGGGAAGGTTAATGTTATTTTTTACTTGTATAGGAAACCGTCTTACATACTCAGCTTTAAGGTAGCTATTTATCTGACATTCAACATTCGTCTCGTCAGTCCTACTTCGTGCTGAGGACTAAAGTACCTAAAGAGGGGAATTATTGTGTACATACTACTCCTACAAAGACAGCTGGATACTAGATACTGCATACTGGATACTCCGTACAGCGGGGAGAGAAGAGAAAATTAACCGCCACGCTAACTAGATCCCAGCTCTCGCTCTCTCCGTCTCTCTCGGGCGCTTACAGCAGTGCATCGTACTTTTGGCGAGTGTTGGTCTGATGCGGATTCCCGTGAAAGAAAATCTGAATGATCATGTCATGGTCCAGGTAGTTCGGTGGTGAGAATTATCCGGATCTACACATGATGAAGAAAGAGTGCAGGCCAACTACGTCTGTAAACGGCACTTTGTTTCAGTATAAAATGGCATGGTGACTTCTTGCCCTCTGGTTTTCCAAGGGATTTGCGCCGTTTGTTGCAATGTCGTACATCATCGATCTGAAACAGTGCCGAAAGACATCTCGTCACCTATGAGGACACCTTGCCGCGATTCCTGCAGAGGACTGTTGGTTCTGAATGACTGACTCCCATGATGTAATAACGCCTCTGTGTTATGCTTTCTCACGGAACTCAAAACACCAACAACTCCCTTTCCTTTTTTGAACGTGCAGTTTTCCAAATCTAAAAAAGTAATGCAACCAACTGGGCAAGCGTACAAGGTGACGGATCCTGTCGCTATCCTTTCTGTTGTTCCCCCCACCCCTCTTCCAAGGCAGCCATGCAGCGGCCATCGGGCGAACCATACGTCAACCCTGCCCAGGTCAAAGCTCAAGCTATCTACTGCAGGCCGGGCTAGAATTCCATCGTCGGAATCCAATCACTGCGTTGTCGGGGAAATGAGATCACACTTCCCCCGGACCAGACTTCTGCAGCTGCAATGTCGCAGGTCCTGGTGGCTCCGTCCAAGTCGGCAACTCCAGGTCGACCACGATAGGGGCGTGGAAGCGTTTCCCTCCGCGGTGTGGCCAGCTGGTTGCTAGGATCGCCGCGTTGACGATGCACGTTTCGCGTCGTAGCGGTCGGGGTGTCTGACTGGCGGACGGCGGGCACGATGGCGGCGAATGTTGTTCTTGCCCCGGGGCGCAAGGTCGTGGGTGTGGCTGATCGTCCATAGGGCATGAGGTATCTTGAGACGATGACATCCTAGACTCGATCATCGCACAGCCATGATTATCGAGGCGCGGTGCCTTCCTCCCCGTCAGATCGACAAGGCTTTGTTTTTTACTTCCCGGAACAGGCAACGTCCCTTTGACTACTTGGTCTTCTTCTTCGTCGTCGACGCTCGCTTCGGACTTCGCATTTGACGAGATGGATGACGACGCCGAACTCTGCGACCATCGTACTCGCTCAAAGCCTAGCGACTCATGGACATGACCGCACACCGCGAGCAACGGTCGGACCCTACTTAACGCCTGACGCAGGGCCTTGCACCCAACCGCGCCCACTGCTCGGCTGTCGCAGTGGGAATGAGGCGGCGTGTGGGTGACGACAAGATCCGCATCCAATGGGATCCGATCCCAGAGTGCAGCCGCATGAGTGGATTCGTATCCATAGGCCCAGGTCCCGGGAGATTGGGAGAAGGGGGAGCCAAAGACCTTGAAAACTGTGTTTGGTCCGTTAGGCCGGGTCAAGCGGATTAGTGCTGACTGATGCCTGAGAAACACGATCGATGGCGATGCCGTGGTCACGATTTCCATGCATTCCTGGGGATCTTCTAGATGCTGACCGTGGAATTTCGACCCGTGCTCGGCATAGAAGGCTGCGTCTAGGGTGATGTCGTGATTACCTGATATCCGCTTTCGAGTTCAGCATCAGGGGCAGGTTTCGAGCTGAATTGACTGACCGCAAATGACGATTTTGACTTCGAAGTCGGCAGCTGCAATCCAGTTCGTCGTTTTGCGAAGCTCGGATTTGCTCCCGTGGTTGGTCAAATCTCCGGCATGGATCAAGACGTCGCCGGCGGGCAGTTTGAATCCCGCTTCGGATGGTGTATAGGCATGGGTATCCGAGACACAGACAAAGCGTGTTCTCTGGGTCATGTTTATTCCTTTCTATCCGTCTTTTGCCATGAGAATTCGGAACGATATCCCCTGAAAACACTTCGTAGATCCAGAAGCAAATATAAAAGCATGAGTCGGCTCCTCTCGGAGCTGTCACGAGGCTTGAGATAGCTCTTCAACTATTCTGCTGCGGCACAGGTAAATGAGTGCATCCACCAGATCCACGAATACTACCATGCAAGGTAATAGAAAGGAATGACAGTCAAGTATTCTACCTATGGAATAATGGAACTTCTGGAACCCCGCTTATATCATCCGATCCCATCAATGCCAAGATCCACCGCAAATCGGCCAATCACCGATCGGCCGTAAACAAGGCCGGATTTACCGGGTGGAGTCGGCGCTAGTCCTAAAAGGTAATGTCGATGACCGCACCGCGACTAGAGAGTTCTAGTAGTAAGCCGAGTCTCTCTCTCTCTTCTTCTCCTGATCAGCCCAGACTCCCCCAGCTCTCCCTCGACTGACCCTTCGGACTGTATATAAAATTTACATTCAAGTCAATCGGGCCATCGACCAAGTCAGTCTTTTACAATGCCACGATGGAGACGCAGAGATAAATCTCGATCCGATCAAGATACAATAACCACGCGCAACAATTTTGCTGCCTTGGCCGAGAGCTTCCAGGGTTCGCCGGCTCCCAAACCTGCCTCGACAGCCGTTGCTTCTCTTCGTGCAGTGTCTGGTGGTTCTCCTGATTCGACGAGGACTACGACATCTTCCCCGAACCAGACTCTTCCCGACCCTGCGGCAGCCCAAAAGCTCGCGAAACAGCATGCCGAATTTGGTCCCCTGGGCGATCCCTCACATCTCTACACTAGTGAACACCCTGGCGGAGAGATCCCCGACCCGATTCTCGATGAGCCGCCTTATTTTATCGCTCTAACCACCTATATCAGCTTCCTGGTTCTAATCTTTCTCGGCCACTTTCATGATGCCGTTGCCAAGTGGTTCCGATCCCACACGTATCGACACTTGAGGCCGCGCAACGGCTATGCCTCGCTGTATAGTGATTTCGAGAGCTTTTATACCCGTCGACTGAAGCAAAGAATCAACGACTGCTTTGAACGGCCCACGACGGGTGTCCCCGGAAGATATATTACCTTGCTCGACCGGCAATCGTATGACGACAACCTCAATTTCCAGTTGACCGGGACGACTACAGACACGCTGAACTTGAGCTCGTATAACTATCTTGGCTTTGCCCAGTCCGAAGGGCCCTGTTCCGATAACGCCGAAGAAGTCATTCGACAGGATGGTATTAGTATGTCAGGCAGCTGCGGCGACGCATCGACGTCGAAGCTCCACGTCGAGGTGGAAAACCAGGTGGCGCGGTTCGTGGGGAAGGAGGATGCCGTCATCTTCTCCATGGGATTTGTCACGAATGCGACCATTTTCCCCGCGATCATGGAGAAGGGATGTTTGATCTTGTCGGATGAACTCAACCATGCATCTATCCGGTTCGGTGCGCGTCTCTCGGGGGCTTCCATCCAGGTGTTTGCCCACAACAACATGGCCGATCTGGAGAAGCGACTGAGAGAAGCAATCTCCCAGGGCCAGCCCCGTACCCATCGCCCGTGGAAGAAGATTCTCGTCACAGTGGAAGGCTTATTCTCCATGGAAGGCACTATGTGCAACCTCCCTCGGATTCTCGAACTCAAGAAGAGATACAAGTTCCATCTCTTTATCGACGAAGCTCATTCAATTGGTGCGGTCGGTCCCCGTGGCCGTGGCGTGTGTGATTACTTCAAGATTGACCCTGCCGAGGTCGACATTCTGATGGGCACTTTCACCAAATCCTTTGGGGCCAATGGCGGCTATGTCGCCGCGGACAAAGCGATCATTGACAAGATCCGCTGCACCAACGCCGGCCAGATATTTGGCGAAGCTCCGGCTCCATCGGTCCTCGCCCAGATTTCTTCCTCGTTCCGACTGATCGCTGATGAGGACCCCCTACATCCGGGCCAGGGCCGCGAGCGGGTCCAACGGCTTGCCTTCAACTCGCGGTATCTCCGGCTAGGACTGAAACGACTAGGCTTTATCGTGTACGGTCACGACGACTCGCCTATCGTGCCGCTGATGCTGTACAATCCCGCCAAAATGTCGGCATTTTCGCACGAAATGCTTAAACGCAAGATCTCGGTGGTAGTAGTGACCTACCCTGCTACGCCGCTAGAGCTCTCCCGTGTGCGCTTCTGTCTGTCTGCAGCCCATACCAAAGACGACCTTGACCGCCTGTTGATGGTGTGCGACGAGGTCGGCAACGCTTTGCACCTGAAGTACTCAACGGGAATTGCAGGCGGGCTGAGGGAACCTCTTTCCGCCGACTCGGCGAAAGGGGGCCGGAAAGCGATCGAGCCTCCTCGTTGGACTCTGGAGGAAGTCATTGAACGGGGCACGCAAGACGCAAAGCTGCCCTTGTATTGACAAAAAGGATACGACATGAACGGTCTATGACCCACTTGATGCTGTGATGGCGCCGATGCATTAATTTCTCTTCTTACTCTCGTTTGTTGAATCGGCATTTACTGTTAATAACATATGCCCATGTCTATATATACCTCACTAGGAGGATCTATCAGTTAATTGTAATAATATATACAAGGATGTGAATAATGTGGAACACAAGACCTTTTCCCGTGCGTGGAGACCAGTTTAAGGCTAAAGGTTATACGGGGTGAGCGAAGAAAGGAAATCGCAAAGTAATTCATCCTTCATGAAGGGGTGACATAATGTAAAGGAATCCTACTAGTCCATCTAATTAATTATTCAATCGGGGCGTCTTGGGTTGCAGTGGTTCTTTTCATCAGGATCTGGAGGCTACCTATCGGGGAGGATCGGTATTGCGGGGATAGGTCACAGAGTAGCCGCGTAGCGCCAACCCTTTTGACATCACAACCAGAAGGGAAGAGTCGACGACCATTGCTTTAATTTAAAGACCGCGGTGGATCACTTCTGCCCAGTTTTAAAGGCCATGCTAAAGGACTCAAGTTTCAAGGCCAAAGAGTGGAAGGGCCCAGGCTGGACCGGGCGGGGCCACGTGACCGCACGCCACGGGATTGGCCGGGCATTAGGGCTGGGGCCCTCGATCTTCCACAAAGGGAGCCTCGCTTAAGCGACCCTCACGACGGTGCGAACCATCCGACTTCGTGGTGAGCGTTGAACCTGCCCACAACGACAACAACCGCCGACAACATACATCCCAAGGGAGTATCCTAGAGCCGTGCTCTTCCTTTCGCCGGATATTTTCCTTTAGAGACGACAGAGCAGGATGTCCTCCCAAGAGCCAGTCGTGCGTTCTTCCCCCTTCACATGCATCCCGACGCCAATTGCTCCTCCCCCGGTGATATCTTGAAGATGTCGGAAGGAAGATGAAGATGAGGAAAAGGTGGAAGAAGATGAATGGGGAGAGATGGTGTTCATGGGATGCAAAGGAAATGTCTGGATTGAGAATGAAAATCGCTGACTTGTGTTGGATCGCTTTATAGGTCGTCATTGACGGCAAGGGACATCTCCTTGGTCGCCTGGCCAGCACTGTCGCTAAGCAGCTGCTCAACGGCCAGAAGATCGTCGTTGTGAGATGTGAAGCCCTCAACATCTCCGGCGAGTTCTTCCGCGCGAAGTGTACGTGATCACAACCCGACTTTCTTTTTCTTTTTTGCAACGCACAATCCATTTTGCTGTACGGGGAATCTGTGGTGGCGCGAACGTTGGGAATCAGAACATCAAGGATATATGGATGGACAGCAAACGGCATCATGCGCAACGAAGCGATGGAAGAATATTGGGATATTGTGCTACAACTGGGTTTATTGCAGACGACTGACTTGGGATTCCGGAATACAGTGAAGTACCACGCCTACCTTCGCAAGATGACCCGTTTCAACCCTACCCGCGGAGGTAAGTCGACACAGCCCTGAGGGAAATGGTCACAACCGGTGCAGACGTTAATTGTGAACTCAGGTCCCTTCCACTTCCGTGCCCCCTCTCGCATCTTCTACAAGGCCGTCCGTGGCATGATTCCCCACAAGACCGCCCGTGGTACCGCCGCCATGGAGAGGCTGAAGGTCTTCGAGGGTGTCCCCCCTCCCTACGACAAGAAGAAGCGCGTCGTCGTTCCCCAGGCTCTGCGTGTCCTCCGCCTCCGCCCCGGCCGCAAGTACTGCACCGTCGGCCGTCTCAGCCACGAGGTTGGCTGGAAGTACCAGGATGTTGTTGCTAGGTGCGTATATCCTTGGAGTCCCAAGTCGTATGGGACTATTCGTGTTGGGAGAGTTCTGGATGGGCAATGGCTAACGGGAATTACTACTACAGACTCGAGGAGCGCAGAAAGGTCAAGAGCAGTGCATACTACGAGCGCAAGAAGGCCGCTCGCCGCCAACTCACCCACGCTCAGAAGTCGGCGGGTGTTAACGAGAAGACCAAGAGCCAGCTCGCTGAGTACGGATATTAGATACCTAGTTGCGCGGCCGGTTGCTTGTGTCTGTGATGGGATGGGTTGGGATCGCGAGCGGTTTTCTTTCAGCGGAGTGTTGGACGGCGAACCGATCGACCTTTTTCTCACCGTCCCTACCCTGTCATGAAAATCCACAATACTCATGTTGTGACGCACATGGGGGGCTTGGAGAGACCGATTTCTGTTTATAAAAAAAACTACGGAGTCGCTTGGGATGAAAGGTTGTTCAAAATAGCTGACCGTTATTTCGCGCCGTGGCGGTTTAATCCAAAGAATTTTTCTTTCAGAGTTCAAAACAAAAAAAATGACTCTTTACGACTTTGACTGTTACAACTTTTCCTTCTGTTCTCTTCTCTACTTCCTTGGCTGCCATTCTCTTCGTTCACCCGACATCATTAAGGCCCCTGCAAGCCCATCACGCTACCCCATGCGACATCTTTTCGAGTAGGGAATTAAAAGAGGAATCATGCGAAGTCAAAACTGTCAATCCACCAACCTGATCCTCTGTGGACCATCTCTAGCCGCCGTGCGAGCGTGGAGCTGCATGTGACGACTGTGACGAGGTGATCTCGGCGTTTTGCCCGTAGTGAGTGACACTGATCAGTTGGGGCAAAGATCACCCGTGACCAGGGTCCTTGTAACAACCGATGACTCGATCTAGTTCGCCTTTGAGTTTCCTGGATCATGGATGATCCTGTCCATCTGTAGAACGTAGTCCCTCACTTACAAATTACAGCTACTCCATAAATCTGAAGGGCGGAATGCGATCCCCGATCTCCGCTTCTCCGCGGTCCGAGAAAAAGCGCTTCCCCGCATTATCTGGCGTTCTCCAACTTGCCCTACCGAACTTCGCTCGCGCGCCCTCGCTTGTGCCCTGATTTTGCATGCTCTTTCACTCCTCCTGTCATCTCTCCTGTTCCCCCTCCTTGATTGAAGTCATCATGTCAGCTGCGAGATCCCGTCTGTCAAGCCTGTTAGGGCATTTGGTCCCTGCTCAGAACAAGGGCCCTACCGCATCGCCCGCACAATTTGAACACTCGGTCAATTTTCATACCCTTTCGCCGACGACCTTCCTGCCTCGGGCGGCGGCTATCGAGCCAGAGGTGAGTCACTGGTCAATTAGTTGGTGCTGGGCTAGCTTGTGATGGCGGTGATGATCTAACATGGGTAATCTATGACGGTTCGGTCGATGTAGGCGGAGGCAATTGTTCACATCACGGTCAATGGCCAACTCCTGCGGAGAACATATCTTGAGACGGCCGATCGAGCCCGAGGTCTTGCGTACTATCTCAAGAAACGGGGATGGAAGAGAGTCGGCATTCTTTGCCCTAATACGCCTGCTTTCCTGGAGTCGATCTTTGGGATTGCCGCTGCGGGAGCTGTCAATGTTGGTAAGGGAGCTGTTCTACCCTTGATTTTTTTTCGGTGCTCTGTGTTATATGATTCATACGCTGACAAGAGATGTCTACGCTCTGCTTCAGCTGTGAATTACCGCCTCAAGCCTGATGATATTGAGTATATCTTCACCCACTCGGATGTCGAAGCAATCATTGTAGACGAGGAGTACCTTCCCCTTCTTGAGTCGTATAGAAAGTCGAATCCCAACATTTCCATCATCGTTGATACCGACACGGATGCCACCGAAGGTCAAGTATCTGGTCCTTTCGACGACGCGGTTCTGGATGGCTTGAAGTATGACGCGGACACCGGTGCCAAGGGATGGAGCGGGCTAGAGAGCCAAGCAGCCTCCGAAGACGATATCGTTGCCCTAGCCTACACCAGTGGCACCACGGCCCGGCCAAAAGGCGTCGAATACACTCATCGGGGCTGCTATCTCGCTGCCTTGGGTAATGTGATCGAGTCGGGTCTCAACACACTTTCTGGCCGCTGTGGTTATTTGTGGACTTTGCCGATGTTCCATGCGATGGGTATAGTAGATCATTTTCCTTAAGAACCTCGAGGAACTGGATTCATTTTGCTGACACTTCCCAGGCTGGTCATTTCCCTGGGCCGTCACGGCTGTCCGCGGGACTCACTACTGTCTACGGAAGATTGACTACCCTCAAATCTGGAAATTGCTGAAGGAAGAGGGTATCACTCATTTCAATGCGGCGCCGACGGTGAATACACTCCTCTGCAGTGCCAACGAGGCCGAGCGTCTTCCATCGCCCGTGCACGTAACAGTGGCAGCCAGCCCACCTACGCCCCATCTCTTCGAACAGATGACCAACTTGAACCTGCATCCTGTCCATGTGTACGGGATGACAGAGACCTACGGACCCATTACCAAGGGCTATCACATGCCCTCGTGGGACCATCTACCCCCGAAGGAGAAGTACAAGCGGATGGCGCGACAGGGACATGGCTTCGTTACCAGTCTCCCGGTGCGCGTCATCCGAACCGACGTCCCCGAAGGCACCATCGTCGACGTCTCCCGCGACGGATCGGAGATCGGCGAGGTCGTCTTCGTCGGGAATATCACCGCACGGGGATACTACAAGGACCCGGAGGCTACACGGAAGCTCTTCGCCGGAGGGGTCCTCCACTCGGGAGATTTGGCCGTTTGGCATTCCGACGGAGCGATCCAGATCCTGGACCGAGCTAAAGACATTATCATTAGTGGTAAGTTCACCCTCCAGCACAAGTCGCATTAAGCTTGGAATATAGTTACTGATGCACTATGGGGGTCAGGCGGAGAAAATATATCCTCGGTCGCACTCGAGTCCATGCTGGTCACGCATCCTGACATTCTAGAAGCCGGGGTGGTGTCCGTGCCAGATACCCACTGGGGCGAGCGACCCAAGGCGTTCGTTACGGTGAAACCGGGGCAACAATTACAGGGCCAGGAGGTTATCGAGTGGGCCCGGAATGTCAGCGGAATCAGTAAGTTTATGATCCCGCGGGAGGTGGAGGTGGTGGCGGAACTGCCCAAGACCAGTACGGGGAAGTTGAGGAAGAATGTGCTCCGGGAGTGGGCGAAGGGAGCGAGTCGAACATGAGACGAAGCCATGTTGAGGGTCGAGGTCGAGGCTTGAGACGAGGCATTAGGATATATAGATCGATTGATCGCAAGACCGTCTCCCGGTTGGGAAGGGAGGCACTGGACCGGGACTACAGAGGGAATCAAGGCTGTTCAAAACGAAAGGGAGATAGGAAATAGGGATATTGGTGTTTCCAATAGATTCAAACGCAGAATAGAAACAAAGAGAATTAACCTCAGATGAAAACTATCGGGATTCTTCAGCGACGCCTGGCGGTGCACAGTCAGCAGGGCTTATCCGCCCTTCCCTTGCAGTTCTCACGTCGTCACAGCCGCCCGATCGCCTTCACACTTCCACTTCCTCAACCCTGCTGCTTCTATTTATTGCTCCTCTGCTCCCCCCCAGGGATCTCAACAGGTGAGGTGCTTTCGACGGAGAATTCTACACCCTTTCCTGGAACTTTTCATCTTATTCTCTCCTCTCTTCCCTCCCTTCTCCTCCCACCCCCGCCATCTCTGGACCGTCGCTCTTTGGCCTTCCTTCCTTCAGCACCCGACGCGCGCTGTTCCCCCCTAAGCGCCTTCAACTCTCTTGCCTCATCCTTGACCAAGCTTTCTAATTTTAGACATCCTGGACAAGGTCAGGCAGCTTTCTGATCCGTCACCTTCACCCGCACCCGCGTCCACCCAACCTTACTCCATATTGGGTTGAAGGAGCGATCGCAAATTCACTGCTCCGCCCGGCTTACACCCCCTCCCCTCCCCTTCGGTCGGCCTTCTGTCTCTATGGTTTTCTGAGGATACTCCCGTCTATGCCGTCCAGTCTTCCTCTGTTGGTGAGATAGACAAATCGCAGCATTATCCGGAAATCAAAACCGATCTTTTTGGAGATTCGATCCTCGACCGCAGCCCTCATGCCCCGCTCACGGCAACCCGCTCGATTCTCGAGCGAAGCCCCCTCCGAGTCCTCGAACTCGACATCCCCGGACCGAACAGTTGACGACGATACCGACTTCTTCACCTCCCAGGCAAATGACTCGCAATCATCGGTCGGGCTCGGCACCGTTCGGGACTTGAACGGCCACCACATCGATCATGAAGCGATGCTCCCGCCGATCGGACGCCTGCCCCCCGAGATCCTGATCGCCATCTTCTCGAAACTCAGTGCGCCAAGGGATATGCTAAGTTGCATGATGGTGTGTCGAGGATGGGCCGCGAACTGCGTTGGGATACTATGGCACCGGCCATCCTGTAACAACTGGACCAACATGAAAAGCATCACGGGATCCGTCGGCGCCGCCAACGCTTTCTTTCCCTACTCGGAGCTCATCAGAAGACTCAACCTTTCGGCCCTCACGGCGGATGTCAGCGATGGCACCGTGATTCCCTTCGCGCAGTGCAAACGGATCGAGCGTCTCACGTTGACTAACTGCTCCAAGCTGACGGACAAGGGCGTGTCGGATGTGGTGGAAGGCAACCGGTATCTACAAGCGTTGGACGTGTCGGAACTGCGTTCTCTGACGGACCACACCCTGTACGCTGTGGCTCGGAATTGCCCTCGCCTCCAAGGGCTGAATATCACCGGATGCATCAAGGTTACGGACGACTCGTTGATCGTCGTGTCGCAAAATTGTCGGCAGATCAAAAGAGTGAGTGAAATATTTCTAGATGAACATGTATGCTTTGTGTTTTAACTTCGGTCTAGTTGAAACTCAACGGCGTCGCCCAAGTTACCGGTCGAGCCATCTTGTCCTTCGCCCAGAACTGTCCGGCTATCCTCGAGATCGACCTCCACGGCTGCAACATTGTCAACAGTTCCTCCGTTACCTCTCTCATGGCCACCCTGCCCAACCTCCGTGAGCTCCGACTCGCTCATTGCACCTCGATAGACGATATGGCATTCTTAGATCTACCGAGGCACCATTCCATGGACAGCCTGCGCATTTTGGATCTGACGGCGTGTGAGAATGTTCGCGATGAATCCGTGGAACGTATCATCCAGGCGGCCCCTCGCCTGCGAAACTTGGTCCTGGCGAAGTGTCGATTTATTACCGACCGCGCGGTGTGGGCTATTTGCAAACTTGGGAAGAATCTGCATTATGTCCACCTGGGTCATTGCTCAAACATCACCGATGCCGCGGTGATCCAATTAGTGAAGTCCTGCAACCGGATCCGGTATATCGACCTGGCCTGTTGTAACCGCTTGACGGATGAGAGCGTTCAGCAGCTGGCGACGTTACCGAAACTAAGACGGATCGGACTGGTCAAGTGTCAGTTGATCACCGACGACAGTATCCTGGCTTTGGCACGGCCGAAGGTTTCCGTTGGAGTGAGTTGCCTGGAGCGAGTGCATCTAAGCTACTGCATCAGGTTAACCATGGATGTAAGTGATCTTTCTGAATCATGTTGAGAAAGTCAAGGAAAATACTGACTTGAGCAGGGAATTCATGCGTTGCTTAACAACTGTCCTCGACTTACCCACCTCAGTCTTACCGGCGTGCAGGAGTTCCTGCGCCCGGAGCTCACCATGTTCTGTCGCGAAGCACCTTCGGAATTCACTCATCAGCAACGCGATGTGTTCTGCGTGTTCAGTGGCGACGGAGTGTGTCGACTCCGGGACTACCTCAACCGAAACGTAACTCCTCAGCGGGATCTGACCGAGGTTACCATGTATGACGACGACGATGAACTAGACGAAGAAGAGGGCCAAGTGACCGGCCTGTTGCATGCGACTGCTATTAACGATGACGATTACATTGACATCGGACATCCTCAAGCCTGATGATACCCCTCTTTTGTCCTCCCTTTTCCCTTCTACTTGAGCGTGTCTGTTTTTGACCATTTCTAGCCCTATTCACCAGCCTCTACCTGATTTCCTTTCTCCTTCTCTTTTGATATCTATCTCTTTTTACCACTTTCCTTCTTTTCCTATTCATCTGTTCGGCTGTTTTCCTATCTCTCCCTTATCAAATGATCTTGGCCGAGGCCTTGACAAGGGTTCGGATTTGTTCGCCAGTTCATCGGCTGGCAAGTGCATTGGTAGCGGTCTACCACTCGGGAGGGTGTTTTGCTTCTGTTTATTATTATGATCCCCGTGGGATGATTGTTCGGGTTTAGGCATATTCGAGAACATTATTGGAACCAGGGTGCCAGCCAACGCGGTGTGGTAGCAAGTAGAGACGGCATGGATGGGACCAACAGCACCGCTGGCGGAGATTCCATCAGCATCAATCCAGGATAGATCCCCTCGGGGGGATTTATATACGTACGGGGCACCGTTGCATCTCCCACTATTTCCTAATGGACACTTTTGCATGGAAAATCAAAATGGCGTTGGGGCTGGTGCGGTCTCTGTGTTCATATTGCGCATATTGTTTGTTGATATTTCCATAGCCAGAGACTACATACATTCACATATCCACAATTGAGAATCGAAAGTAACTTGGCAGTCTCCTGCTACAAAGTACTCGGCCATACAAATTTGGCGGCAGAGGTACGCGGGAGCAGATCCCGCGCGGGTCACCTGTCAAGGCTCCCCGCTTTTAGTGTCTTAGTCTCTTCCGCCTTCCGCTTTCTTGCATCATTTCTTTCCCTCCGCATCTTCTCCTCACTGCTTTTTTCTCTCACCCTCTTCGTCCTTTCGACGAAACAGAGCTTGTTCATGGCTCATACCAAATTGTCGCGGGTCAATCCGCTGGCATTCACTCCATGGCCGGTCACTATCATCACCGCGATTGTGTATCTGGCGCTGGTAATCCCTCTGCTCGTCATCCACCACATCGTGCCGTCAGCTCCTAGCTCCGAACCGAACGGATTGAACATCACCGAGGCCTGGGCCGATCTTCAGATCCTCTCCAGCAGTTTCCATCCCTACAACTCCCGCCGCAACGACGTCGTCCATGATTGGCTGCTCACCCGGATCGACGAGATCGTGAAAGCCGCGTCCCCGGGATTGCCTGATGAAGAGAAACCCGACGTGTTCGTCTTCGACGACAACCGCTCGAACCTGACATTCACCGGCAGCACGATCACTGCATCCGAGCTCGGGGTATATTTTGAAGGCACCAATATCATCGTCTATATTCGGCGCCCAGGTGATAATCAGGACGAGTGGTGGGAGGACCCGAACGGAACGCCGAAGGACCCGGGAGGGGTGCTGGTGAACTCCCATTACGACAGCGTCTCGACGGGATTCGGAGCCACCGATGACGGGGTCGGCGTCGTAACCTGCCTGCAGCTGATCAAATACTTCACGGCGCCGGGAAATGCCCCGCGACGGGGCCTGGTGGTGTTGTTCAACAATGGCGAGGAGGACTTCCTGAACGGAGCGCGCGTGTACAGCCAACATCCGATCTCCCGCTTGCCTCATACGTTCCTGAACCTGGAGGGTGCTGGCGCCGGCGGTCGCGCGGCCCTCTTCCGCAGCACAGACACCGAGGTGACCCGGCCGTATCTGCAATCGCCGCACCCGTTCGGCTCGGTGCTGGCGGCTAACGGGTTCGACATGCATTTGATCAGCAGCCAGACTGACTATGTGGTTTTCAACGGCGATCTAGGGCTGCGCGGGCTGGATGTGGCGTTCATTGAGCCGCGAGCCAGGTATCATACGAACCAGGATGACGCGCGACATACGAGCAAGGACTCGCTTTGGCATATGCTCTCGGCTGCGGTGGCCACCACGACGGAATTGGTATCTGACGCGAGCAACCAGTTTGATGGCCCGGCGTCTGGGGATCATGACAAGATCGCCAGCGGCACCGGATCGAAAGCTGTCTGGTTCGACCTGTTCGGCAGTACCTTCGTCGTGTTTCAGCTGCACACACTGTTTGCCTTGTCGGTGACGCTGCTCATCGTGGCTCCTTTGACCCTGCTCTTCACGAGCATCGCCCTCACGCGAGCCGACAAGATGTACCTGTTCCGCTCGTCAGCCAAGTCGGAGGATGGTCTCGAGACGGTCTCGTTGCAAGGTCTTCGGGGCTTCTTCCGGTTCCCGTCGCTGTTTGTGATTCCGACCGGCGTCACCGTGGGGCTAGCCTACCTGGTAACGAAGGTGAATCCATTCATCGTCCATAGTAGCGAGTATTCCGTCTGGAGCATGATGATCTCAGCCTGGTTGTTCCTGGCTTGGTTCGTCTCGCGGGTAGCCGATTTCGCTCGACCGTCGGCCTTGCACCGCGTCTACACCCTCACGTGGCTGTTTGTCGTGGCGTGGGTTCTACAGGTCATTGCCACCGTTTACATTCATCAGAGAGGACTAGCGGGAGGATACTTTATCTTCTTTTTGTACTCTGGCGTCTTCCTTGCCACCTGGATCTCATACCTGGAGCTCTTCTCCCTGCCGCGGAAGACAGAGTATGCCAACCAGGTCCGGCCGGTTTCGAGGCGGCCTAGCAGCTACGGTAGTCGACTGGGCACGGCGCACAGCCACCGGGACGATGGGGTGGAGGAGAATGAAGGGGGAGAGGAAGACGAAACCGATCCGGATGCCGAGGAGGAGCCGACGGAGTCGACGTCCCTGCTGGGCGGTGGACAACGGACGACCTTTGCCAATTACGTGCGGGTGGCCGGCGAGCATGGGTATTACACGGATCGAGACGAGGAGGATGAGAACCCTCAGGTCTACGGTCGCGAGCAGGCCTGGAGCTTGCACCTGCCCAAATGGACATGGGTCTTGCAGTTTCTCCTCATCGCGCCGATCGTCCTGATTTTGGTAGGCCCTCTTGCGCTACTGCTTACCAGTGCGCTCCACCAGACGGGACAGGACGGCAGCCCTCGCCTGTTCGTATATATCGCCGTGGCCGTCTTGACCACGCTCCTCCTCCTGCCACTCCTCCCTTTCATCCACCGCTACACCTACCACCTGCCGATGTTCTTACTGCTGGTGTTGCTGGGCACGCTGGTGTACAATCTGGTTGCGTTCCCCTTCTCGGAGAGCAACCGAGTGAAGCTCTACTTCATGCAGGAGGTCGACCTAGACAACGGCAGCAATCAGGCGTCGCTGACGGGCATGCTGCCATTTGTGGAGGACGTGGCCAAGGATCTCCCCAGTGCCGCCGGACAAAATGTCAGCTGCGCGTGGCTTGGCAATCGCAGCAAGTGCGCCTGGGCCGGGCTGACTCCCCTGGTCGCGGCGCAGCACCCCGACGAGCGCCAACCACCAATGGCCGACTGGGTCTCGTTCAACATCTCCCGGTGGACCAATGACTCGCGGGCCCGCTTCGAGGTGTCGGGGCTAAATACGCGCGCCTGCAAAATCGTCTTTGACCGGCCCATCTCCGGCTTCCACGTTGACGACGGCGCCGTCGATCCTCGCTTCCCGCACACCTCCCCCACGGGCATCAGGGAGGTACGGCTGTGGAGCCGCACCTGGGACCGAACCTGGCACGTCGACGTCGAATGGACGGAGGAGCAGGACGCAGCCGACCAGGATCTCAGCGGGCGTGTCGTGTGCCTCTGGAGCGATCACAACCAGGTCGGGCTGATTCCCGCCCTGGATGAAATCATGCAGTTCGCGCCGGTGTGGGTAGCGGTGAGTAAACTGACGGATGGATTGGTGGAGGGAAGTCGGGCGTTTAGCATTTAGTTTGAACAATGCGTTGGCTTTGATGTTTGCATGAATATGGATGGTTTAGTAGGGTGTTAAATTAGGTGTTTCCTTCTTTCGGTTATTTGTTAGTTTTATTCTAGTTCTAGTTTACAGAGTAAGACTAGATAGCTTTCTTTTTCTTTTTCTTTTTCTTTTTTTTTTTTTCTGCTTCTGATTCGTTTCTGTCTGTCCTGTCCAGACTGGGGCCTGAGATACTAGTTAGGTCGTTAGGTAGTTACTTGTTCATTTGCTAAGGTATGTACTCCGTATACGGATTAGTTAGGTATGTACCTTCTTTACCTTTGAAATGAGCGATCAACAACCATCTATTTTCAATTGGATTGTTGTGCGTAAGTAGCGGTCTAGTCCACTTCCACTACCACTTTATTTCTACCTCCGTTGGCCTAGTTACTTGTGCCTGCATGCCTATCTACCTATCCGTCTACTGTACCTGCTGACCTACAGAGATATTGAGCTATTGACCAAAAGTACGGTACATACATGATCCATGGGATCTAAGGAGGGCGGGACCTAACACGACAGCAAACAGCACAGCTTACAACTCAACTCAACTAAACTCAACACAGGACACATTACCCCTGTTGGGATAGATTGGGCAAGGGAAGGTCAGGTAAGGTAGATGTTTGATACCTCACTGCATAATTGGTCAATATTTTTTCCTATCGACCTACCTACAGTAAGTACAGTACACCTCCTGCACTGACGCAACATAACCAAGTACAGGAGGTGAGTATGTAACTAGTTGATTGATTGATTGATTGATTGTTTGTTTACTTACAAGATACATTGTGCTCAACAATGGATAGATAAATCATGATCATCTCTAGCTATCCTATCTAAACAGATGGATATATATGGATGGATAAATGAGTGAGGTAAAGTGGATAGATAGCAAACGGCTTGGCTCGATGGATTTAGGCTGATTACGGTAGTTACAGTTTTTTCCTTTCGGTTTTTTCTTTTCAGGTGCTCTTGGGCTGGCTGATCTGATCTTGGACTTGAACGACTCTGACTAGTAACTTAGTTAAGTTAGCTCTTTTCTTCCTGCTTATCAATTGAACTGATTGATTATTCGATGTCTATGTTTTTTGGTTGTATGAGTAACGATCATTTTGGTTTAGATTATAGAATAATAATTCTTAGGATTTGATTCATCTATCTGTATATTACCTGGTAGATTAGTGTAGATAAGTATATTATGTGAATAGACAGATAGACAAGCTAGAAGATACGATAAATACTAAAGGGGTATATATAACCAACAATAAGCAATCAATCAATCAACAATAAACAGGAAGAATAGATATACTGTAAGTATGTACCTCGTCTGGGAAGAGGGAGGAAGGAAGAAGGAATCCAAACGGCGAAGTCAGTAGCCACCGGCCGTAGTCAGAAGGCCAACCACTCAACTCGGACCTCGGGGTAAATAACAGCGGCGATATAGTTCAGTTAGTCCTTCCCCGATTCAATCTAGATCAGAGATTGACTTGGGTGGCGCAGGTTAGACCGATGAACTATTACCGACCATCCTCTTCCTCCCCTGAAAAAAAAAGGGAAAAGGTCACCAGAACTAAACCAAGCCGGGCACGGACATTCGGGAAAATGCGACCGTTATTGCCCTTTTCTTTGTTCCAACTTCCGAATCCAGATTCTTTTCTTTCCGGGCTTTTTGAACCGTCAATCGACCATTGAAATCACCGGGCGGGAAACCCCGGTCGTGCTGAGCCGTTGCGTGGAAAGTGAGGCTCGGAGGATCAAGTCTAAGAAACTTTCATTGTCTCTTCTTCCCGTCCCGTTTCTGTCTTTGTCCCCTGAACTCTGTTTCAGGTCCAGATTCCCGATCGAGACCCGGCCCCCAGTTGTGGTCAGTGGTTCTGATTTTCTGGTTCTGGTTCGGTTGCTTCCGTCTTCCCAATCACGGACCACGTGAAACGGTAAAATCATACAACAAACATTTGACATGGCATGATGTCGTAAGTCGTTATCTCGTTCGATGATATGTTCGATCTAGAATCGCTCCAGATGCATGACGCTAATATGATGTAATGGATGTATGCAATATGCCGACAAAGAATTGGAGCCAATTGCAGAACAAAAAAAGGGGTATCTCAAAGGTATATGATTTTTTTTCTTCTTCTTGTTTTTCAGTTCTTTCACCCCGGATGATCATATCGTTTGATTGGGATTATGTGCTTCTGTTTATGCCAGGGATCCGTAAAATCCACCGGACTAGGTTCTTGATCGCCCTGACTATTATTGGTGTGGGTTTCGCCGCTCCACGAGTGGGACACTTCCGAGTGCCCGGTCTCTTGGTCGCGAATGGTCGGACCCGAGGCAGAACCCGCATGCTCGAACATGGCGATCGAGACGTCATCCGAGTCCATCCAGGGGTGCGATCGGCGTCGGCCGGTGGGCGCGGCGTGCGTCAGGTCGGACGTCACGCGGGTGGCATCGACGAAATCGGGGAAGTCGGAGGCACGGTTGCGCGTGGCGGATTCGGTCTTCCAGACGTGACTGCGGACGAGATGCACCAGCTTGCCTAGCACGGCGAACTCCAGCTTCAGCTTGATGCTGTAGACGACGCCCTTGATCATGGTCTCCATGATGTAGAGGTCGCGGTATTCGATGACGAGCAGGCCGACGTCCAGCAGGATGATGATCAGGTTGATGGCCACCAGCTGGTACATGATCTTGCGCTTGCCGCGGTCCGGGTCCAGGCGCAGCATGCGGGTGGTCTCCCAGATGTAGAGGGCGGACAGCACGAACTCCTGGATGCAGAAGCCGGTCATCTGGATCTTCTCCATGACGTTGTAGCCGCGACGGTAGGCCAGGTTGTGGGACAGGTTGGAGCCGTAGGTCAGGACGGTGGTGGGGAAGTGCAGAATGACGACGTTGACGAGGATCATGGTCAGGACGCGGCGCAGGATTCGATGATTGGGGAGCAGCAGGTGCAGGCGCGAGTACAGCACGATGGATTGGCCGGTGACCATGCAGTACCAGCCGACGGTGATGAAGGTGACGGAGAGCCAGGTCTGGTCGGTGAGGTTGAAGAACTTGAGCAGGAAACCAATGGAGTAGGGGACCAAGCCGACGGACGAGGAGATGAAGAGGGACCAAAAGTACAGGCCGGAGAACTGGCTGAAGGTGACGAAGACGAGAATGATGAGTTCGATGGCATTGTACCAGGTGATGCCGGCCAAGGTTGCAATGGCCACTTTGAGGGCCAAACTGTCTCCGGTGTAACCACCGGTGATGCCATCGCCAGGGGATTGACTACCGCCAGTGCTCATGTCGAGAGACGGGAAGGGTAGGAGTCAGAAATTGGACGAGGCTGACCGGGAGAGCGAGAGAGACGGAACAGTTACGGGTGAAGTAAAGGCGGAGGGATACGAGGCATGATGGACGGAGACGAGAAGGCGAGAAGATGAGGGAGGTATAGGAATTGAAGGGAACAGTGGAGGGGAAGTAGGAGAGGAAGGGAAGGGAAGGGAAGAGAAGGGGAAAAGAGCAGGAGAGGGAGAAGGAATGGGTGAAAAATGAGGGTGAACTAGGGTAGGGTGTTCAGGGTAGCAAACAAGCGAGACGGCTGAGGCAGGACATGGAGAGAGGAGAGGAGAGGGAAGAAGAAAGAGGGCAAAGAAAAACAAGGCGCTAGGAAAAAGAGAAAAGAGGTGAGAAAGAGAGGTATGAAATCAGAAAACGAAGGATGAGCCGATGTCAGGTGAGCCAGCAGGGCCCGTCCGGGGCGGAGATTCTGGGGACTTCATCTGTCCTACACTTCCTGCACTTCCAGGCACTCGTCTCTGTCCTCGCCAAGCCGCGATGGATTCGATGCGGGGAATTTCGGCGGAGTCACAAACGTCATTAACCGACGGCCCTTACGGAGACGAAAAGTATCATCCGGACTATCGATTTGACCTACTCATCCTCTCTTCTCTCTTGGATAGAAGAGATGAAGACAACCCCTTACCTCCCCACGTGCCTGATCTCTCAGGCGCTCTACACGTGTGGGCGCAAGGGGAGGCATTCATTCCTTTCGCTCGTCTGGACTGAGCTGAGAGGTATCAAATCAACACGCCACCGGGCGAGAAAATAGAACGGACCACCCTGAGCCCTGGTCCCGGTCCGGGCAACGGCTCAGTTGCCACGCAGGCACACAGGAACAGTACACAAGACACAATCATTTTAAATGAGCTATACTCCGCCCGTCTGCAACCTCAGCAGGTAACTTGCAACCATAATCTGCTGTGTAAGGACAACTCATTTCAACGACTAGAGATCGAGTGATCCCGACTCCGCGGGTGACTCTGGTTCCTAAAATAGTTCCATCGATCGTTTCCGATTGCTGGTCCAGTCCCTGGTCGGATCCCAGTTCTGTCCCCGTCCCTAGTTCTAGTCCGGAAAACTCCATCCATGTCCATCACAAACGCCCCGAATTAAAAAAAGAAATCCCAAACAAAAAAAGAAAAAAAAGGGTAACGCAAGAAAAACAGACATATCCTCCGACCCGGCGATCACCATCTACACCGAGTAGATCAGTCCCCCCCTCTCTCGCTCGCTCTCTCTCTCTCCTGCCTTCCAATCCCGAGCTATGTATGTATGTATGAATGTACCCCGTCAGTCTGGATCCAAGCATGCACGCAAAATAAACAGTATGTGCTGTACAAAGTACCCAGGTAAATCCATCCCCTTCCCCTTAAATTATCATCTCCCCATCCATCCCATCGGATCCATCCCTAGTTCCCACCACCCTCCCCCTCCCCCCCATGTCCATCCACCTCCCCCGTCCCCAAACTCGTCGCCCTAACAACCCTCTCCACCTCCCCCCGACACTCCGGCATAGCACTCCTCATCTCCCTCGCCAACACATCCCTAAAACTAGCAAACGCCTCCTGCTTCCCCTTCAAATCCTGATTCCCGCGCTGTACCAGCTCCACGAACTCCCGCGTGTAGATGTCCGGGTTCCTTGCCGCGTCGACGTAGTCGATGATCTCGGGGGGGAGTTGAATGGTGTTGATGGGGAGGTCGGAGGGGTTTGTTGTTGTGGTTGTGGCGTGTGAGGGGAAGGTTGTTGTAGGGGGGTCGCGCGTGTGTGTTGAGAGGGTGGAGAGACCTTGGGTTAGGGATTTTCTAATCATCATTATTGCATAGGTTAGATATTTGGATTGATTTGTAGGTGGAAAGGGAGAAAGGAGAAGGAGGGAGGGGAAAAGGGGAGAGAGGGTACATCTTTCGAACAAGCTCCTGTTGCGTCTCCGGACCTAGGTAGCCGTGGACGGCGGATTGGATTTCGAAGAGCTGCTGGATGACGTCTTTTAGGTCGTCTTTCGGATCGGGGTTAGTTATATCATTTTGGTAGGTGAGGAAGGGATGAGAGGAGAAGTCTTACTGTCGACCGTGCCGAGGGTGACGGGCGCCATGATGGTCTTCCGCACTTGACTGAGGACTGCGTAGTGAGTGGAAGAATGGAGATCGCGATAAGAATCTCAATCTCAATCTCCATCGCAAGGTTTCTTTGAGCCGCAGCGCAGTCCGGGGCGGTCTAGCCACTTCGGGAAGGTGCGCCGATTCTTGTCTTTGTCTGTTGAACTACAGTGTATAGTGTAAACAAAATAAAATAAACATAGTAAACTTGAATACTGCAGATTGATTGATGATTCGCCATTGTCTAGAAATATGTATAGTTCGATATATGTATATATACCCGTATGTATAGAACAGATTAGGTCCTCAACTCTATAGACCCTTCACCTTGACTCCTGCACTCAACCACACGTCTACCAAAATCCTTCTTCTTTCCCAACCAAGAAAGCATTATGACGATACACATTGCTGGAAAAAAATATTACACTTCCCTGGTTCGTAGGCTAGGGAATTTGGGTGCCTCAATCTCCGTCTCCACCATCTCTAGTCCCGACAGACTAGGGTATCGACGGCTGAAGTTGGCCTCCCAGTCCTCCCCCGGTGTGGCGGGCGCTTCCTGCATGATGGGACTGCGATCATCACCACCACCCACACCCTCCTGCCCCAGCGCCCGCAGGTTCTTCGGTTTCGGAGGAGCGGCCGGTCGCGCCGCGCCCGTGCGTGCCGTCTCTTGTCGGGGAAGATTCGACGGGACCTCCCACCGATCCGCCCCTGGAGAGGGCTGCGTCTGCGGCGACCCGTACGCGGCCGGGCCGACATTCCGCGTGTTCAATCGAGGCTCGGGACGCGCCTCGGCCTGCTTTGCCTGCAAAGCGCTGGTCGACTCGTCCGTGTACCGTCCGTAGCCCGTCGCGGTCTTCGGGGGCGGCGCGGGCTTGTTGCCTTCGGCCAGCAGATTCTTCACGCGTCCCTGAATGGCAAGCGATCGCGGCGTATCGCCGCGGCCACCTCCTTCCGCCACCTGACGACGGTACTCCGCGGCCGCGTTGGCGACCCGTTTCTCCTCCTGCGACAGACGCCGCCGCTCGAGTTCCCGACGCATCTCGGGCGAGATGTCGTTGTTCTCGCCGTCGCTGATTTCGGCCGGAGGCTCGACCAGTTCGGAGGCGGTCACCGACATGAATGGCTTGGGGCTCTCCTCGGTCGCGGGAGACTGAGGTTTGCTGTCGGAATTTGTCTGCTCGAATCGGCGGAACGCCTCGCCGAATCGGCCGGCAAACCGGTTCTTGGTGCCTGACAGCGACAGCGTAGAAAGACTGGACCGCTTCGTGTGCTTCGAGCTCCCGCTATACCGCTTCTCTCGCTTCCGGTTGCTCTCCTCTTCGCGCGCCCGCAGGTAGTCGATGTCGGACGAGATGTTGGCCCGGTCGAAGTTTTGATCCACCTCCGTGCGTGCATGCTGCAAGGGCACTCCCATCTCATACGAGGGTCGGGGCAGGTCGAGCGAAGAGCGCGCGCTTTCGGAACCGCGGCCGGACTCGAACTTGGTGCCCGCGTGCATCGACACCGGCCGAGATTTGCCGTTGGCCGACTTGGACCGGCCGACGGGATCTTCAACGTCCAAATTCGTCGGTCGCAAGCCCTCCAAAGATGGTCGGGACGAGGAGGACGAAAGATCCGAGATCCGGTCGGCGGAAACTCGAGGGTTCGGCGCAAGGTTGGAGGATGATCGTGAGGGTGAAGGGGCCTTGCTTGGCCGGTGCAGCCGTTGCTCGTTGTCACCGGACCAAGGCTGGCTGGACGGACGACGTTGATGATCAGACGACGGGAACTTGTAGATCGGACGTTTCGTTTCGGACAACCCCGGCGTGGAAGGAGGCGAGGTCATGGTACCCGTAGAAACCATGGTGGGCTTCTGGGGAACAGGCTGGTGCAGTGGCACCTGCGGGCGAATAGGCTCCTCCTTGAAGGATTCGGTCGGTCTGGTCTTCAGAGGAGACGGCTGAGGACGCCTCTGGACCGGGGGCTCGGGGAGTTCCTTCTCCGACGCAGGGCGTTTGACAAAAGCATCGTCAGCAAGGGCGTTGGTAAGTCGCCGTGCGAGGTCTTCATCCTCCTGCTGCGCGTCCGCAGCGTTGGGCTCGAAGTCAAACTTTCCTCCTTTCTCGTGCAGGATATTGAAATGGTCCAGGGACGGGAACCGATTCGTGAACTCGTCAGTTGAATTCCGAGACTTATGGCCGGTTCCCGAGTCCAGAACGGCAAAGGGGTCGGCGGACGAAGGCCCGCCACGGAACGGCGAAGGACTTGGTTTCGCAGAGTTATGCTGGGAGGTGGTCGTCGGTCGTGTCGGCCGTCCTCGTCGCATCGGCGCAATCTCAGGGATGTTGGTTTGGGTCTCTTGAATCGGAGGAGAGATTACGGCACCCACTTGAGGGGCATCGGTAGGAGAGGGTGGTAGTTCCTGGTACCGGCGCGCTTCCGACGTGGAACGAGTGGCATAGATCTACTAGCGTGTTAGATATCTGTGAGTAAAAAGGACTGCGGAGATGCTCACGTCGCGGATAGGGACGTCCTTCCCTTGCATGTGACAGGATTCGCGCAAGACCTCGTAAATATTAGGCCGCTTCTGCGGGTTCTCTTTCAACATCCAGGCTAGAAGAACCGGTCAATACGACTCAAGATACAGGTTGCACCAGAGTTTCAACTCACAAATGAGCATCCGCAGACGATCCGAGAACATCGGGTAGGCGGGGAATTTAAAACTGGCATTCAGAATAGCCATCTGCCCAACCTCTTCGAACGGAGTGGTGTAATAACACAGTTTGTACAAAAGGACCCCCAGGGCCCAGATATCACTCTTCTCGTCGATGGGTTGCTTCCGGTAGACGTCGATCATTTCCGGACTGCGGTACTGCAACGTCGTGTGTCTTTGCACATCGTCCTCGATCAGACGGCCCTCGGCGGCGGTGGTAGCGGCGGGACGAGGAGGCGCGGTCGATCCGAAATCGCACAGCTTATAGATCGAGGATCTCCCCTGGCGGGAAATGAGCACATTTTCGACCTTCAGATCCCGATGCAGCAGAGGCGGCTTGAGGTAGTGCATGCAAGCAACCCCCTCCGCGACGTCGGAGAAGATCTGGATGATCTCCGGCTCCGTCAGACGGTTCTGCAAGCGCGTGTTCATGAAATCTATCAGACCTCCGCCCGAGCAGAACTCCATGAGCAGGAAGACCTCGAATCCGCCCCCTTGCAGCTGAGACGCATGGGAATCGATGTACTTGACGATGTGCTTGTGTCCCTTCAGTTTCTTCATCGTCTCGACTTCCGTCCGCATGTTGGCCAGGGCTGCCTTGTCGGGGACGGCCACCCGCTTCAGCACCGCCCGGTCCACTCCATCGATGGGTTGCGGCAGCCGAACGACGTAGACGTGGGCAAATCCACCTTCGGACAGGTACTTATCAACCACGACTCGATGACCTCCCACCTGGACCTTGGTACCCGGCAGGAAAGTCCCCGCGGGAGCGTTCACTGCAGCCATGGGGTTATAAGCGGCGACTGGACGATGGGAGGCGGCGTGGCTTTGGTAGGACTGAGTGGAGTTGAAGGACATAATAGATGGAAAGGAGGGAGGAGAACGCGCCCTCGAGGGGCAAGATAAAAGATTGTCGGACTGAGCGATTTGATTACCGTCGCTGCATAGAGACCACGTCGTGGAGGTGGGTAAGAAGACAGGGAAAGGCGACGCTCAGAGGACAGTTGGCGGGCGGCGGGGAGGAGAGGAGAGGAGAGGAGAGGAGAGAGAGACAAGTCGGTGCCTGACTTGGTCGGACCTGACAGGTTGGCTGGGGAAGTGGAGGAAGAGGGATGGAGCTGGACAGGGAGCGATAGAGAGGACCAACCCACAACTTGGGGCAGGAGAGAGCCTCAACTGACCAGCAGCAGTAGAGGAATGGAGGCCAGGAAGAAGATGAATGGAATGAATGAATCCCCGACCAAGACTCGCTTTCCCGTGATTCTCGTTGGCGGTCAGTTTGGCCCTCTCCGCTTAGTCAGGCTGGCCGATCTGCATTGACAGGAGATAATCCTTATTATTCTTATTACTCCGTTAAATTAGGGGAAGGAGAAGGAGAATATTTCGGGATGTTCTAAGGGGAAATTAAAGGAGAGAAATAATTCATCATTCCAACTGATCATCAGGAACAGGTCCGGTCACGAGACTCCTGCGCGTTACCCGAGTTTATGTATGTACAACTTGAACAGTTTCACGTCATTACTTCGGTCACCTCTAGACAACCCAACCCATATCTTAATCTCGAGTCTCCTAAACGTTATGCGCTCTGAATGGTGGATAAGATGACTTGAATCTACGAGGCTAGGCAGAGAACAGAGCTCGGACGGGCACGGATATCGCTGGAAACGTGAGTGAGTCAGGTCACTGTTGGCTTTTGGTTCTCGTTATGTTGAACTAGTTGTTACTATGGCCATTCAACATCTTGCGTGGGAGCTTGGTCAGAAAGCATAGAGAGAGAAGATAGAAGTTCTTAAAAGGAAGGGGACTTGCATCACGACAGGACTCTGGCTTCTGATGATTCAACATGAGACTAATAAACCCGCAAATGCAATGTATATTTATTTTATTGATAACTATTGATGTTAATTTTTATTTTCTAATGAAATGTCTGAGCTGCCCGGCCAAAATATCCGGCCCAGTACCCTGAGAAGCCAACGTACGAGACTATGGACACCAAACTCTGACACAATTGACATAACTGGCAAAGACACCAATAGCCAAAGCCCCCCATGGCAATCTAGTATTGTTCAAAGCCAATGTACCCAAGCCCCATCATTTTTTGACGCTTCTCCACTCCATTCCCAAGGCCCCAACCATAGTGGCACAAGCCAAACCAACCGGAAGAAAGAAGGCTGTAGTCAAAGCAATATTATACCCTTCGATCACTCTAGGTATAGTGACAGGGGGAACATGTTTTTCTATATCGGAAAGCCCCATCTTTGTCAGTGACTGCACGTCCATGTGAGGTAATATCCCCCTTAGACGCGCAAGTAGTTCTCCAGTGAAAATAGTCTGAGCAATTGAAACGAAAATGGCCGGCCCAACGTTCTGAGCGAAAATAATGAGTGCAATGCCAGTCGGGGCATCTGTGACTGGAAGGACAGTCTGGACGGCCACTTGGGGGCCCTGGAATCCGATTCCCGTGCCAACGCCCAAAAGAGCCTGATAGCAGATAAGAGAGGCAAACGACTGTTTCGTTTGGATTGTTGTAAGCAAGCCTGCTGCGATTGGGCTCAGGACGGCACTGATGATCATAAACGGGGTATAGTATCCGATGGCGCTGGTCATGGAACTCCCAACAAGGATAGAAAGCGTCAGCCCAATCACAATAGGCAGACAAAGCACTCCTGATACTGTCGCAGAAGCACCGTGAATCGCTTGGAAATAGGTCGGCATCTTAACCGGAAGACCAGTCAGTAAGAGAACGCACATAAGGCTGGGTTGAGGGGCACACATGCATAATACTCAAAGACTGATAAACAAGTGTTGTTACAGAGACCAAACCACATGCCGGCAAGCACGCTTCGAGAGCGCATCACTCGTCCGGGGAGCAGAGCATTATCCCCCTTTCTTCTTTCTTGCCAGACAAATGCAACCAAAAAAACACCAGATAAGACGAAGAGAAGGATAATTCGTTTGTCATCCCATGCGTATGTGGTGCCACCCCACTGAAGAGCCAACAACAGGAAGGTAATAGAGGGGACGAAGAGGCCAGCTCCTAACAGGTCAAGTCGTTTAAACTTTTCCTTCCATGGCAGGGATGTGAGGTCGCTTTTCAGAGGATCCCGGAAAGATAATAGGATTAACATGAAGGAGAAGCCTCCGAGGGGGAGATTGATGTAAAAGCACCATCGCCATGAGAGGTACTGAGTCAAGACACCCCCCAGCATTGGTGCAACAGTTGACGATATACCTTCAAACGCTGCTGCCAGGCCAGTAAATAGCGGGCGTTTTCGAAGAGGAAAGCTTCGTGATATAATGCTATAGCTGTATTAGTTGGGTTTGTTCTACCAAAAGCAGAAACCATGGGATTGGGGCGGGCAACACCAACGTGAGGACTCCAGATATGATACCTGAGCAACCAACACCAGAGATTGCTCTTCCCAATATCAACAAGCTAGAGGTGGGCGCCACACCGCCGAGCAAATTTCCCAGCTCAAAGATGATCACGGAGGCGAGATATACAGTTTTAATCGGGAAGAGATGGTACAGCTTGCCAAACATAAATTGAAAGGCGCAGGAGGCCAAACGGCTGACGTGCGTCAGAGCCACTGGCCAAGCTTGGAATAACAAATGGCACGCTTACTATGCAGAATAATACCAACCAACATCGGCGATTGTCTGAAACTGTGTGGTGATAGTGGGCAACGCGGTCGCAATCATGTTGAAGTCCTAATCAGTTTGTCAGCATAACCTCCACCAGTTGAACCCCTAAGAGATATAACGGACCAGTCCTGTGAGAACCAAAGACAGGAAAATGGCAACAAGGACTACGACAAGCTTGAGCCCTGATGGGTATTCAATGTTATCCCCATCGTGCGGGTCATCCTCTGCCTCCTCCCGCCTTTCTGCTGGGTGTTCTGCTTGTTGTAGTATGTCATGGACGTTGGCTTCCGAAACGCTTTCTGAGCCCATTTTCATAGAAGGCCTCTAAGAAAGATGGTTGAATAAACCGTTGCAGAGAATAACGAGCTTAAACAATCTTTTGAAGAGTGTGCAAAGACGGATACGACATTAAGTAACCTGGGTATGGCTTGGGCACACAAGATACGGACCAGCTAGTGGCATTAGATAGGGCTTGAATGACCATGCTACATGCAGGGCATTCTTACCCCGTTCAGGGCGATAAAACAAACTAAGCACGTTGAATAATGATAATAAAATCATTACATGACGTGTAAAACGGTCGTATGGCAGGGACATGGAGCAAAATGCAGATCCCGGCGAGCTACTCTGCTAGATGCATGAAATGAGGAACACAGTATCTATTACATGCTAAGTATGGTAAGTAGCATTGAAACAGACGGAAAGAAATGCACTAGAACACCCTAGTGTAATTGAACAGTAAAGGTGTACAGTCTGTGTATCTTGCCTTTGGCCATCAGGTACAGTCATAGACTTGCTAATGAGCTCTATCCACGAACTTCATGACTTTGTTCCCCGTACCACTCTTTTCGAACCCACCCAAGTCCTGAACAAAAGTCAGCCTGAATAGGTGTCGATTCTCAGGGAGAACGAAGAAGAAAGTCTCTATCTCATAGACGAAATCCTGGAGGGAAATTGAGCATTGGCTGGCTACCTCCCGGAGCAACCTAATCTCAAGGACCGTTTGTGGAGATGATTCATGGGTTCCTAAGATAACCTGCCATTGAAGAATCCCAAATTCATCCCTCTGCATGAGCTTCTCAATATTCTGAAATTCAAAATATACCCCATACCACTTGAAACTGAACCGACGGTCACGACCTCGGAGACGCAGAATTCGGAAGTATTTCAGTTCAGATTCAGGGACAACGGATCGCGCGATCTCTGGCAATGGGTGGATAGATGCGACGTCGCCAGTGATATAGCGTACAAGGGGATTTCGGCGACGTTGCAAGGACGTCTGCACGAGGACTCCCTCTTGACCTTCCGGAAGGGGCTTCAAGGCAGTGGGTGAATCACTTTCCATGACAGAACTAGGAAATACCTCGTTGAGGATGGTACGTGTATCAAACACAAATTCCTTGTGGTTTGGTAAACCTGCTTCTCCAGTGAGATCCGGGTTATGGATCGCATATGGCCCAGCTTCTGCACTTCCCAGAATGGAGCATATCTTCACTGGACCTAATGTTGCGACAATATGCTTTTCCTGACCAGCAGTGAGGGGCTCGGAAGTGTATATCACTTGTGTTAACTGGATTGCCTTTCGCTTCTCCGCCGACAGGGTCGAAATATGATGAATTACTTGAACCACTTGACTGCCATCGCCAGTCAAGACGTTGATATTGTAGTGCGCAAGGGCACGCACAACTTCGTCGGGGGTCATGAAATTGCCAGCGCTGAAGACGGTCCCTCCTGCGTTTTCCATAATCTCACTCATGAGATCGAGGGACCTGCGCAGCGTGAAGAAAAAAGTCAAGGTCAGCTGTTCCGCTTGTACCTCCGTCCGGGGTCTGAGACGAACCTATACATGTAACCTGAGGCATGCACCGTCATGATCCAATCATGCGGCTCCACAACTCCACAAGTGCTCAGAAACTCGCCAAACACCGCGCGTTGCTGACGATTCTCTTTACTATCAGACAGAAACATCAATGGGAGCCCCCCGGAACCACCGCCTGTGACGCTGACATAGGAGCTACGCCGGTACACATTTTGCGGGCTCATGTCCTTCGTCAATCGCTCGATGACATGATACCTGGAAAGGTATGAGTGACGGCTCAATAGAAATGGAACCTTAGCCCTGCTTACAGATCCTTCTTGCTGACCAGAGGCAGCGACTCGAAGATGATACGCGTAGTTTCCGTAGATTGCCCGTCTGCCAATTGCACAGCAGACTGGACTTTCTCATGGTCAGGTGGATAAACTATATCGGGGTTGTAGAACGGATGGACTTTCGCAACTGCGAGTATCTCAGCCACTGGAAAGGTTTTGAGAGTCATCGTGGACAACGGAAGTAATCAAGAGAGTGAAGTTTGTAACGTTCTAGGTACAAGGAAATAGCTTCAGGCATTCATGATAGACCCGTGGGCACACGTTCCTTCTACGACCTTCTTATACCTAGCCCCGAAAAGCTTGACACGTCACCATTTGCCTTAGAACTTGTTTGCCTCTGCTCAGCCTTGAATCATTTCCGTGGCTACTTGAAAATTACAAATGTAGGGATTGTCCTGTCATCAAGTATTCTGGCGTAATTTTACTAATGTATGCACCAGTCTTTCGCTAAAATACTAGTGGTAACTTGACGCTACTGTTAAATTAAGAATGCCAGGGTGCTTGTGCAAGTCCGCGAGCCCTGTGGCAAAGAGACTCATATAAATCGAGAGTCAAGACCCACTACGATGTATGTGCTTCATCGTTGAGTTGATAGTATATTGCATGTGCTGACGAGGTATCATTGACTAATGGCATATGCTAGTCTCCGTTTAGAATTGGCCGTATATGCCTCACTTTGCCCCCGCTCGGTCAGTTGGTATAGTACTACCTAGAAAAAAGAAATTCAAAAAAAGAAAAAGAAAAAATAGCCAAGTTCGATGAGGCGATCTGGTGCCGGGGTTCACGATCGCCGGTTTCATCAGCTGAGAATAATGTAAAAATTCGCCTTAGTGTAGCAAGTTAGCAAGTGGCTGCAGATCCATACACCGGAGTGAGTATCAACCCAATGGTGTGTGCACAATGCCTGTTCCTTTTCCCAGACCGGTCGACTGGACCATAAACCCCTCGCTTAAGCATATGCTTGAGCTGAGGCACTGGACTCTAGGGAGCTCAGCAGCGGTAAATCTCAGCCCTAGGCCCGGGAAACAAAAAGTGTTCAGAGCAGGCATCATGGCCGAGTCAAATCCTATAAGTACTGACTAGTAGTCAAGAGTATATACCTCGATTGGACAATAGGAGCAGTTATTACTCGTATTCCCGTCTCCCTTTTTCCATACAGATTTCTCTTTTGTGTTACAGCAATGATCTCAACCGAAATCTCTCCAGGCAAGCTGGTTGATAATATAATCAATCAGCGGATTCAGGAACTAGATGAAATTCAGCATGACATCCGCCACGATCTTCCTTTCGTGGTTGCAGACGTGAATCAGCTCTTCAAACAACATCAGCGCTGGTTACAATGCGTTCCTGATATTGTCCCTTTTTACGGTAAGTAGTCTTCACCATCTTGTACATCAGCACAAGGGCTGAGTGTAAATAGCCGTCAAGTGCAATCCCGACTTGAAGCTACTCAAATATATGGCCAAGCTTGGGGCTGGCTTTGATTGTGCTTCCTTGGGCGAAATGCAACTTGTTTGTGATTTAGGCATTGATCCCTCGAGAATCATCTTTGCTCATCCATGCCACGCTGTCTCTGCGCTACGATTCGCCTCCAAACGGGGGGTCCTGCGGACAACGTTCGACAACATCGAAGAACTGGATAAAATCAAAGAACATGCCCCCAATATGAGGCTCCTGCTTCGGATTTACGCCCAGGATGATACTGCCCTTGCGTGTCTTGGCGATAAATTTGGGGCACCGCTTGACACGACATGGGCTTTGCTCCAGAGGGCAAAGGAACTTGGATTGGAGGTTGAGGGCGTCAGCTTTCATATTGGTAAAATGGGCCCAGTTCCTTGATATTTCTTATAACTTTCTGTACCTTCCGTTACAACAACTCAGCTAACCAAACGTGTAGGATCCGGCGCATCTAAGCCCGAATCCTTCGTGGCAGCCGTCCGGAACGCAAGACGGGTATTCAATCAAGCGGAGCACCTAGGATTCGCCATGAGCGTTTTAGACGTGGGGGGCGGGTTCCAAGATTCAAACTTTGAAGTCATGGCATCGGCTCTCCGGCTCGCCATTGAGAAAGAATTCCCGGATCCCATTCAACTGATTGCGGAGCCGGGGCGATTCTATGCGCGGCCCTTCTGTACTCTGCTGACCAAGGTCATCTCTCGCCGACGACAGACAACCAGATGCACGCAGGTGACGGGATCAGACATGCTGTATTTGAATGACGGCATCTATGGCAGTTTCATGAATGCCTTGACTGAAGGCGAGACGTATAATCCGTCGGTAGTTGTGGCAACGACAAAATATGGGGCCGACAGAAAGGCAGGCGAACATGTATACTCGGTTTGGGGACCGACATGTGACGGACTGGACTGTGTGGCTAAGCGCATAACGTTGGAGTGCGAGGCGAAACCTGGGGATTGGTTGAAGTTTTCGGATATGGGAGGTAAGTTCGAGTTCGATCTCTGCCTTGCCTTATTGCACTGGTTCGGTATGGGAGCTAAACCAAGATCCACAGCGTACACACTGGCAACTGCTACCCAATTCAATGGGTTCCCAAGCGACTGCAACGTCGTATACGTCGCGGAGCACATCTCAAGTGGACACGGAAAGCTGGTTGGGGTTTGCCGGGAGCAGGAATGCGCCGAGGTGGCCAACGCCGAGGTGGTAGTGTGAAAGGATATGTTAGAAAACCCCTAAACCCCTCTCGCTATTGAGAGATCCATGTCAGTATGCTTTGGCTCCGTAGCTACATTCCACATTATTGTCCAGTTGGTCTCAGATCGTCCGATTATATTGATCGTACCCACCAGTCAGTGCATGCAGGAAACGGAGCAGAGTACGCGGCGTACGGAGTGGACCGGAGACAATCATAGAGGATCTTGAACAGCGACCTGCACAGTCTGTTGCCCTCTGGCGGGGTACGAAAGGATGTACACAGTAATCTTAATTTAGTAGGATCAGCGTGCAGGGGACCCTGAAGCATTGAGATTTTTTTTTTTCCCGCTCATGCTGACGGCTAAATCCGAAATGTACAGATGTCAGATGCACTGCAGCCAAACTGATTTTAGGTACTGGAATCCGTAAACCAGATCTGTCGGAGTATGTAGACCTCCAATCCGGCTCTCCACTTAGTCTACTCCGTACTCGGTGTCAAGTGAACCGTGACAAAAGTCCCCTGCGTATCCAGCTAAACGAGGGAATACCACCTAGCCCTTGATCTCACCGTGGCTAACGATTTGTGGATTATCTTTCCCAGCGTCTTTCTCCACCCTTATATTGGATGTCGTATTCTGCCTTCGCACTTGTCTTCTTTTTGTTTGTTTCTTTGTGTTTCTCCCAAAGCTGAGTTTGCCCCCGAGCTCCACCGGACGGGCCGAGCAGAAATAAAATTTTGGGTCCTTCGTCGATCACCGCACGAGCGCTGTTCGAGCCCTCGAGGCCCGATCATCGGCAGCGAGATGAGAGGAGTCTCGAGGAAGGCGGTAATCTACATTCCCTGGCCTGCATATTGAGAGTTTTCCGAAAGTGTCGCCTCTTTGAATAGATCGAGTTCGGTTCTGACTGACACTCCTTATCTATACAGTAACAAATGGATCAATATCAACGAGAATATGATTGCCTTGGCATCTAGGAAAATTCTCGATCTGCAGGCCAGCGATCGTACAACTCGAGATTGAGTATGCACATCGGGTGGCCTGGCCTGGCCTGGCACGCAGCGACAATCCAATACGGACACTAACTGGCCCTAAGTATGCACCTACTGTAGGTCTCGCCCTGATCCTCCGCCCCCTCTTCGTTGAGGCCTATCATAGCAGTACTTACTTTTCTTGTCGGCGTCTAGTAGTTGGTCAAATTTACTCCTAAAGACTACTCTGCCATTCTCCTTAGGTAATAGTAGAAAAAGTAGTCTCCACTAAGCCCTAACTACAACTCCGTACTTACAACAAAGAAACAAAATCTTTTCTCTTCACCCAACCGGCCGGAAAAGGCCGCGCATCCCAGCGGACCCTTCGCAAATGACGTTCAGGATCATTGACGTGATTCCGAGCATGAAGCCACCGATAATTGTCCATCAGAATGATAGAGCCCCGAGGCAAGCAGTCCGGCGTAAGATGAAGCGTCTCAGCCTCCACCTTCGACCCTAGCAGACATTCCTTCATCTCCTCCAGCGCAAGCGCCGCCTCAGCAGTCAACGGGGCGAGAATATCCTCGCGGAAACGGACCATACTAGGCAAGCCCTCTGCATCAACCGCCATCAAGCTCCCCACTATATACTGCTTGTCCTCGCTTTTCACAAACTCGGGAGGCACGCTAACCCGGAATTCCGGTCGGAGGAGCGCGGCGCAGGTGGACGGTGAAAGGAGGGAGCTGAGTCTGCCGACATTCATCACGGAGAGCGTGCCCCCGCCACATCGATCTTCTTGAAGCACCTGCAAGGCAAAGTACCGGGGTGGCGCTTCTTCGTAGCTACAGTCGGTATGCCAGGGGAACTCTTCCATCGTCTCGGGTCTTGCCTGGTGCGAGGGCGTTTGGAATGTAGTGCTATTGGGCCGCACGTCCCAGAACCAGCCGCGGGAGGCACTATGAGTAATGGGGAGCCCGTGTCCGTGCTGTTCATGGAGTCCATGGAGGAGTCTTTGTAGATACTGGCTGGAGTTGTCCTCGAATTGGAGACTGACTTTGAGGATGCCTCTCTGCCGAAGAGTGTTGGACACGTCTGCGATGTGGCTGGGCCGGCTTGCATAGCTGAGTTCGTTGGCTACCAAGTGTGGCACACTGCGTGATATCTCTTTTTGGAGGCGCTGTCAGCGTTTTTGTTTCATCGCTCAATTCTCATGGTGTTCCTCGAATATGGTTGACTTACGGGTAGTAAACCCTACCGGCTTGATGGGTTTGATACTTCTTATGGCGTGATGCATCTGGAATCGAGGCTTGAGGCCGGTTTTTTCTTTTATTTTCCAGGTTCGATTTAGGCAATTGATGCACGAGGGAAAAACGAAGTAAAATAAAGAAGGAGGGAGCGATAGAAGAAAATCTCAGACTACTCCAATGCAAAGAGCTCTTCATATGCTATAGTAAAGAACCAGTGACAAGAAGAGGGGAAACACTCGCTCATTGATCTTTGTCCGATCACTCAACGGACAGATATGAGTGATATCGGGTTCATAAAGGAGGAACTGATGGCAGCCGGGGCAAATGGAGGCAAGGGCTCGCGCAGCCATACCTCAGACCACTCCGTGTCTGATGCCGCCGATTGAACTCGGTGCTAGACTTTGAACACTTCGCAAAATTGGCTATGATAAATTGACAAGGGAACCTGCGTAATCGACACTAGCTGAAGGGCGTATTGCAGGGGTTTTCAGTGGCTCGCCACCACCAGGTAGTCCCAGTTATTGAATGAATCTACACATGCAGCTGACGTCCCCCTGCTAGCGCCATCTGCGATACTACTTCAGATGCCCGCAAAGGTACGGCGTAGCGCACCTTGGTATTAATATAATGGATTAATGGCGCAGCTGAAGGCTGGGGCGAATATATCCTGGCATCTTTGAAAACAAAAAAAAATTCTTCGTGCCGGATATAGATTTTCGTCAAGTAAAGCAAATGGGCAATACGGTAACTGTTCTTCATTGTGTCGGAATTTGCATTTACATCCTACCATTGCAGATTCTGAATTCAGCTAATCGAGCTGAGATTGCCTTAATGGACTTGTGTATCCCCCTGTTTTCGACTACCCAGTTGTAACCCTTCCGAATTCATGAAAAGCAAAACTGGGGGCCTCTCAACTGAACCAAGGATGGTAAAGACAAGGGCATCTGATACTCTGCACCCCAACAATCTACACTTTGAGTTAAGGACAACCAGTATAGAACAAAATGGGATCAGCGCTAAAAAGAAGCATGAGTATCTTATCTCAACACTTAGTCTTGGGAATGTATGCAAACCCGAATTTTTCAAAGCCGTAGCAGGTAACTTACCGGAATTGTCCACCGTCCACTACTAGTCTGAATACTTTCTTACTGCACTATACATGTTTGCGTGCTGCTCCTTTCAATACTACGATAGGCCTAATTCGGAAATTGCCCGCTCTTAGGTGCATGGATTTGGAGGTTTGCTTTTTAGTCGTGGTCGAAGACCGCACTCAGCTGTCCCCACTGCGACATTGCGTTATTGCGCGCGACTGTAAATTGCCACCAGGGTCAAGGGTCCTATAGATACAATTAGCCGAGGTCAAGTACGTACGGACATCTGAGTAAATCTGCATGCAAGCCCTTTGCATGTGGGGTTTTGGTTGGAGGAAAGAAACGGGCCATTTGTTACAGGCGATAACCTAAGGTACATAGGGTAGGACGGTAGGTAATACTGATATTTGCATTACAAGTGCTTAAATTTGGCATGTCAGGAAAGCCAAAGTAGAGGGAAGGGAAAAAAAACACGCGAAGAGAACGGGAAGGCTCATTAATATAAAGCGTCTGGAAAGATAGCCCATTTGCCGATTCAAATCAACTGATGTTTATATTTTTGGATGTGTTCCCCCCCTATATCAGATTATTGAGTACATTCTGATCCATAAGGGTCTGTTGATCCCCCCTTCATACTCATTTATCCAACCGTGCCTCCATAGCACTCCTACTTCTCGACATAGTATTATTTCCCCTCTCCATATCTCCACACAATGAAGCCCCCAGCACCAGAAACTCTTCAGCAAGTCCACGTCCCCCTCCAAGGAGGACGATACAAGCCTGTATCTGCCTGCGACTCTGAGGATAGGTCATATCTTCAAAATCATACGGCTATTCAAGAAAGCCTGTTGCGGTTCTCTTCTGCCAATTCATGGCATAAGAGCGCATTACAGGCCTTCATCCCCTGGCCGATCCTCGTCCCTTCCGTGCACCAGAACCAGTTCAAGGAGCTCAATGATGCTCTAGTCTCTGCTATCACTGATATTGTCGAGAGGTGGTGGACGGACACGAAGGCGAGATTCCCAGAGCGTATGCCATTGGAGCCTGCAGAAGAAGACCTTCTTCGTGTATGTCCCCTATTTCTTCTTCTTCTTTTTTTTTTTCATTGTTTTTACCCTACTCGGTGCTATGGTATAGAATACTAAGTGACTCTCTATTAGTGGATTGATAGCCAAGTTCCTAACAACCTGCGGCCATACCGAGAGTGCCGCGGATCGTGGAGGCCAGACTTCCTGATCGAAGAAGATCGCCTTGAGGGTGCCTCTGGCCCTAGAGAAAATCTTCGAATCAGTGAAATAAATGCCCGTTTTTCCTTTAATGGATATATGTATGCGGCGTGCGGACAGCAAGCACTGAAGGAGCAAGGGCTCTGTGATTCGGGTAATGGCTTGGTCGGCGCTACGGATCCTGCTAGGGTAAGCTCCCAATTATACTCGAAATCGGGAGAGGAGGAAAGGGACAGGAGAGAGGAGAGAGGAGAAAGGAGAAGAGTGATTTACAATTACGGTAAACTAACAGCCAATTTCCAAATAGATACTGGGAGGCATTTTGAACCTGTTCAATCCCGACTTGCCATTGCACCTTCTCAAAGGCGAGGAACTCGGCAATGACATACACATTGTTGTGGAATTTCTCCAAATACGATTTGGAATCCACCCTCGCTTTGTGCACCCTTCCGACCTGAGGCTGGTGCCATATCCGCCAGGCAAGGGTGGTTGCAGACTCTGTTGTGTGATCACAGATGCTGAACTCGAGGACACCGAGCGCTTGGAACCGGTGATTTATCACGATGGAGAAGCCATGGAAGAGATCCATCAGGTTGGACTTGAGCTCCACCAGAGAGAACTCCGCGCTCTGAGCCCCGAGATGCTCCACCAGATCAGCCTCCGATGCTTCAATGACATGCGCACTGTGTTGCTGGTCCATGACAAGCGGATGCTCGGAATCGTCAAGCAAGAGCTCGACGCCCTAGTGGCACGGAATGTGATCACGCGTGCTCAGGCGAAGATACTCGACAAAGGGCTTGCCAGCACGATACTGCCTGGCTCGTTGGAACTCGACCGGTTGATCGGTGACTGCGAGAAGGACCGCGGTACAAAGAACGAGTACATCCTCAAACCGATCCGAAGTGGAAAGGGCGATGGGATCGTGTTCGGCGAAGACATTGACCCTGCTGAATGGTTGTCAAGATTGGAGGGCTTGCGCTCCTCACGGTTGGGTCCTGGTGGGGGCGGCAATTGCGTTGTTCAGCGCAAGGTCAACCAGATTCGGTACGATGTGGTCTTGAGCCCAACGGGCGTCATGGCTAAATACCCCCTCGTGGGAACATACCACTCGGTTCATGGCGAGTTCCTTGGAATTGGAGTGTGGAGAAGCAGTCCACACCGGATCTGCGCGATCAGTCACGGAGGTGCGTGGACTTGCTCGGTGACTGAGGGTAATTTGTGATTAACTAGTTTAATATGAGTCGTTATTCCTGCTTAAGCACCGTCTGTTTACGATTTGATGTGTACAAAGTTGCTAGAGCTAGGTCAGGGGTCTAGATGGGATATGCCTATCCTCAAAAGCTCTTTAGAAAATCCAGCTCCATCACTCGGCTTATTCACTTCTAATACACTTTCCCTTTCAATATAGCTCGTGCCAACTCGTGTCTCTAAGGACTTCTTTACCGGGCGGAATACAAAAGACCTCAATCCTGGCAGGCATTTGATGCACTCGCCCAGTTATAAACGTTCAAAGATTTCCGGGAGGTCTTCTTGTACTGTATATATACACATGTGAAGAGAGTATTGCACTTTGGGACTGTATCCGTTCGAGGGCGAAATGGATGAGAGAGGAATGGCAGATACTGAATCATGCCCTTACCCTGGCAAACATTGAATTTATGGTAGTTGGGCATCCTCTGCATTTACTAGATTCCACATCTTTTTCCAAGTAGGATCGGTATTCCGTTACCCCTGAGCAAGTTCATTCTAACCTCACCGTGGTAATGTGGGCCCGAGTCTAGAGGTTCATATACAACGCATCATCATGATCTTACCCACGACGGTACGATCAAACTTCCTGTGTACAAAGCAGTATGTGCAAGAACTATGTACATTATATGCCAAAAAATCAAAAACAAACGATCATCATCAAACGTCAACATCATAAGCCGTAGGGTCAACCAAAAAGACAAGTGGGGAATCTCTGTGCAAATGAATGTCTAGGCATAACAAACACCCATGCAAGATTTGGAAAACGCGAAACCAACTCCTCGCTAATGAGTATGAGTCTATGCAACGCTCAAATATCTCCAACAACCATATAGTCAGGCGTAGCTAAGGCCTCCGAGAATCGTGCGGCTCTCGTTAGCCGCCATGTTCGTTACTCCGAGGGCGCGCACCTGCGTGCCTTTCCGCAGCCGTTGCAAGCCGATGCCGACCTTCCATCCTTCAGTCTCTTGCAGAACGAAGACATATCGGCGGCCTTCCTGGTCGCGGATGCTAGCTCGCAAGACGTGCAGGCTCTGCGTCTCGCTGCCAATGGCGCTGCCGTTCCGATTGGAGCCTCCCGGGGTAGCAAGTCGGCAGGTGTTCTTGCAAACCTTCAACAAACTGTTCAAGTACGCATCCGATTCTTCCGAAGTGGGCTCTCCGGTGCCTCGACGGAAGAATAGGTTGCTGGGCTTGGGGGCCTGCGGGTTCTTTTGTCCGCCGTACTGGGGACACCACACCTCGGCCAATTTCATGGTCCATGCCTTGACGTCCCATTCCCGCTGAGGCACTCCTCGCACGTCGTCGTCAATGAACAGCCCTTCGGTAGTGATACGAAGGACCAACCCGTCCGTCACCATTCCCTGGCCGGACACTAACTGTGCCACTGGAGTCCGAGGAAAGGCGTTATTAAAGGCGTACACGCCACGAATAACAATCTTGTCGGGATCCTTGGTCGAGTACCCGCCTCGGATCGACGGAGGCGGCGAGGTTCGGGCTGTTGATTGAGAAGGAGCATACGAAGACTCCGAATACACGGAGGATTTGGATTCAGCACCGTACGGCCGCCGAGGTCGGTCGTAGGGCCGAAAGGAGTAGGCATCGTCTTCGGTCGCCGTCGCGGCCGTCCGCGCACTGGGAAAGGGCGGCTTCTTGGGCGACGGGGTGCGTGGAGGTGGAGCACTTGCCGTTGCTGACTTTTGGCTGGAGGCCTTGGATGCGGCTTCCTTTGCGGATGCAGCTTCCTTGGCTGCCGCTTCTTGGGCGTCTTTAGCCTTCTTCTCGGCGTATTTCTTCGCCGCGGCCTCTTTGAGAGCGGCGAACTTGGCATCGGCTTCTTTTTTGGCGGCAGCTTTCTCGGCGGCCTCTTTCTCAGCTGCTTCCTTCTCTGCTTTTGCCTTTGCTTCCGCAGCGTCACGCTCAGCCTTTGCCTTGAGTACCGCAGCGACTCTCTCCCTTCGCTCCTTTGCCTCTTTGGCTTCGCGTTCGGCCTTTGCTTTTGCTTCCGCGGCTTCTCTTTCGGCTTTTTCTTTGGCCTCTGCAGCTTCCTTTTCTGCTTTGGCTTTAGCGTCTGCCGCTTCCTTTGCAGCCTTTGCTCGAGCTTCTGCCGCTTCCTTCTCAGCCTTCTCGCGGGCTTCCCTTTCGGCCTTTTCTTTAGCCGCAGCCATCTCTTTCTCGAGCTGCTCCCGGCGCTCACGAAGCTCTCGCTCCATGGCCTCCCGCTCCCGCTTCTGCTGCTTTTCGCGCGCTTCCGCTTCCCGTTTTCGCTTGAACTCTTCCATCTTGCGGCGAAGCTCTTCCTTTCTTTTTGTTTCCTCTCGGGCCTTCTCCCAATCCTCTCCACTCTGGGGCTTCTTATTCGAAGTCGAGCCACTATCGCTGGGTGGGGGATCGGCCTTGGGGGGAGGCGGTGACTGGGGTTGAGGCGGAGGAGCACCAGTGCCGTACTGATTACCGGCGTACTGATTCCCAGGAGGAGAGCCACCATAGTTTCCACCATAGTTGCCCTGCTGTCCTCCAGACTGGTTATTAAAGTTTCCACCTCTCGAGTAATTTCCACCGGCCCCTGAAGATTGATGAGAGCCTGCACCGGCGCCGGCGCCGGCACCCCCAGATCCAAATCCACCAGACCCGAAACCTCCGGGTCCTGGACGGCCACCCTGTTGGGAGCCACCGGAGCCAGAGTCCGATTGGGATACACCGAATGCCCAACCGGCAATGCCGACTCCGATGGCTAGGACGGCCATTCCTGTGCCGCTCCCACTCGCGATCGTGGCGACGTACCACGTCTTGACGAGCGGCGCCAGCGTCACCCATAACAGAACCACAAACAGTGTGCATACCGATCCGGCGATAAAGCTATTTCGATGGCATTGGAGGGAAGGGAGGTATAAGAATCCGGAGCCCGACGAGTGGGGCGGGATAATGAAAATATCGTAGTTCCCCGTCGGAAGGTCTGACGACTTCCGATATTCGCCTTGGGTAGTGTTCGGTTTTTCACCGTGAGGTGGAGGCGGGGGCGGAGGGCCATCCATGATGTTGTGAGATTATTGATCAGAGAAAGAAAGAGAAGAAAACAAAGGCAGTCGTAAGATCGATGCGGGGGGTATCTCGGACACGTTCAGTCGGTCGTTGCACGAGGAAAGGGTCTGGGTTCCCTATCGAAGACCCTCACTTGCTATAGCTGTTGCAAACGGAACTGAGACGTAAAAAGCGACGGAAAGAACATGTTCATAACAACATTCGAGTTGGCGCTACGGCCGTGCCACTCAGCGCTTGTTTCTGCCAGGAAGCGAGAAGAGTCAGTGTCTAAGACCATCACGGCTCTGGGAGGACAGTACACCGTGAGGAGTACTACAGAGGACGTACCTATTTACCGAAGAACTAAACCCGATAGAATACCGCACCAGGAAACAGAAATCGCAAACCGAACTCGATCCACCCAGAATCAAGAAAGACCAAGATGCGAGGGAACAGGAAGTGGGATGCAGAAGAGTGACGGGGGAGGAAAGAAAAGACGAGGGTAAGAAAAAAAGGAAAGCGAGGCGGCAAGCGACGGCGTGATGATCAGAGTTAAAACCTGCAGCAGGCTGCAACGGTTGGCCCAATAATCCCGGTCGACGGCCGGGTTTTTAAAAAAAAAAAAAGCAAGAGCGCAGACAGGTAGGCTGTGTAACTGGAGCGGGATTAGATCCGAAGATAGCATTAGTATCTACATATAGAGCTAGACTAGGCGACTACTGGAATTGATGCGCTGGCATTCCATTTCCATGCGGTCTTGTGGTCTTGATAGGTGGTTGTTTGTTTTGGTTTTGTTTGCGGGGTGTTGCTATTCGTTTTACTGGTCTTGTTTAGAAAGGTAGGTAGACAGATGGCTTGGATAGATTGTTTGACTCGTATATTTCGAATCGAGGGATCCTTCTACTCGACGGTGTATTCTCATTATGTCCATCGCAATTGATCAAACATGTCCGGAGTCCAAAATAGCACAGACGCAACATACCTCCGCGAATACCTCACGGGAAAGCCTTCAGCTAATTAACCTAACTAGGAGACGCCGGGATCGGGAGAAATGGTGGCTGTCACGAAGCTTATTCCATGCTCAATTGTTCAGTATTGAGTTATCCGTGATTCTTTGTATGGTATTCTTTGAATAAGGGACTACTACCTATCCTCAATTAGGTGTTACTTTGCTTCTGGTGTCTGAGCAAGAGTAACAAAAGTACGGAGTACCTCTTTCTCCGCAATTCATGTTGTTTGTTTTGGTTTTCCTGGTTACGGACTAGCGTTATTCCAAAGAGGAGGCGCCGATTGGATGGCGTGTTGAGCTCGCTGACGTAATTAAATTTTCCCGATTGGGTAGGGCATTGCTGCATTCGGCATTGGTGCCTGTGTGCCTTTGTGCCTGGGCCTGGGGCCTGGCTGACTAGGATAAGTGTTGTTATCAAGGAAATAGAGTGTTTACGGAAGACTTGCGTTACGAACAGCCAAGTTACGGAAGCAAAGTAAATCATCAACATATTCATTCATCAGATACCCAAAGAATAAAAACCATGGGAATCCCGACATAGCCGGCATAAATTAACAATAACATGACCCAAGAGTATATAACGCCAGAATGGCTGGGAATTCTTTCCCGTGCTCATCAAATCCATCCTGTCCGAGGCAGGTGGTTGTTGCAAATATCACAATAAAACATATCCCATCTATGTGAAGGGTTGAAATGTAAAAAAAAAGAAAAGGAAAGAAAAATAAATAGGAAAGATGCGAAATTGGTGAAAAAGAGAAAAGGCAACGGCAAAAAAAAAGACATCAAGTCTATCGAGTCGGTTTCAGTCTCAAATCATGCAACGCACCCCGGGGAATAATCGAAAAGACCATGTATAGGCAGCCATAGCAGATGCAATCGAGAAAAAATAGTAGGAAAGGCGGGATGCAGCCCAAAGTCAAATTAGGCCGTTGGCCATTGCACTGCAGTTCGTCTGGTTCTGTACTGTCGTGTTGAATAATAATCATCGCTCTTGAGAAGAAGACTTTTTTTGGTCGTTCTGTGGTGTTGGTCAAACCGTCTAGAACGGGAATCCTCCGGGGAATCCGCCGCCACGAGACTGTCCACCACCGAATGGGCTGCCACCGGCTTGGGCGAAGCCGCCGCCACCGCCGCCGTTCATCATGTTGAACAAGATGTTGGGGTCGATGTTGATATGGGTACCGCCCATACCGCCCATACCACCCATGCCTCCCATTCCACCCATACCGCCCATGCCTCCCATGCCACCGAAGCCGCCGCCGGAGAACATGTCGGAGGGGTCGATGAGGTCGTCACCGTTGTCGTAGGAAGCACGCTTCTGAGGATCAATCAGAGTTTCATAGGCCTCTCCGATCTCCTTGAACTTCTCGTCGCCGGCCTCTCCATCGCGGTTCTTATCGGGGTGGTACTTGATGGCCATCTTGCGGTACGCCTTCTTGATCTCGTGGTCCGTGGCGTCCTTGTTGACCCCAAGGATCTTGTAGTAGTCCTTCCGGGCGGCCTTCTTGAGCTCGAACTCGGCCTTGCGGATGTCTTCCTGGATGCCCTTTTCGGTGGGGTTGGCTTCGGCGACGGCCTTGTAGTCGCGCACGGCTTCTTCCCAGTTGCCGGCTCCACCGTGAGCCTTGGCACGCATCTTCTGCGCTTTGAGGTACGATGGGTCCAAGCGCAGGGCCTCGTTGCAGTCGCTGACAGCGTTGTCGTATTCCTTCAGGTTGATGTGGGCCTGAGCACGGTTCTGCAGGATCTTCGCGTTCATGTCCTTGTTGCTGGGGTCAACGGCCACGGCCTGAGTCCAGAGATCAATGGCCTTGCGGTAGTCCTTGGCCTTGAACGCAGCATTTCCTTCCTCCTTGGTACGGACCAGCTTTTGCACCGTGCGGAGGAGCTTGATCGCCTGTTTCATATCCGGGTCCAGACCCAGACACATCTTCAACAGCTTCAACGCCTGCTCGGTCTCTCCCATTCCGTAGAAGGCACGAGCACGGATCATCAGCGCATCGGGGTCCTGGCTGTTCTCTCGCAGCATACCGATGGCAATGTCCTGGGCCTTTCCAAGCGAGTTATCGTTGCCCATCTTCAGCTGGGCCTCGGCGGCCAGCAAAGTCCACTTGCGGGGTTCCTTGACACCCTGGCCCAAGAGCTGCCTGGCCTGGTCCAGACAGAAAACAACCATGGACACTCCCCGATCTTGCGACAGAGTCTCTTCCGCTTGAATGACAAAACGCTGCATCTTCTCGGCGGGCGCACGATCGGTCGCAGAGGCAGGGGGGTCAGTTCGATCCAGGACCTCGAGAGCCTCGGAGGGGCGACCCAGGCTGGTCAGGATCCGGGCGAGACGGTACATGATCTTGGAGTTGGAGGGGTCAAGCTCGAGCGCTCGCTCGGCATCTTCCAGAGCATTCAAGTAATTATGAGCGGACATGTGGGCTGCCGCACGGTTGGACAGGTAGACGGAGGAGTTGGGGTTAATTTCCACGGCTGGCGATCCAAGTTAGAAAATTTTGAGTTCAGCGACAGATGTCAAGACAGGAAGCACACACCCTTGTTGAATTCCTCGATCGCTCTGGCAAAGTTTCCATCCTTGAAGAATTTGTTTCCGGCCAATTTGAAAGAGTCGGCCTCGGCCGTAGTGCCACTGGACGTGTGAGGCGGCGGGGTAGGAGTACGCTCATTCTGCGTTCCGTTGACTCCATTGGTGGCAGAAGAGGGAGATTGCAAACGAGGATCATTGCTATCGATGTCCATCGAGCTTCGGTCAGCGGCAGCGGCCATGGCTGTGAGTCGACGGAGCTCGTCGGGCGGAAGATTTAACGGGTGAGAATTGGGGTCGTGCGAGGACCGGCGACCGGCGGACGAGCGAGAGGAACGAGAGGCGGAGAAACTGAATCTCGCAGTGGCCGAAGTGGGATGGCGAGAAGTAGAGGGTGAAGAAGAAGATTTAGCAGGCGTCGACGAAGTCCGACTGTGAGAGGGACGAGACGAGGGTTTGCGCGGAAGAGGGTGATTGGTCGGAGGGGTGGGAGGGAGATTAGAATTAGAGTAAGGAGGAGGTGGAGGACGATGAGAATGAGACTGAGACTGAGGATGAGGAGGAAGAGAAGAGGAAGAAGTGGAAGTGGAAGTGGAAGTGGAAGAGGAGGAAGTATACGGGTCGAAGGCAGACTCCCGAGGTGGCGGTTCAGAAGGAGACGAAGGCTTGGAAGATCTCTTCTTTGACTTGTTGCGAGAGAAAAGTTGCGGAAGAACCATTTCCTCTTTTTTTTTTCTTCCTTATTTCCTTTTATTCCAATCTTTTCTTTGAATTTCCTGAGGATTTGATGCCGCTGATTGGCGGGTCCGATCGAAGGGCGGCGAAGGCGGTGGAATCTTTTTTTTCTCTTGCCGATTTCCTTCCGTCGTTTCTTTCTCTCTCTCTCTCTGTCGGTCTGGTTGAACGGCTCACGTTTACTGCGTCATGATGCGCACCTCAATAAAATGGACGAGAGAACACAAGACAACAATACAGTAACGAGTCAATAGTATCGCCTCTTCAATATAATCAGATCAATCCTTCTATCGCAAAGCAACCGAACGAGCAAGCAAGGCAGAAGAATCGTTGAAGAAAAGAAATACTAGTAGCCCCGGTCCATGCCAGTGATTCCCTCGTGGATTATATGACCTTTTCCCCTCCGAGACTTGTTTGTCCTGGACGACCGATCTGCTCCTCCACTTGTGAAAATCTTGGAGGCTGGTGATGGGTGACGAACCCTCTTAGCGTGCAGCCGTCGAATCCCATCGAGCTTTCCCTCCGGATGGGCGCTTCTGGCTAACTTTACGTACTTTGGCTGTCTGGCCTCCTAACTGGTTTCATGTCTCTCCTCCGGCCTGTCAATTTATCATTCAATCAATTTCATTCAACCATTCCAGAGGCTTAGCTGCTAGCACTATTTTTTTGTTTTTGTTTTTCCTTTTCGCCTATCGCTCCCCAAGTCCAAAGACACCGGTGGCCATTAGTCCATCTCCTCCATACCCACAAACGACTATCCTTCCAACTCCAATTGGTCCTAACTGAATAACGCTCCAAAGTCCCTAGCAACCCATTATTCATCTGCATCTGCTGCCCCCTGCTCATGCCTGTTTGTCCCAGCCTGGTCTTTCCCTAATCGGCAATCTTCCATCCTTCCTCTCGATAGCGTCTGGCACAGCTTGCCATAGAGACAACGTCTGTCGCTCTATTTCTGCTTGAGAAGCTGACCCAACTGCAAGTCTGATATCATTTCCCTGACAATTCCATTCAACTGACGTCGGACCTCAATCTGATTGGCTGTGAACTGACGGACCTGAGGTTCAATAAGCGCTATGTAGTAGACGTGCTGCATAGAAGCCAATGTCTTGTGGACAAGCCTATCGAGGTTGTTCGCTGTGTCCTTCTTCAACCTCTCTAGTTCCCTTTTGACTCGCTTGGTACATTCTTCAATGATTTCGCCTGCGTTGTCTACTACCTTTTGGGTCATGAGGTCTTTCATTCGCTGTGATGTGCCTCTTCCTACGAAGAATTCCGTCAGTATGTCGGGGTTGGTTAAGTTAATCCTTGTTGTAACCTACCAGTTTCCCTTGCACAGGCTTCATAGGTCGGCGCCATTTCCTCTCGAATTGTGTTGGGGAAAATGAAGCTTATCTGCTTTTGTGCCGCTTTGAATTTTCTCTTCATAGCTTTGAGTTCAGATGCCAAAAGTTGGCAGTGTTGATCAAGCGCCTCAGCCAGCATCTCCATATGATCATTGGGGAGTTCGTGCTTGGCAGAGCGAATCGCAGCCAAATGAAACTTTCCCAGAGCCTCCTGAAGTACTTGGGCCAAAGTTTCGAATTCCCACCGAATGAAATATTCAAAGGTTTTTATCCAACCGTGATGGATTGCTTTCCACAAAGGGTGGGCACTGTCGATCGTGGTCAATCTCAAGGTCAAAGTGAAAAACAACTTCTGAGGTACTCACAAATCCTCATTCCAATTCATTGTGCGATACACTCCATCACGGCTGCATGTAGCACGATAGGTTGACCAATATATCCCTCCCTGGTTTTTGGGGCCATGCCATCCGGTAACAGTTCGAGAAAGTTCCTCAGTTATCACCTCTGAAGCATGGTCTGGATCATTAGCTTTTTGGCGCACATGGCTACTCCATGAACTTACCGAGTTTGTGCACAATGTCTTTGTAGAACCTCTCTTCCAAGTTTGCCAAAAATTCACTCCACAGCTCTTTTGCTGCCTTCGGAAGTTAGAACAGCAACCATGAAGAAAGGGAAGGGGGCGCGTACAGAATTAAAAGCCTGGCGTGTCTTTTCGTAGTCAGCATGCATTTCCCCTTTTCTGTTTTCCGATATGGTAACAGTTGCAGGATTGGTTAAGGATGACCACAGAGACATTGAATGAAGCAATCGCTGAAGATGGGCCAGAAAGTACTGTGCAAGATCTTTTCTGGCTTCCTCCGTCAACGTTATGCAATGGCGTTGCAGCTGCAAGATTTCTGTCTCCTCCAACTTTGTAAACCCCTCTGCAGTGGCTTCCTTGCGCATCCGACCGCGCAGTTTCTGATACGCTCGTGCCGATACGCAGAAGACAGGGAGATCTGTTTCCAACTCCTGATAATCTTGAGTTCTTCTGCCCTCAATTCCTTGACCTGTGGTCTCGTCATATCCTTCACTGGATCCTTCGTCGAGCTCTTGGATTCCGCGCGCGAAGTCGCGCTTAATTTCCTTTTTTGAAAAGCCATTGCGAGCTTCAATGCATGTTCGATGAATACCTACCTTCATGTTGTGAGACTTCGCTTCGAATTCTTTAATCTCATTTTCTTTGATCTTGATCTCTTGGCCCATGGGCCGTCTCTGCGCAACAAGATCCTTTCGTTGAGCTTTTAGATCTTGGAGCTTTTCCACCAAATGATCAGTCACTGAAGGCTTGGAATCATCTATGTCAGAGGGGCTCGCTGCAATGTTAGGGTCCATTGGAACCTCGGCACTTGTTTCAGGGCCGATAAGGTCGTCCTGTCTCTTTCTTTTTGCCGGGATTAAAATAGATGCCTTAGGTGGGTGTTCTGCAGTATTCAGCTGGGCTTCCACCCCATCTATCTCCTCATCGATATCAGCCAAGTCATCTATGATTTGCTCCCGTTTCTCAAAAAGCTCTTTCCACTCAATTTGGAGCTGCGCCAGCATCGCCTCTCGTTGCTCTGGCACTGGCAAATTCAACTTGAGCGAATCCTGAGTATCAGTGATTGAAATTTCATCAGTCATGGTGCAGACAAATGTGATACTGCTGAATGCACTGTCCATATGCAACTTCATCTTGAAGTTTTTGCCGAGCAAATCCTTGGCGACCTTGTCATCCACGGCACGTTTAATAGGGGCGATCACCCAGTGAGCAGAGCATCGTTTCATATATTGTTCAGCGACTGCCACCCGGGCTGCATTGGAGTCGAAAATGCCAGGAAGATCAACCGAGACGGCGCCCGTGGCCAAAGCCGGCGCCTTGACGAAGATGCGAACCACACGAATCAGCGGCCATAGACTCATATTGCTGTACGGCTGGGCTTTCTTAATGCTGACCCTGCTCTTGCCCTTGCTATCGAGATAGATTCTGACTTTTCTGTGAAAAGTCTGCCGCTTGTTCTCTTCCACAACTCTCTCACTTCCGAGCAAGCCTGACACATTTGGATGATTCAAAAGAATCTCAACTGGAGTTGCCATTATCTCCCGGGTTTCCAACCAGGGGTAGACAGCTTTGATCTTGGCCAAAGCAATTCCAGCTTCTGACTTACTTGCAATGTTCTCGCCAATCTCGCCCGTGGTTTTTTCATCCAAGTCCATGAGTAGAGCCCGGAGCTCTTTCTCCCATTCATGACGGTCCACAAACTTGATCTCCGCTCTATACTGAGACTCTCCATAGTTATAGCTAATCTCCGTTGGCACAGCCGTGGATGCGCGCATGCAGTCAGTGGGCAACATCTTCTCCTCATCGATCAGGGCATTGATGAGCGACGACTTGCCGACCCCAGTGCCTTCTACAAGCGCAATCACCACCTGTCCCCGTTCGGAAAGCGGCTCGATTTGAGCAATCTCCGAGATCCAGTTGGTGTCGTCCATACTAACCTCCAATCTCTCTATTTCTTTGCGCAGCCGCTCCAGCGTGGCCATGCCGGCCTCAACGCTCTTCTCCAACCGGGAGAGCTGCGGATCCTCTTCCCCGCGCGGATCATAGTCCAGCGGCTCTTCTTCGACATCGGGCATGTCACCCTCATCTTCAGCATCATCATCAACTTCTTCTTCTTCAACGAAGGGGAAATTGTATAACGCGGCCCATTCGGCACCGCTCAATCCGCAAAGATGAGACCGGAAGTCGGACACTTCGATCCGCAATCGTGTCAGCACATCTACTCCTTAAAAGTTTGGGGACCGGACGAAACCACTCACGCCCAACGGACGAAATCTCCCGCGCAGTCCCTTCCTCCATGTCGGCATAACACTTGGCATACACTAGTTTTAAAATCCCCTCGTAGTCGAAGTCCGGTCTTGGCTGCAAATCCGTCGCCGCTAGCTGCTCCACTCGTCGAAGGTACCAGCCGCGCATGGTCTGGTTTAGAGGCTGCCATTCGGCTTCGAAATCGGGATAGGGCCATGGTGCTATTGTCTGGATGTCAGTTGTATGACCCCTTTCTTTGGGGGGAAGAAGAATTACCTGGCTCTTGGCCCTGCTGGAGGCGCGCATGACGGGCGGTTTGTTCAGTGATGAAGTGGAGTTTGGCGAGGTTGGGGATGTCGAGATCCATTTTGGATTTGGAAATTGGATATATGGACTTTATGTCTTTGAAGACGGTCAATGGTGATTTGTGAAGGGAAATGGAAGAGGGGTGGTTAGGAAGTGTAAGTATGTTGAAGGAAGATGTAATGGAGTCTGAATGTTGTAGTAAGGAGAAAGGTGATAGTACGAGAGGAATATATTCGTGTTGAAAGATGGTTGGAAGACGATGAGAAGGGTAGAGAGAGATGGTGGAAGATATGGTGGGAGTATAAGCAGGTGAGAGGGAGTATAGGAAGGCGATGTGGTAGGTATGATGTGAACGGTAGGTCAAGGTAAGATGGTGGTCGGGAGAGATAGAAGAGAGAGTGAGAAGGTGTTGAGATGAGGAGAGAGGTAGAAAGGATTAGAATGAGAAGGTAATAAGAAGATGAGATGCAGATGATCAGAGTAAGTGGGAGTAAAGGACAAGATGAAGTTGAAGAGACGAGTTAGGTATGTGATTTGGTGGTAGTGTAAGATGGTGGTGATGAGATGAGATATAGATGTGGTATGGCTGGCGTATAAGAAGGTGGTGATGGTATGTAAAGAAAGGTAGGTGGATGAGAGGTAGGTAAGTCAAGGTATGATGAAAGTAGGTAGAGGATAGTACGGAGGGTTAACAACAAGATGAGATGATCAAAGTAAATGGAAGTATGAGATATGAAAAAAAAAGAAAAAAAAAAAAAAAAGAAAAAAATGAAAGAATGGGAAAACAGCAAGAGGTTGACGAATGGTAGGAGATAGAACCAGCTAAGATCGTGGAACTATCGGTGTTGATCTTCATGTAGAGTAGAATAAAGGAAATTGATAGATGTCTATAGTTAAGAGTGTACAGTAGTGTGAAAGACAAAAGAAAGATTTGATATGTACAAGATCGACAACCACCACCACCTGCTTCTATCCGTTCATCAATACTCTCCCATCTTCTATGCTTCCATGTCTATCAACCACCGTAGCTCTCATTGGAGCCGTACATGTTCCTGTGCATGTACATACGTATGCTACCCATCTGCCAGGTGCATACATCCTACCGGCTAAGTATGTACCCAGTCATGCAGGTCTCAACCGACCAAGTAGGTAAACGAAGACAGGATGCAATGCCTTATACACCACAAGTGTCCGAAGGCACTAAGTCCCTGATCATTGACTGTCCCGTTTTCTCTGCGATTGCAGTATACACTGCGACGCGAGTCCTCAGTCCGTCTGTGCTTTTTCTGCACCTGTACCTGTACCCGTCATTCTTTGCGCAGCAAAAGAGTAGATAGATAGATAGGTATGCAGGCAGGCAAGTATGCAGGTAGACAGGTCCCAGAATGACTGAACCCGGGATCCGATATTTCAGATTTCAGAAAAACATTGATATCCATCCTGCCATGAACCCATCCGGGCCGCTCGGTCCCAACATGCCATAAATGATGTCCAATCCATGAAGTACACACGACTCCATACCTCGGTACCCATCATGTAAAACGGCCTTTTCCAGAGATCCCAACCCAAAAGTCAAACCCACTCATCTAACCGGCGAAGCCCTCAACCGTCTCGCCACCGCCGTCCACCTCGACCCCCCAGTCCGACCTCGCGACGGCTCCCCCTCAGACCCAGACCCAGATCCAGAAACCGAGTCAGCGAAGGACTCGCCTCGTCGGCGCCGACTCCCACTTCCGGGCCCGTGGACCTGCACGAGCGGACTGTCGAAGACGTGGTGTTCGTATGGCGGCGGCGCGTCTACCATCGGAGGCGGGTAGAGGTCTGCGGCGGGGTTGATGTTCATGGTAGGTAGTCTCGTAGATCTTGGCTGGGGATGCGAATGTCCATATCCATGGGGCTGGGAGTGGGAGTGTGGGTACATGCCCGCGTTCAAGTTCGTAGCGGACATGTTCGCACTCATTCCACCGCTCCCTCCGCCACAGTTGCATCCATGAGAAGCAGGCGTATACACCGAAGTTTGACCCTCAGAGAGAATAACCCAGCTTTTCTCCGCGTCGAGCCAGATCAGCCGGTGAGGGGACGGAGCCCTTCGTGGCCTGTTATTATTGGGACTGGAAGAAGCAGAACCAGGCGAGGACGAGGCCCACGAGATGGGAGTTGGGCTGGGGGTGCGGGCGCGGCGGTAGTGTGGCGAGAGGTTGCTGTCCGGGTTGGAGGTCGGGTAGAGGGGGGCTTGCGGGTAGGGGACGAGATGGGATTGGGAGCGTGAATAGCTGTGCGAGGAGGTGTGTGGTTGGGACTGGGATTGCGGTTGCGATTGTAGGGAGTAGATGCGTGAGAGGGCGTCTGCGGAGGCGGGTCGTGGAGGGAGTCCTAAGGAGGGGAGGGCGTCGAGACGCATCGACGGGGGGTCTCTGGCCGGGGAGTGATCGAGGATGGGAGGGCCTTCGAGCGTGGAGAGGTCCATTTGTCTGGCCGTTGTGTTGTAATGTGTTGTGATGTGGGATATGGAGAGGATGGAATGGTGCTGATGATGCTGATGCCGTAGAGACGGTATAGATATCAGGGTGTCGGATACAACAGATGATGCCAGATCAAATGCTGTCAAACCATCAGGACCACGGAACTCTTTTATGTCGTCGTCTGCACTCTTTATCTCCCTAGACCAGGCTGTCCGTCCCGTCAGCGTGGGAATTTTCTTTGTCGATTCCTTTGTCCGAAACAGCGAGGAAGTGGTACGAACCCGAGATAAAAATAAAAGAATATCACAAAAAGACCAAATATGGCAGGGCGAGCAAAGACGGGGAGGGACGAGGGGTGTTAAAAGAAACCGCCACACGAGCAACAGGGGCAGAGAACAAGAGAAGAAGAAGCTCGAACCAGGAAGAGATAGCGAGACAGGTCATTCAGTCAATCAAAGGGCGCGTCAATTTAGATGCATCCAATTCGATAGGACAATGAGTACTTATTATAATAATCCCTGCGAGGCGGTGCCCCCTCACCTTCACTGAAATAATGAAACCCATCATATCCTGGAGATCTGCTAGGGCTAACTGCTCTACAGATTACAGACTACCGACCCCCTCGACTGGGCCCATAATGACAACAACCACTTGGTCTACGCAACAACGGAACCAAGAGGATCCCAAAGTCCAACACGAACTTGGCCCAAGAAAGAAAGACACTAGAAACTGAGCCTCCTTCCTTCCATCGGGCACGCCGTCAAATGAGCCCCGCAGGATCTCCTTATACACCGTAAAGGGTAAAAGAAAAAGAGGGTCTAAACGAGACGATTAGGTCAGAACTTTCAGACCAAGACCCAAGAGATCAAAGTGAGCAAGACAAGGCCAAGAGACACGCCGTAAACATAAACACAATAGAAAGGGACAGAAAAAAAATACTCAAATCAAAAGCAGCCCGATGGGTCGGGAAGAGGATTTGGGGTCCGGTCATTGACAATAGCTCCATAAAAATTGTCATGGGCGACGCAGCGTTAACTCCTGAACAGCGAAGTTAAGCGCGAACAGGGCTGGTTATTGCCTTATTCGGGAAATGTAGAGAGGGGAAAGTCCGAGACCCTTAATTGAAGAAATAACGAGCCCTGGCCAATCTGTCGTGGTCAAAACCAATGATGACAAGTGACAAAGTCGTGGATGGCGGTAGGACTGACGCCGACGGAGCATCCGCCATTCTGAGCCCTGGCGGGGACGGGGGACCAGGGCCCAGTGGAGGCGCGACTAGCGGACCAGTGGGATGGGACGAAAGGGACTCTTGGGTGTTGGGTGGACACAGGAAGTCCCTTGGGAGTTGGGAACTGGGAAGAGTGCGAGGGCTAAGGATACAGCCTTGGGATGACACTGCCACCTTGGCTTTTGGGTGGGTTCGTCTCCATTCGTCCTCACGTCGCTCTCGGTCAACTCCTTCATGGTGCATTATTGGTCGGCTTGTCAGAGAACGGATCTTATACACCGTTAATTTCTGACAATTGATTGGGTTTGCCTTGGTTTACTGTGTACGTATGAACTAACTATGTATGAGCCTACCCCGTACCCTACTCCTCGGATGTAGATACTTCTGCAGCATGTTGGTACTTCAACTTGCCGACGGATTGAATCGCTAATATACAATTACCCACTGCTTATTCACCAGTAGTCTACACCGGCATACACCTTAAGTCCATGTTTACCAGACTGGTGGTCTCGTATGATTTTCTCAAACAGTAACCGCATCATCATCACAAAGCAATCCCCATAACTCCAAACTATGAAGTCACACAGGCACATCAAAATCAACAAAAGCGCAAACCAACTATCAAATATCACGTATCAATAAACAGTAAACAGTAAACACCAACCCAAAAGCACAGCCAACCAGCCAACCTCAAACCGGGATCGACAGCCTCGAAACTCCAAATCTCCCTCTGAAACGGTCCCCCCCCCCCTCCGATCTGAGAGTTCTCCCGACTCCCGATCCCCCTTCCTTTCATTCATCCGAAACGTTCTGCTTAGCCTTGCGCATGCTGACTAGTCCTCCGTACGGGTCATGTCTGCTAAATGAAGAGATAATCTCAAGAGGGGCCCGGCACTGGGATTGGCCCCCCTCCCTTCTCTGGAAGAGTGGTCGATCAGCCTGATTCAGCCTTCTCGGGGGGGGGCTCGAACCAGTCAGTCAGTCAGTCGATCCCGACGGTCGGATATCTCCGTACTAGGTATTTATTTTTTTTTCCTTCATCGGACATCGCGAAGTAGTAGCACTAGGCTTCTCTTCTATTGAAATGATCTTGTATATATGTGGAAGTACGTCCGGTGTGCTTGGCGAGTGGGTTTAACTGCTAACTTGCAGGCTGCATTCAAAGCTACAGATAGTTACGCGATGTATTGCCTCAAACCGGTTGCAGTTCAATGTATGTACATTGCTCACGTCTTTATAGATACGTACACATTGCACTTATGTGCACTGTGTAGTTAAACTTGTCATATCAGATCAATTGATAATCCACGGTCTTCCCAACATTCAAAAAAAAACTACGTCCTCGTAAGTGTCTAACTCTCAACTCACCGCGGATCGGACATTAAATTGATGTGTTTCCCATCTTTTTCAACTCCCTATTGTTAGAAAAATCGTGATGGGTTGCATATGCTACATGCATACTGTTTACTCAGAGCTGATCCAGCGTCTACGCGAACGCAAACTGATTCAAATAACCACAGAAAGTTTATTGGTTACAAGGAAAGAGGTCTTCCGACAGATTACTCCTAAAGAACCCAGATATTGACACGATTGGAGTAACTACAGTAACTGACGGGGGAGACACCGAGTAATGTGCCTCAAATTGAGATAGAATCACATCTACATACAGTGCCACCATACAAGATAAAAAGATAAAAAAAATAAAATTACTGCTCGGAATCGAATTAACCAGGGTAGAAGCATTTCATGGTTTACATTAAATCGTATCCAGCCAAGTGCTTCACGGAAAACCAACTCCGAAGCAATGGACCAAGAAAGCAAAAGATATAAAAGAAATATGAAAAAGGATATATAGACGAGAAGGGAAAAACAGCGACACAAAAAAATGAAAAAAAATCTCGACGCAAGAAGGGGAAGTCATATTACTCTCTTCTTCCTCCAGCATCCCACACAGACAACACACACATATCCACAAAAAAAGGTTTCTCTAAATGACAAAACACCCGCCCCGAATATAACCAATTCTTCAAATTAATCCGGAAGAAAAATGAAAGCTTTCCTCCTAATTTAACCCTGGAACTGACTTGACTCGGAGGTGGTGGTTCCCACTATACACAAGGAAGGGTATAAATTTAAGCCAGGAAGAAAGCGGCGGCGGCAGCAGCACCGGCGAAGCCGAAGGAGTTGCTGACGGTGTTGGCAGCACCGGTGAAGAGAGCACCAGGAGCGGAGGTGGAGGGGCTGGAAGATTGGTTAGTTTTGTGCTTTGAAGATCTGCTGGGATGAATGAGGCAAGAGAACTTACGTAGCGCTGCCGCTGGGGCCAACGCCGACACCGTTACCGGGAGCACCGGGGGTGGGGATGACGGGGTTGGAGGGCTTGGGGGCCTGGCCCGTGGGAGCAACACCGGAGGGAACGGTGATGGTGGAGTAGGTGACGGTGGGCACGCAGGTGGTGACAGCCACGACGGAGGTGGTGCTGCCGCCAGCAGGGCCGCTAGGGACACCGGGGTTGCCGGGGTTGCCGGGGATGACGGGGGAGCTGCTGGAGGGAGCAGGGGGGGGCACAACGGGGTTGCTGGTGCCGGGGACGCCGGGGACGACGGGCTGGCTGGGCTGGCTGGGCTGGGTAGGGACGCCAGCGGGAGCGGTGGTGGGCTCAACGGAGGGAACCTCAGCCTCGGTGGTGGGCTGGGGAACCTCGGAAGCCTCAGTGGTGGCCACGGGGGGAGCGGCAGGGGTGGTCACGGGCTCAACACCCTCGGGGGTGGAGGTCTGGGGCTGACGGCCAGGGCAGTCGGTGACATCGGGAGCGCAAGAGGTGATGGTCACGTCCTCGGTCTGGTAGACGGTGTGAATACCCTCGGGGGCAGCAACGGCAAGGCCGGCGAAGAGAGCAATGGAAGCAGCAGTGAAACGCATTGTGATGGTATTGGATTTTTTGGTCTTAAAAAGAACCGTTTATAAATGGTTTAAAATTAAGAAAGAGAGTGTGAATAGTTGGGTTGAAAAAAAGAGTGGCTGACCGAAGTCAAGTTTGGATATGCTTCAAACAAGTTGGGACTTGATAGAAAAGAAGGAACGGATTAGAATCAAAAGGTCGAGAAGGGAGGGAGAGCCTGGAGCCTTTGTATGGCCCGGGAGATTAGGCTGGAGATCGTCTCAGGGACGAAAAAGGGGAGAGAGAAGCAACTCAGACCTGCAAGCCCGGTGGAGCCTCTGGTGCGCTGCAGCGGTGATTGATCGAGACGGTGAGTTGTATTCCAGGATTGTTGCCCTCATAGGCAGTCCATTCAACCGGATGGGGCCGCCGCTCTCGAGGGCCCCTCGTGGAAATTGGGGGTCTGGTCATCGTGGTTGGTGGACGAGGCCGGTCGCGAGGGCACTAGTTTTGCGCTTAGTTTCTTGTCTTGCTTACGGCGACACTGGATTGGAAAAGTATCGCGCCGATGATCTGTCGGTCGCTTGCTGCTTTGAGACAAGGACCAGAAACTTGAGAGGTCATCGTGGCTGTGGATCGATGGATTCCGCGTCATCCAACTAGTTTGATTTGATTCTCGGCCCTACGGTGTACACAGTACTTTTCGAATTCGATAGTACAGAGTATGTCTGTTGCCAAACTTGCCATTTCCAATCTTCAATGTTTACTCCAGAATAGAGTACTTGTGGAAAGGGAGATCCCATCCACACTGCATATCCCGCCCTACGGTGCATCAGAAACACGGCAGGTTCTTGGGACCAAACAGCCCCGAGTCTCCATTATTTTCATCAGGGGGTGTTATCGTTGCCAAACGCCAAGCCACAGGACGTTGTGCACCCCACGGCAGTTAGGCTTTGTTTCAGGTTTTCGACGCGGCCCAATAAGACTCAGCCAGACAGCCCGTTCCTGACGCCATGGCCCACTCCCTGAGGTTGCCACCATCCCGCTGTGGCTCCGGTGTCCCCAGGCATCACCAATGAGCAGACTGGCGGTGGGGTGTCGCCCCACTCCCCCTGTCTCTCGTTCCATAATTCTCTTGAAAAACCATTTTCGGTGTGGACATAATAATGGTAATGCTCAAAACACACGGGGTAATCCAATCCAAAACATAATGAACTATGGAGCGGTAATTAATATTCATATATTTATGGGACCTAGGGCCGGTGTCAATTCGCTGCCGAAATTGCACAATTTCTCGCCTGTCAACGTTCCCCTCGGTAAGAATCTGTCCGTTTCATCCTGTAATCTCCCGCCAAGTGAGGTGTTGGTATGCGCATACGATACATACAGATGCGTCATGGGCGAGGCGCTTACACTCAATAATGCCCGCTTATGTTGGTGTACGCAGGAAGGCGTCTCCAGAGGGGGCCAGAATCTGCAGGGCAGTCTTGGGTCTGTGTTGTACCTGCGTCCACGCAGGCATGTACACTTAAGTACGGAGTGCGCATGGATGCGGCGTACTTCTCGGGTGATAGCGCACGCTACGCTGTACACAGTGCACTCAAGTAGCCATGCACCCTGTACACCTGAGCCGTCCAGAGCGGTCTAGAAATGTAGCGGCGTCAATAATCGACCGCAAAGGGCCTTGGCTTGTGGCTAGCCTCGTTGAGTGCTTAATTAAAGCTTAAGCCACGACAGGGTCTCCCGTTACCCCGTATTGGTACTTGATAGCAGCAGGTGGCTTTGTCCTAGTACCTACCTAGCTGGGAAGTAAGTAAATAGTCACCAAAACAAACTTCCTATACCAGTAGGCGAAATCTCGTGGTATAGATTCGTACCATCGAGGTAACAAGGTGTACTGTGTACTCGGCGGTCCTTTGTACTCATATCTGGACCTGGGAGAACTAGCCGGGCGCAGTGGACACAACCCACCGTGGGTTGTGATCAACAAAACTATTGAGATCAAATTCCTTCGAGACCGGGTGGGAGACTGGGAGTCACTCGGAAGGGTTCCTGTCTTCCTGGTCAGGGTCCGTTCTCCGGGTTCGGTCTGTCTGTCAGTGTCTGTCTGTCTGCCAGCACGATTTCTTTTTTTAGGCCACGCTTGATTGATTGACCGGGAAAAAAGGAGATGGAAAGTGCCCGCTCTTTGTCCATCAGGGGTACATCACCTGAACTAGTTAAGAAGGGGCAATTGATAGGTTCCCATTGCTTTCGAAATTGCTCGTCGAGAATAGTTTATCTTTTGTAAATAGCAGGTGGAGAGATTGTCTACGTATGTCGTATGAGCATGTCGCTCTCATAGGCCATGTCGACAAAGTCAAAATCCAAGGAAGAAAAAGTCCGAGCGAGTTGTGCTTGCTGCTCCACCGATCAACAGGGGAAGGGAAAAAAGGAAGCTCTTGAGCTCGGCACAGTTGCGTCTGTAAAACCCAGGAATAGAAAAATAGCATGCATGCGTTTGCTCCCTAGTATCCATTCTCCGGACCAAGTTCAGGGTCAAATCGGCGGACTCACTGCCAGGAACCACTCGATTTACCCCGGGATTTACTACTCCGTATGACTGCTGTCTCCGTCGATGGAGGGGTTCATGGTTTCGTGGTTCAGTTGAGGGGTTCCCAAACTTCCTGCCAGCCGAGAGGAAAATATTTGAGAAAACGGAGTACGGAGAGGTAAGCCATGGAACTGTCAAGCCAAACCGAGCAGACAAACAGATGAATGCCTCGGGCATCAGCATCATACTCCATGTCTGTGATTGTGCCTGTCCATTCCCATCCTCGCAGGAAGTTGGATGATCTGGTGGGGTCCAACCCAAGCGAGGATCGTCCATGCCGCGCGTCTACCTGCGAGTACTCAGCGTTGAATGCACAAAGTACTGTGCAGTGCACAAGAATACCATCAAGACTTCAAGTTCACTCTCATGATCTCATCCAGCGAGAATCAGAAACCAGCAGCCGATCCGAGACAGCCAGACGACGCAAGCCACAGGTGGCTTTCGGCTCAAGATCCTACCAATGAGATGAAACAGGCCATGGCGTTCCCTTGATTAATGCTCGGTCCTCCGTCAATTACGGATATTATTAGCACCTCAGTGACTGTGATGGCACTAAGGGACTAAGTAACCGGTCAATTTTGATTGTGTCCCTGCCGTAGTCCGGTTTCCCGCTGAATTATGGCGGTGCAAACGGGGCGCAGTGCTATTTTAAACCGGTGGGTCGGATTGGAAGAAGATGAGCCGTGAGGATTCGAGGAAGATTCGGATGTCAGGTTTAGCATTCAGATTCAATCAATTCCGAGCGAGTGTTCCAGCATTGGAGAGATGATGTCAGATGAGTAGAGCTAGGAACCCCTGGGATGGAGAAAGATGGAGCCAGTCTGTCAGACTCACGGCATGGCAATGACAATCGACCAAAGGCGATCGAAAGAAGAAAGAACAAATGGCATGTTTGTTGCGACATCACAAGGCTGAAGCCGCACGTGCCGCCAGGGCCCAAGCGCTGTGATGGCTGACGTGTCTGGATTGTAGTTGTAGTTTGTACACAGTAGATACTAAGGTATGTACTCGGTACATACTAAAGGTCATACATCGACCATCTACAATCTTGAGAATCAAGATTTGAAGATACCCAAGATCATCCATCTCCGGACACCCAGACGGAGATCTCAAGAACCTCGGGTGGGTAAGACAGCGAGTGTACCGCCACAGATAGATTGAGCGGCCAATGGGTGTTCTATAATTAATCGGGTTTCAGATGAGGCTTTCATAGCATCATAGCGTTGTCCGTCCAGCTAGCTACGCCGTACGTAGTTAGTTAACAGGATAAAATGCCATGACAAATCGGCTCGTAGGGCTGCCTCCATCCCGATCGGGAAAGCGCAGATTCTGCAAATTGTCTGCCTGACAGCCTGAATCTCCAGGCAGCGCCATATCATACTTCCCGATGCATTGCATTGCAGTATAACTACAAATTACAAGATAGAGATCTTAATCATGCCTGTCAGATTCACGGAGTAACTACAGCACTAGTGAATTCACAATCCTCCTCCCCCGAGCGGCCTGCGACAATAATCTATCTGTAGACCGAATGATGAAGCCTCTCTAGGCGCCTTTTGAAACGCCCCACTCGCTCTCTCGTCCGTCATCCTCGTTTGAATTCCCTTTCGCTTTTTCTCTGTCTAGTTATCTGTCTGTCTGCCATCATCATCCTTCCTCCTCCTCCGCCGTCCCACCCGCATCCGATGATTGGCGCCGTTGCTATTCTTGACCTGACTTGAACCAGGTGTAAAGCTTCCATCTTTTTAGCGATCCAACGGCCCCGTCCGTCATTAAATCACCTCAACCCAATCGATCAATTCAAATAAAGTCATCTTTCTTTCCATTCGGTCCGCTTTTCTTTTCTCTCTCTCTCTCTCTTCGATTTCCTTGTTTTATTCTCGTCCACTTCCCTTCTCGCAACATTCGCTTGTTTGCTTTTGCCTCTCGCATTGCTCCCTACTTCTTAATAAGAGAGGGCAACAACCCCATTTCTTATTTCTCTGCCCACCCCCTCACTCACTCACTCATCTTCCTCTCTTTCTCTCGCTCTGACTGATTGACAACTAGTCAACTTCCCCTTCTGTCTCTCTTTTTCCCCCATCGTACTTTTTCTCTTGTCTTTCTCTTGCAGCAACTCTGGTCTTACCCCTCATAATAATCCCTCACATTTGCGACCGCCACAAGTCCAGCCAAACGCCCCACGGCCCTCCTTTGTTCGCTGTCTCGCCTCCCCTGGTCGCCGTCTATCCTCTCTGTTTTCCCCCTCTTTCCCCGATCCACTCTTTCAAAGTGTCTACCTCAAAAGCCGCCGATCTGGCTACCCTGGCTGACCCGAACGAGTTGTTTTTGCCTGGTGAGAGGCAAAACAATCTCGCCATGTCATCCTCCGCCGTTCCCCTCCTCAAACCCCCCGTCCCGGGTAATCGCAATAAGAACAACGTCAGCCCCGCCAACGGTAACAGTCCCCGTCCTCCCAAACTCACCTTGGGTATTCCGCCGTCCCCCAACGCTCGCCCCGTCACTGGAAATGGCGTGCCAGCGCCCGCTCCCGCCCCCGCGCCTGCTCCTGTTCATGCTCCGGCTCCGGCTCCGGCTCCCCAGGGCCCTCCTCAGCTACAGCGCCCATCCGGCCGACCAGCTCCCCCTCAACTCCGCCTAGCAACCCCCATGGGCAGCAGTCAGGATGTCCCGCAATCCAACGGCCGACCAAAGCCGCCGCCTCTAGCCACCAACGGCCTCAACGAACCGAACGGACATTCGCGATCGGGAAGTTTCACCTATCTGGATGGAAAGGCGAGCGGACCGGCGTCGGCGTCGTCCTCCAACTATTCGGCTCTATCGTTTGCCATGGGGCTGCGTCAACCGCACGGAAGCACTCCCGATCCCTCTTCCGCCATCAGTTCCGTCTACTCCGATCGGGAGGGCGCTGTGCCCATGGAGCGAGACAGCAGCGTCAACGGGTTGATCCCGGATCTGGACAAGTTGAGCTTGGAGAAGGGCAGGCCCTTGGATGTCGACGATCTGGATGATGAAGGCTGGCTGGCCGCTAGTGAATCCAAGAAGATTGAGGAACTAGGCAGTTTAGGTGAAGGTGCCGGTGGTGCGGTCACTCGATGCAAACTGAAGGAGGGAAAGACGGTCTTCGCTCTCAAGGTGAGTTGTTTTTGGTTGGAGAGAGAGATATCTCGGAGAAGCTGGTTCTGACGGCGCTAATCGATGCTAGATCATCACAACGGACCCCAACCCTGACGTGAAGAAACAAATCGTTCGAGAGCTTAATTTCAACAAAGATTGTGCATCCGACCATATCTGCCGTTACTACGGCGCGTTCATGGACAAGTCGACGGGTACGATCTCGATCGCAATGGAATTCTGCGAAGGAGGTAGTTTGGACAGTATATACAAGGAAGTGAAGAAACTGGGTGGTCGAACCGGAGAGAAGGTGTTGGGCAAGGTGGCCGAAGGGGTACTGAACGGATTGACGTATCTCCACAGCCGAAAAATCATCCATCGAGGTACGCGTGTTCTTTTTACGATTACAGGCTGTAGGGTTTCTCATGCTTACTTTTTTTGACTGCAGACATTAAACCCTCGAATATCCTTCTATGCCGCGATGGACAGGTGAAACTCTGTGATTTCGGAGTCAGTGGAGAGTTCGGCACCAAGGGTGACGCCAACACGTTTATCGGTACATCCTACTACATGGCTCCCGAACGAATCACCGGTCAATCCTACACCATCACGTCCGACGTTTGGTCCCTGGGAGTGACCCTGCTTGAAGTCGCCCAACATCGCTTCCCGTTCCCCGCCGACGGCACTGAAATGCAGCCCCGCGCGGGACTCATCGACCTCCTTACGTACATCGTCCGCCAACCGATTCCCAAGCTGAAAGATGAACCCGAGAGTGGCATTCGCTGGTCCGATAAGTTCAAGTACTTCATTGAATGCTGGTATGTTGATTTTTCTTTTTCCGTCTCCTGGCATAGTGTGGAACTAACAAAAACCTTCCAGTCTCGAGAAAGAACCTCCACGAAGAGCCACTCCATGGCGGATGCTGGAACATCCTTGGGTGCTGGACATGAAAAACAAAAAAGTCAACATGGCAAACTTCGTGAAGCAAGTATGGGGCTGGAACGAATAAACCTCCGCTTTGTCTTCTCTCGTTTCTGTGCAGCCGACCGACCGATGATTTCGATTTCGATTCCCTTGCGTATCTTCTTGTTTGATTCCCTCCTTTATATCCATCGCAATCACCGCATCATCAACCCCCTTATAATGCATCGCATATATTACGGTCTCTCCTTACGCTTACAAGTGGCTGGCCCTTGGTTTGACCAGGATGTCAAAAGAAAAGCATACGAATTGTGATCATTTGACGACGCTCATTTATTTTGATTTCCCGCATTTGCCCTGTTCTATCCTTACGGAGTTGGGAGATTCCTATATCTGTTCTTGATGATCATGTCTTTCCTTGATTTCTTTTTTGTGTCGCTGATCCAGCGTTGATTTTTGCCTTCTTTTGCATCGATCCCCATTCATCTCGGTTGTCTTTGCGCCGTCCCTTTTTCCGTTCTTGCTCCATTGAAATTGGTTTTTTTTCAATCCCTAGTCTGTTTCCGAAAATACATCGCCTCCAGCGGCCAGCGGTGCTGACGCCTGACGCCTGTGTGTTTACTGTTTACTTGATTCTCTGCCGCTTTCTTGGACCGGACGAACGGGTGATCTATTTATTGGTTCCGTTGATATTGTTTCCATATATTTTATTCATCTGTTTTTTCCTTTCAGAGTCTATCTCCTAGGTTTATCTCAGGTACGAATGAAACCGGTACATATGTCATAGTTGCCAATTCATTTTCCATCCATCTAAACCCATGAATGGACTCACTTAGGTATGTATGGACCTAAGTAGGTAGGTGGTTGCCTGTAGGTAAATCTCAAATGAGACAATCCCGATCTTATGACTCCGGTCCTTGGTCATCTGCTTTTTTTTTTTTTTCTCTCTTTTCATTGCAGTCAATTACAATTACCATCCGTCAATTCCAAAGTTGATTTAAGTTATATGTTTTATGTCACGAGGATTGAATTGGATTGTGTTTCTTCTGCCACTTCGTACTTGTACTTTTGTACTACCTACCTACCTACCTACCTACCTAGGTACAGTACGTAGGTAAGGTAGTATTAAGTGCGACGGCTGGGTCAACTTGGGTCAACTTAGGTTAGGTTAGGCTAGGTTAGGTCACATCCGAGAGCCTTGAGTTGGATGCTAGGCTAGTATGCGTAGATAGGTAGGTAGGTACCTGGATCAGTGCTAGATCCTGATGCATGGTGTGTTTCGGCTCGATGGCCCCCTAGGGGTCTAACTGATTCTTGAATTTCTTTAGTAGGTAGGCGGGCAGTACATTCGGGTACATTTTTACCGAGTAGATAGATATTACACCGTCCAAATACAGATGGAGAGAAGCACGGAGGTATGTAAATAGGAGGTCATCCATACTTCATGAAGGGAATTGATGTACGGTAAATATGATGAGATTTGAAAAGGTTATACGCCTGCAATGCATCATTACATGATATCAACGGGTGTTATGTCGCAGAAACAACACCGAGCAATCAAGTCATAACTATCGTCAGAAATAGAAAGAAACAAGGAAAAGGCAAAAAAAAAAAAGCCTAACGATTCACCGGCTGAGCACCCAGTACCCATCCAATCCCGCTAGCCAACCCGCCCGTAACCATGTTACTGACGACGTCGCGCTTGCGGACTCGCTCGTCGGCATCGTCGCTGGGTCCACGCACATGAGACGCCGAGTGATGCAGAGGGTCAGACGGGGGATCTGCGTCGGCATTGGTTTCTGCGGCCCCGCGCAAGGGGAATGCATTTTTGTGAAGGGCGAGGGCGGCGCCGCGGGCGACTTCGAAGAGACCCATTGGGGCTTCCTCAAGATTGAGACGGCTCTGTTGTTGCTGGGCACGCGCGCGTCGGGCGTGATGCTGTTGCGTTTCAAAAGCGTCCTGCTCGCTGTCGGTGGGGCCAAAGCCGCCCGGCACCATCGAGAGACGGTCACCCTTGGTGTCCCAGATTTCTTCCTCTTCCGACTCGCGCGTCCGCAGTCCCGTCATCTCTTCGTCGCATCGTCTCCAGGCGCCAAGAATCTCAGGGAGTGGGTCGGGGGAAGGTACGAGGACCAGGGCCAACGAGAGCAGCTCCATGCGCTGCGACAGTCGGGTAATTTGGGCTTGAAGGTTCGGGCTTGTGGATGCTGTCTGCGAGCGGTAACGTCCAGCATTGTACACGGCACGCCAGGAAATATCGTCTTTCACAGCCGGGTTGGTTAGGGGAGACGATGTGGATATGAGGGAGGGAGGAGTGAGACGGGTGAGAATGTAAGAATAGGCGGTGCCGAAGTCGTCGTCCGAGAGAGCCGAAGAGATGGCCAAAGACATAATGCGTCGTTCAGCGGTGACGACGGCATCTTCTGAATCCGACGGGAGGGTGCCTTCGTCGTCTGGCAAGTGAGGCGCAAACCCGGCGGCAACCAGGTTTCGGCCGATGCTGAGAAGGTCGTCCAGTTTGGTGTAGGCTTTGGGGTTCTGGTCAAGGACCTTTTCGATCAGGGAGAGGGGATCTGGATGAACGCGGATGCTGACAGGCTGGAATGGCACTCCGTGCTGCAGGGTGAGAGAATAGAAAGACAGAGCATGCGTGGCGGAGATAAGAGCTTGGATCTGTTTGAAAGAGGTAGAATCGGGAATGTGTGGTTTGAATGCTTGTAAACTGCACAAGCCAAGCATTGCGATTAGCACGTCAATTTTTCCGGTTGTTTGGCTGGAGCAATGACTTACATCTCATGCGTCTTTCTCATTCCGCCTCGTGTTCGGTTGCCATTGCTTGCGTTATCGTATGCTGAAAATATGGCCTCCTTAACGGCCTCCTCGACTTGAGAGAGGTTAACAGTTGAACTCGACTTAACGTAAATCTCAACGGCCAGGTTGTATTCTATATTTGTCAGCGCTTGAAGAACGACTACAAAATGCCGATGGCGCTCACCTTTAGCATCCAACAATGCTTTTAGAACCTCTGCCTCGACAACGTCCAGCGGAACCCTCCAAAAGAGCCCATGACAATTCAAATCGCCCTCTGTTTGGCCCAATTGGCCGACTCCCCAGTCTCGAAGCCAAAGTAACTGCTGGCGGGTCTTCCTCCAGTCCCGGCCAGATTGGGCCTGCCTAACAGCAGATGCCATCACGTTTCGCAGTTCTACGAGCTGCATGTCCTCATGACTGTGAAGACAAAGGTTTGCGGCCGTCCTGCACGGGATAGGATACCCAAGTTCATTCAATGTCCGAAGGGATAGAAGTATGGCGCTCAAAAATGAGATCGAAGAGGCCGAGGGGTATGTTAGGGGGTTGGAGGCTAGAAGCAGGGCATTCTGCAACAGAGACACTCTCGATGACGATGAGATATGGCTTGCATCAAACTTAATCGAAGGAAGCGCCGAAGTGTCCGACGTGAGAAAGGAGGCGTCTTCATAGTCCAGTAACCTCGAAACGCGAGCGAGGACTTCACTGGACCCCTCCAAGGAGGGCTCGCTAATGTCGGCATTCGCGTAAATGACGGCAAGTCCTGATTGAGCATACCGGATTCGCAGATCCGCGACTTCATCACTCTCCAACTGTCCGTTCCCATTATCATACCCTCCTAAGTCCACATCTTCGGGTCCACCCCAATTGGAAAAGGCGCTTACAACACTCTCAAGATCCACCAGGCTCCGCGAGACCAACCACTCGTTGACATAATGCCATCCAGCGCCATTCCTCGTGCGTGGCTGAGTTTCTCCCGGAGGAAGTGAGATCGAGTTCTGTTGCGTCGCTTGGCTGAGTCTCCGCCGTTTTGACCGATTGCTGCCGTACATCCACGAACCAACTAAGCCCCGCAAATTATTGACCAAATCCATCATGTTTCGTTCCGCACCGGTCATCGAAAGGAGGACATTTATTGTCGTATGATCATCCATAGACTCCAGCGTATCCAGCGAAAAGGTCTCGTCCGGGATCGGATAATACTCGTAGTTTAATCGCAGCAGCGGGAGTAGCGTAGAGATGAGCCAGGTTCGCACCGACGGTGAACGTTCATAGAATGGTAGAAGAAGGTCGAGAATCAGCGGTTGGAGTGAGGTCTCGCTGTCGATCCGATGAGCTCGATGAATAAGGAATTGGTCTAGGAGGCCCTCGAGATCCTGACTCTCCTCATCGTCGGGACACTTGAGGGGCAGTAGACGGAGTTTCCGTACACGTTTCCTCGCAACCGCCTCGGTCAGACCTTTGACAGGAGAAACATCAATCTCCTCCGTAGCCGCATGGGTTGAATTACCGTCCACAATATCCTCGACAACGGACGTATAGTGCTGCGGCTCCGTGCTCTCGGGTAGGAAGGTCAAGATGATGCGCAAGAGTCGCTCGGAGGGAAGGCACGCAGGAAATCGAGCCTGGAGTTGCGGGAGATGGGGGATGTTTGCAGTGGCGCACCAGTGAGTGGCCAGAAGAATCGCATGAGCACCGGAAAGCCCTGCGAAGACTGCCATGACGACCAGGGCAAAGGGAAGTCGAAAGATGGTGATGTGTTCGGGAGCAAGCAGCGCGGCCAGACGTCAAGACCGCCGGGCGCACGGACCACGCGGAAAGAACGAACCTCGCATCGCCAATCCGTCCTCTCCTGCCCCTTCACGCCTCGTCGTATTGCTCCCCTCCTCCACCACACACATACACAATGGCTTCTGGATTTGGTCTCAACGGCGGTACGTCCTTCTTTCCTCGCATCTCATCCGGGATTGCGATCCCAATGCCGTGATCCTTCCGACGGACGTCCGCGACTAATGCGCCCCCTCCACAGGTCCGTCCCGCTGCTTCAACTTCTGGCAGGAAGTGCTCGGCTGCTACGTCGTCAACGCCGGGGAAGGCGAGGCCGGCAAGAAGAAGTGCTTGCCCGCTCTGGAGGATTACCACGAGTGCCTGCACCACAAGAAGGAGGTGCGTTTTTACTTGTTTCCCCCGAGGCCCAAGCTTCCGAGCTCAATTCCTGAGGAAACCGGATACATCGGGGCTCGAGGCCCTGTTCTTACGGATTCTTCTGACGACGATACATGACTAACTGGAGTGATAGGCCATCCGAACGATGAGAATGCAGGACGCTTACCAGAAGGCCGAAGCCTCGAACCCCCGTGAGAAAGCGCCCAAGGCCGAAGAGATCCGCAGTCTAGGATTGTTAGGGAAGGAAGAACAGGCAACTGCCTTTTTGGAAAAGTCTTAGAAGAGAGGCGGGACTACATTAAGAGGGTGCGGTGTTGAATTCGATGTTTCACTATTACTACCAAAGTCATGCTGTTTTGTTCCTGCGACGATGAAGTCCTCAATGTATAGAAATGGACACGTTCGGTTCTGGGTTGTCTTTCGACTTTTCTATCTCTCCTTGTGTCTGACGGCTTTCCTCTCGGTTCTTGGAGATCGATTGAGAGATGTGCTACGTAAGAGTGTAGTCCCAATCCTTAAGTCTTGCGGCAACCCTATATTTGGACACTAGAACAAAGAATTCGAGCAAACCAGAAATTGGCAATTGTGTCAGTCAAAGTCAAAAGGGTGATTGTTTGTTAGACACCAGGGTATATATAGACGGCTACAAAGACGGACAAAGAGAGCCGATGACGATCCCGATATATATTTCCAGTAATCGAGGCCCGCTGATTGGATCCGGTTGGGAGCAGCCTGAGGCAAACAAGGACGGATAGACAAGAGCCTCAGGCCAAACCCGACAAGACCATTGAAAGGGGTCTCTATGCCGCGGACGAGGGATGAAAACCCCCTTCTCCGAACTATGAGGCCATCTGGCATTTCTTGGCGTTTGGGAGAGGAATCGAAACTTCCAATAATGACCGGATTGAATACAGTAAACGTACTCCGTATGACCTTGAGGCATGGTCCTCCGTCGGCAGTACGGATAGCTACACAGCTACACAGCTACACTCTATCTGGAGGACATCCAAACGGGAGCGGCGCAGTGCAGCCTCAGGCGCCCAGGCGCAAAGGCGGCTTCCCGTGAGGTTGGGGAGTCACGTGGGCACACGAAAACCTTTGCGGGCGTGGGGCCAGCTAACCCGGAAGGAGACTAGCGCGCAGGGCCCAAGCATGGGTCGGCGCGCCCAGCGAAAGAAGCCCCAATGATATAAACAGGCTGCGTGACCTCGAGCGCTCTCTTGTTGATACTTGAGTTACTGAGGTGACTGACGCTTTCCGCTTCTTCTGGCCCGTTTGCTGCTGCGGCCATCCCGTCGACGCTGCACTTTGCGACTCTGCATTTGGAGAGTGCGTTTTTAATTTATTTTTCTTCTTCTTTTTTATTTTACTTTATTTTTTTATTTTTTATTTTTTTTTTTCATCTTGATTCTGAGTGTATTATTTCTTATTTTACCATCTTTTCCAACATCCACCCTCTACTATATGATCGCGGGAATCTCCATCTCAACCACCAAACTCTTCTCTCTGCTCTCCCGATGACTGCCGGCTTCGCGACTTCCAGTAATAAAACCATATTGCGCCGCCCTTTATTTCCCCTGCGCGTCTCGTGATTGGACCTATCCACTCTCCACTCTTCTTCTTCTTCCTGTTCGATGGCGGTGACGGCGGTGTAACGCGGCTGTATTATTTCTTTGTACCTTACAGTCACTGCTCCGACTACGACGACTACGACGATTCCCACGATCTCTTTCACTTGCACTTCACCCGAACCTTACTCCCGTCGAGTCGGTTACCGGTGGGCCTTTCCACTCTTCACCCTTTCTCACATTTTCTTCCCCCCGTGAGAGGGGAATCTGCCCGCCATGACTTCCAGGTGAGTTTCTTTCCAGTCTAGTGTCTACGCGAAGAAAAAGTGGTAGACGGTAATACCCGTACATGTGACACACGACGCTAACTGTTGCGCGCTAGACTGGATCGCTTGGTCACGTGAGTATTCGTTCACTTCGAGTCCCCCGTCGGGGCGCATCTGACTAATCATTGTTGCTTTGTAGATTGCTGGAGACGGGCAGCACGCCTCTTATTCGCAACACGGCCGCCCAGCAGCTGGCTGATGTTCAAAAACAGCACCCTGACGAGCTCTTCAACCTGCTGGGTCGCATTCTACCCTATCTCAGATCTAAATCGTGGGATACCCGCACGGCCGCTGCCAAGGCTATCGGTCTCATCGTCACGAATGCAGATGTCTTTGACCCGAACGAGGACGATGGCCTGCAGATTAAAAAGGCCGAAGACGATGACGACTTGGACGTTGACATCAAGGCCGAGGAAGAGCAACCCTCGTCCGCGGAAGAGCCGTTGCTCCAGCTTGATCGCCTCGACCTGATCTCCATTCTAAGATTCGGCAAGAGGCTGCTGGGTAGTGCCGGCAAAGAATACGAATATTCGCTGGCCGCACTAGATCCGGCCGCCCGGCTACAGCATCAGAAGAAAACATTAATCTCCCGACTGGGTCTCGCAGGAGAATATATCGAAGAAGAATTGATTGACGATAATGACCTGTTTCACAAGCCGGCGGCTGGGACGAAAGAGGTTCCTTCGCCTATTTCGCGCGAAAACAGCAACAGTAACAATAACAACCACCACGGCATGAACCATTCCGCGGTGGCGTCGCCCGGTGAGCCTGCCAACGGCGAGGAGGCGGGTCTGAGCAAGCGGCAATTAAACCAGCTGAAACGAAAAAACAAACAGAGTGCGAAGCTGGGTGCCAACAAAGTACGGTTGGTAGATATCTCCGCGCGACGGCCATCCGAGAGCGTTACCACACCCTCAGCAACGACGCCCCACCCGATCAAAGCGGAGAATGGGGAGGAGCGGAATGGCGACTCGAAACCCGATTATTTCTCGCTCGACCGATCCAGCGCCGATGACGACTCGAAGATTGTCACGGAATTCAAGGGGGAGACTACACCCGCAAAACCGATTATCCAGCCGGAACTTGTCGACGAGGGCCCCAGCCCGGTCTGGCCCTTTGATCCCATGTGTGATTTCCTGATGATTGATATCTTCGATCCGAACTGGGAAGTTCGTCACGGGGCGGCGATGGCTCTTCGTGAAGTCATTCGGGTGCAGGGTGCCGGTGCTGGTCGGGTTCGAGGGAAGACGCGAGCTGAGAATGATACCCTCAATCGCAAGTGGTTGGACGATTTGGCCTGCCGTCTTATCTGCGTTCTTATGCTTGATCGCTTTGGAGACTACATCTCTGATAATGTCGTTGCTCCGATCCGTGAGACTGTCGGCCAAACGTTGGGTGCCCTTCTGTCCCAGCTCAGCACGCGCACAGTGGTTTCCGTCTACAAGTGTCTCTATCGGGTCATCATGCAAAAAGACCTGGACCTGGATCGTCCCATCTGGGAAGTTTGCCATGGTGGCATGATTGGTCTTCGCTATCTAGTGGCGGTGCGAAAAGATTTACTAGTGAAAGATGCTAAGCTTATGGACGGCGTCTTGGAGGCGGTTATGAAAGGCCTAGGAGACTACGACGACGATGTCCGTGCCGTGAGTGCCGCCACGCTGGTACCCATAGCAGAGGAATTCGTTACCTCTCGACAGGGCACGCTGGGTCCTCTTATGACCATCGTGTGGGACTGTCTTTCTAATCTGCAGGATGACCTGAGTGCCAGTACAGGGTCGGTGATGGACCTGCTGGCCAAGCTCTGTACATTCCGCGAAGTGCTCGAAGCCATGAAAACAAACGCAGCCGTCGATTCTGAGTCTTCGTTTGGCAACCTCGTCCCTCGCCTCTACCCCTTCTTGCGACACACAATTACCAGCGTCCGTTCTGCAGTGCTCCGAGCCCTGATGACGTTCTTGAAACTCGAGGGCGAGGGCACCAACGAATGGGTCAATGGCAAAGCGCTCCGTCTCATCTTCCAGAACTTGTTGGTGGAGCGAAACGAAGGTGTTCTGAAGCTGTCTCTCCAAGTATGGTCGGAACTATTGAAGGCCTTGGAAACTCGTGGATTATTCAACTTGGAGGCCGAACTACTGAACAATGTCCAGCCCCTCATCACATTGACTATGGCGCCTTTCGGTGTACCCCGCTATCCTATCCCCATGAACGCCTCCCTTTTTATCAAACCGTCCGGCCTGCCGTTCCCAACCAGCGCTGCTGCCCCTGCGAGGTCCTCCCCCAGCTCAAACAATGCTGGACCTGACGGGGCCAAGAAACGCGGGCGCAAGGTCGAAAAGAAGGAGATTCCACCACCGCCTTCGGCTCACAATGTTGATGGACACATGCTCCAGGGTGACATTGACCTTGTCGGCACGGATACGATGCTGCGATCCAAGATTCACGCCTCCAAAGCCCTTGGAGAATTCCTTCATTTTTGGGACAAGCACGGACTTTCAAATCTCTGGCCGTCTATTATCGATGGTCTCAACCACCCCGCGTCGACTTCGCAACTCTCATCCGCCATGGTCATCGAAGAATATGCCAGATTCGCCGGTCCCAGCGCCAAGTACACCGCTCAATTATGTGAGAAGTTGCGCCCGATTTTGGAAGGAGACCGTCCACTGTGGTATAGTGACATCGCATGCTATCTCCATGTCGCCCGTGCGCAGTGTCATTCATTACTAAATGCTTTCCGGGACCATGGGCATGTCGCTGGATCCCGATTGCCGGTCCTAGCCGTTATCGTTCAAGGGGACCCCGAGGCTGGCCCGAGTGCGTTCTCTCTGTCCGACGCCGAAAAGGTGATCGGGCAAGACTTTGACCGGCTCAACAAGACAATGACGCCCATGCACCGGATGACCGCCACCCAAGTACTAACCGACACACGCGCAACGGCAGAGAATGCAATCTCCGAGGCACGAAATGTCCGTGAGCAGCGAGACATGCGTGTCCGAGCCGCGGCAGCCGGTGCCTTGGTTGCCTTGCATGATATTCCCAAAAAGCCTGGCCAGATCATCAAGGGAATCATGGAGAATATCAAGAACGAAGAAAATGCCGAGCTTCAGCAACGCTCTGCAACCGCAGTTGTTACTCTAGTGGAGTACTACACGAGTGCCGCCAAGAGAGGCCCCGTCGACAAGGTCATTACAAACTTGGTCAAGTACTGCTGTGTGGATACGTCGGAGACCCCCGAGTTCCACCACAATGCCAGCCTCGACAAATCGATTCTATCACTTCGTAAGGAGGAAGATCGTCGCGATCATCCGGATGCGGCAAAATTCGAGAAGGAGGCAAAGGATGCGAGAATCATGCGTCGTGGTGCCAAGGATGCCCTCGAGCAACTCGCC